TTGTCCTGCTTATTATCAACTTTGCTAAGTAGTTTTTTGTTCTGATAAGAACAGTCCTGCTGTAAGTTCTAAACGAACTTGTCTTTGGTCTCAAGAGACCAAAGACAAGTTCGTTTAGTCTCTTTGCTCTCAAGAGACCAAAGACAAGTTTGTTTAGAACTTACAGCAGGACTGTGTTCTTATCAGAACAAAAATCTACTTAGCAAAGTTGATAATAAGCAGGACAAGTTCTTTTCAGAACTAATATCTTCTAAGCAGTAGTTATTACCACCTTGTGTTACCGCAAACCGAAACGATACCTAAAAAGCTTGTTAGCGTACCACCAGTCCCTCCACTAGTTTAGAAAAATGTTCAAATGAGCATAATTATTGAAGGGACTGCCAGTCGTGGTTCCCGCAGGGTGGTTTACTTAGATTGGGCTTGGGACATGCTGGGAAAACACATTCCCACAGAAATCAAGGTGAAATAGCCCACAGTGTATCCCACCACCAAAGCCTCCTGCTGTACACGGATAGCGGTGAGTGTGGGAAATGTTATTTGTAAAGTTGGGCGCATAACACTGTGCTACATGTACCGGTAATTAAGTGGTATATTTGTAGCCATGTCATTTTCTCTGTTTGATCATATATTATGTATCTGTGGAAGTATGAAATTTATGTAATTGCCTTAATTTTAAAAGAAAAATAGAATTAGCTGTTGCAAACTGCTTACCAACCAAAAGGACCTATGGTATAAATGCAGTGGCCTGACTTTTCGACCCTAGCAGAGTCTTTCTTCTTAATTTTAAGAAGAATTTAAACAATGCACGTTATGATGTTGAAACTGTTGTACAACTATGCCCCCCCCCCCCCCAATGGTGCATCAAGAGCAGGCCTGTCGCCAGCTCCGGGCATTGGGGGGGGGGGGGGGAGGGCGGCATTACAAGAAAATACACACTTGTATGTAATTTTTATGCTTACGGTCTTGCCGATTTTTTTTTTGGGGGGGGGCTAGCCCCCCTTGGGGGCAGGCCTGACCAAGAGCGTGTCATGTTCTTCATGGCTGTGACACTAGGGGTGCATCAAATCATGATTTGGTGTTTCAATCAATTTATGGGGTACGTCACTTTTCCTCAGTAGGTGCATCACAATCTGTGAACTTAAAGGTGGGTCAAAAATGTTGCCAAAATAGCATCAAAACAGGGGGTGCATGGATTCCTCAAAAGTGTGACCCAATCATAATGTTGGACAATGACACACCATTCATGGGGTGCGTCATACAAGTAATAATAGTGCATTTATGCATTACTTGTGACTGGACCTGTGATGGACTCAATACTACATTTAAGTACATTGAACAACACAAATGTTGGCTTATTGTACATGGTACTTGTTGTATTATTAAATGCTTTCAGACAGTCTAAAACCAACAATCTCAAGACATACAGTGTAGCCTACTGTGCATAGTATGGGTTCCTAGCTCCATGGTACCTTGACCAAGTTCTGTCATAAAGCAATGTGCATTCCATCACTGCAGCCGGCTGCTACACAGGACTCTGCATTTCAATTAGATCATTTAACACAAAGCACCTGTAAGCCCAAGCTGCAGGTGAACTGGGGTCAGGTGTGAGGGTTAATTGCAGGAGGGATGCTTGTGGTCTCCCAGGCTAGTACTGCTCAATCTTTGCTGTCAAGAAAGTTACTAAGGTCTACAGTACTAGTATTTGCAGTGAACTTACCAAGCAATTGTATATTGAATCGAAGTTACATACCGTGATACCGGTACATGTGTATGTTTCGCCAGTGGTCTTTTCAGGTTTTACCCTGAAAAAAGTGGGTTTTTTTAATTTTCTATTTTTATAGCAATTAAATTTGAAACAAAAGTTACTCGCTTTTAACTAAGACATCAGAACAGAAAAAAAAATCTTTATACATTTACATACATGTAGTTAAAAAATAATTACTTTACAAAATTTGAATGATTTTGGACCATTAATTCAATTTGGAGCAATAGCGGCACAAAAGCTACCTAAAATTACAATGTGAAGCCATTTTTCTGAAAGGTAGCCAGACAGCAAAATCTAAAAAAAGGTGTGTTTTTGTCGAAAATAAAACATGCACATTGACGTTTTTTAAGGAGAAACAAACATGGACAACTTAATAATTTAATTCAAATCCCAAACTGTTTCCAGTTGTAATCTATGATGTTCTCTTCTTTTATCCTTTAATATTGAGACTTTTACACCTGTAAACTTGACATTCTTAAATTAAAAATGGACTCACTTTGAATGGCAACCTCTGAGCAGAGTATCTGCAGAGTACAAATTTCTGCAAATTATATGATCAAAGTAAAGTAGAGAGTTCTCAAAAGTTTCCTCTACAGTAGCACACGTTCATGTACTCCAGATGGTTCAACTTGGAAATGAAAACCATTAGTCTCTCATTCCAGGAATCTCTGAGGGATTGTGGCAGTGGGCAACCATCCATTTTATGACATCCTTGGGCGCCATAAATCACTCCCTGCATGAAGTAGATTCCTGGACAATAAATTGAAATTGTTCGTTTGCTTGTTTCATGAATCTGGTGAACTTGACAAATAATTTGGACTGTGAATTATGTGTTGGAAGGGATGACAAGTTGAATTCAACAAGTCCAGAGAATATTCTGCAGGCAGAAGTGGTGGCAATTGTACACATACATGCACAACTGATACATGTATGATTTGTGATCACAAAAAAAATCACAAAGAGCAAAGGATCACAACGGATCCTATGTATTTAAGTATTTCTTTGAGGTAATGCCCAGGAAACGTTATGAAAACATAATTTGTACCAAGTGTTCATTTATCTATACATGTAGAGGCTTCGTGCAAAAACTTTGAAACGCTTGCAGAAATTAAAGCTTTATGAATTTATATTATACCGACTGTACATGTACATGTACATGTGTGGTCCATGTACCCTTTGCTGAATTTGAGATTGGCTTTTCACTTACATGTAAAAAAAAAAGCAACAACTTGTTAGCATGCTGTTGCCATAGTGATTAGGATAATGATTTGCCCTTGGCATTAGGCCTATGACCGCGTGATCAGTGCACATGTTCACAAGCTACACGTATTGCTGTGCAGATGTGGAGAGACTCTTCTAATTCTATTGTATGATTTGTATACTATATTTTTCAATCTGTGTTGGTTGCATTCACCAGTTTATCTTGAAGACTTTATATTAAGACAATTTTCAAATCTTAACAAATATGCTGTTAAAGGAATGATAACAAATTACATTTGAAAAAAAAAATGGTGATTTATCTTTATGATATTCGTTTTTGGGGGTTTTTTTGAGGGGGGGGGGTGGTCTTATTTTGTTGTCAAGCATAATTTACTGTTTATTTTGCAACATTGTGTTCATTAAAATGCATGTGGCATTCATAAGAAACTTATTATAAAATACGTCATGCATGTACTATATTTTGGATAAGTAGTTTTCCCCAATTTTACTGTGAGAAATGTAATTATATGTATGGTACATATATGCACAATGTGTAATTTCAAACAGTGTACGTTTGTTGAATTTCGCATGGGCCTAATTACTGGGAAAAAAATGCCTAAAACCAGGATTGCGGTCTTGGTATAGTTAAAAACAGTTGTTGGCCTATGGCCATACAGTCCATGCATCCAATGTGGGTATTTCACTAATGGAACGGCATCCACAAGTGGCCAGCCCCCAACTGATGTGTTGAGAGTAGAGTACTGCAAAATATGGACTCGAGGGCATCAGGGCATCCTGTTTGCAGCACTTCTTTTGCATCCATTTTGAGTCTGACTTGCACATCCATATATCCATGTACAGTTCTGAGGACACATTGTACATGGAAATTAAGAAATTATCATGAGCCATCGTGACACAGGGGTGTCGCTAGAGGGGTGTGTTTGTCAGTGAATAGTGCCATGTGTTGTCCCATAGTGTCAAATAAGATAGTCCACTTGAACAGCATCTTTTAAGAGTATCCCCATAGGCCATTAGTCATAAGGGCTCCCTTAGGCCAAAAAAAGTCTCCGGTTTCTGGTATGGAGCTTGCCACATAAGTGGTGCGGCGACGCGGCTTTTTTTTTAAAACTTTTTTTCTTCACTTTTTTTCTTCAAATGTGGGCTGATGACTGCAAATGGTGCCAGACTAAATTTAGTGCAAAATATATGGGAGTCCAGAGAGGCCACATAAAGCTTATACTCGATCGTAACCCCATCTAAAAACACGTTAAAATTGTGCAGTCAGCAGGATTCCAGTCAAACCAGTGAGTTTGGCGGTTTTGAGACATCATCTTACATCGATGTGCATGGCTACGGCAATGCGTGCGGATGCGCATGGCTACGGCGATGCGTGCGCATACCAGAAACCGGAGACTTTTTTTTAGGCCTTACCCACAAAAAAACATCAATCCAAATTATACACGTGTACATACATACATATGTACAACAAGTCACTACACTACCTGATGCTCTCTACCCAGTTTGTGTTCTTTAATTAAAAAGAAAGAAAGAAAGGTTTCCCAATTCATTGAAATGCTTAAGTTGGAGTAAGAAACAGATTTGAAAATGAGGGTATTGTCTTTAATCCCCCTGAAACAAGTAGGCTAAACACTGAATATTAATTGTAAACATGGTAAATAAAAATTATAAAGTATGTTTCTACGTTTCATAAAGTTTGTGAGATCATCTAGGTTAAAACATACCGGCCGGTAGGACTTTTTTTTGGTACTTTCGTAATTAAATGCACAAAGAGTGCATGAATGAGTGTAAAAGATTGTAAACAGCTAAAAGTCAAGTAGGTGCCGTAAATTTACTGACACACTGAAGTTTTTGTAACCTGTCACATCATAAAACCAATTCCCTGTGCTGCGGTTTTTACTTTGTTTTTTACTTGAGGCCTAATGTCAGCGTAAAATGACATGATCCCATGGCACGGAGGTCAACTCTAAGGTCACGGTAAAGTGCCCCCTGTGTAAACCCGCCTTGAGACCACAGAATGGGCTTAGGATTCCCCCTAGTGCTACAGTCTTGCCCAAAGCTGTACAAACAGGCAGGCGGTTTGGGGCAGAATTTTAATGGAGGGTCGCGCCTTTTGCAGAGATATAATGTCAATCCTGAGAGGTGTTGAACCACTGTTATTCCAGTTGGAGTTTTGTGGATTATAGAGAAATAAGAAAGGTTTATAGGCATCTTTTATTCCACTATCAGAAGTGAAAGTTGGTTTTAGAATAATTTACATTTAGTGCATATTTCTGAGTGGGCATGTGAAAGCAGTCTTTGACAGGGCTGCGGTTTGTGCTTCTTGAAAGTGTCCTGTTTTTTTAAGTCCTCGGCTTCACCCCCAATGGAGTTTTAAAGATAATTTGTACTGCAGTACGTACATGTAATGTAATTTAATTAGGCAGACTTGATTTCAAGAAAGTTGAAATAAGGTCATTTCAGATAGAACCCTGTATGAATGGGAAGCAAGCACAAATGCCAACATGAAGTTGGTATACTATAACAAACACTTGGGCCATAAAGTCCTAGCGAATTAGTACGAGCAGGATGATGTGCTTTTCCATCAAGTCAAAATTCATTCCAAATCATTCATGACCCAGTATTGTAGTTCAGTTTGTCACAAGTCCTCACAAGTCAATCAAAAGTCATCCAGTCCAGAGTCAAGTCACAAGCTTCGAACTTCCATGCTCGAAGTCACAAGCTGTTTCATGTGACCAAACTTGGAAGGACTGCATTTAGCCATGTGGTGTACAACACAGTCTTTGCCCTTTTATTGCAAGGGAAATCTCACGGAAGGAATAACAAATAACCAATCACATTTTTGTCTTGATTTCTCCCGTCTCCTCGCAGATTCAACCCAGGACCTCATCTATGCCCGATCAGGCGATGTCGTCACCCTTCCCTGCAACCAGACGCTCCCTACCCCATCCCCTGCCTTGCCGTTCGTTCCCTTCTTCCTCCAGTGGCGTCGCCTGGACCTCCCGTACCCGTTCTACATCGGCTTTGCCTCCTACCCTCCTTACATTGACCCCCAGTACGTGGACCGCGTGACGATCGAGGAGGACCTGTCGCTGCGCATCGATGGCGTCATTGCCGAGGACGATGGCTGGTACGAGTGCCAAGTCATCGTCCTGACCGGAAACTATGGGGACATCGGAAACGGGACGTTTGTGCATCTTGTTATAATTGGTAAGATCAATTCGAATGAAGTATGAACTGGCCTTGCGGCATCGTAGGCAGTGTGTTCGGATGTCTCTCCCAGTGGTCCTACCCAACTCTCCCTTTCTTACCGTTGAGGGGGGGTACTTGTGATTCTGTGTTTGTATCTGGTTGAAACTCAGTGGACAGTACAAGTTCCATTAACCCTAACTTCTTTTAGACTTATCTGGCAAAATAAAATTAGAAGCAATTTTTGAGGTACAATGTAGCAATACGTTCGCACTCAGTCGCACCCTGGTCGAAGGAGCCCGGAGTGCAACAGGAAAGAATCCTTCAAATGCGTTAACTGCATCAAACCCCAACATCATGAATGCCCTACACAAAACCTAAATGGGGTGTTTGGGTTACAGGGAAAAAGGTTGATGTTTGTATGCAGAGCTGTTAATAAAGGCTTTCATTCACAATTCCTTACCCATTGATTACTTAACATTCAATGGCTCTGCCTGTCGTCAGGAGAATTCTTGTCGTAGCCATGTTACTGTTTGTAATCTTATATTTTTTGATTTTCATAACCGTGCCAATTTTTGTTTTGGAAATAAACTCTTAACTTAATTTTTAAATTTCAAATTATTTGCAGCCTGACAAAAAACTATTAAAAGTGACAAAAATCACTAGGCTTGCAACCCTGCGTCAACCCCAAGATTGATTTCGCCCTGGGTTGAAATTCTTGCCAGGGTTCAAAACAGTAGTAACTGAGCATGATAAGCTTGATTTGCGTGAAACAAGTGTGAAATGATGCGGGGTTGAAAAATCAAAAACTCAACCCAGGGCGGCACTGGGTTTGCCCAGGGTTGAGTTCAACCCGGGTTGAAAGGCTCTAGTGTGAAAAGGGCTTAAGCCCGTATAAATGTATACATGTATACATGTACATTGTATGCAGTACCACATCCTCCACAAGTCATTTGTACAAAGTGTTCCATTACAGGTTTCAATAGCTCAATTTGCCCAAGGCCCCCTGCCATTGATCACCCTAAATGTTAAGTAATCAATGGGTAAGGAATTGTGAATGAAAGCCTTTATTAACAGCTCCCCATACAACCATTAACCTTTTTTGCTGTAACCCAAACACCCCATTTAGGGTTTGTGTATGGCATTCATGATGTTGGGGTTTGATGCAGTTAACGCATTTGAAGGATTCTTTCCTGTTGGTCCAAGTTATTAGGTTTCTGTTGTATTCGTTGTGTGATTAGAGTCAATAAATAAATGAGGCAGTCAATGGTGCTGGGGGGGGGGACTTATCATGTTCAATAACCCTCCAGCTTGGAAGGGGGTTGCAAGAGGGTTTTATTTGGGGGGGAGGGTCGAAAGACCTACCCCGGATGATTTTTACACGAATCTTTTCGTTTTACCACATTTAACAAAAAACTAGTTTATGCTTGGATATTGTTTGTTGTAAAACAGAAATTTTTCCAAGAACTCAATAGTTCCTTTCCCTGTGCTATTTCAGATTTTCACTCCGAAAAATTAATTTTGCTTTTTTAAATTGCCATTTTTCTAGCAATACAAAAGTCATTCAATTTCTGAATGAGACATTGTACCAAAAAAGCTGCCCATGTTTAGTTAGGGAATAGTTTAAGATTTTATTTCCAAAACCTGAAAAACGCCATTTTGTTAACTTTTACAATGTCAAACCCCAAAACTGCTCTTTTCTGGCTTCCCAAGGACAGTTTCGATGGCTGTTACATTAAACATTGTTTTATGAAGTTTAGAAACAGCCATTTTACTGTTCGTATAATATAATCTTTTATTTTTTGACTTTCCTAACCGTGCCAATTTTTCACTTTTTTCAAATGCATCGTGTTTTGGAAATAAACTCTTAACTTATTTTTTAAATTTTGATTTATTTGCAGCACATAAAAGTGTCAATAATTCGGTGTTTTGTGCTTTACGGACTCAAGAGCAATGCAAAAAGGTTTCCAGAGGGTTGAATTTGAGTCCAAAATGGGGAAAAAAAGAAAGCTTTTTCTGAGAAAAATCAAGGGAAATACCTGGCCCTGTGTAAAGCAATAAGCTGTAATTGCCTGACTCTAGTTATGGGGTACATACATGTGCCTTCATCAGTTCTACAATTAGATTTATAAATGTCACTTGCATTGCTAACTTATTTGGATCAAGAATAACACTTCTTAAATGTGGCTTACAAGATATGTACGTCTTTATTCCCAAAAATCTAGTGGAGCCTTCAAAAGCTCCATCCAATACCAACAAAGACATTACAGGCCCCCCCCCCCCCAGACATCAACCCACTCTCTCGTCATCTTCCAGTTTAGTCCCTGGTGGAAGTTACAAGGTACCATCAACCTTGCAAGGCAATTCATTGGCTGGAAGTAACTCTCGAGCATCATTCAAAATTTTGAATGGGTTTATCTTGCAGTGAAAATCTCTGCGGATCAAAGGATTGAACAGGCACTTCCAACCGTCGTCGGGAGTGTTGTTCCCGTGATCAAATGACCAAATGACCCATGAAATAAACAAAGGGCCTTGAGGCGTGCATTTTAAATGGTCGTTTGACTGGCCATGTGCTCCACACAATGGTCAGTCGGAGCGCAGGCAAGCATGCAAACACAGAGCACAACAAGAAGTCACTGGGACTTTCTTAAGGGCCTTTGGCTTACTTCACGCCTGGCCTCTTTTTTTTTAAAATTTAATTGTCAGCCTTGGGTTTTAACTGTATAGTCCTCTATTTGGGTTTTAAAGTTGCAGGCCAGTAGAAAAAAAAAAAATCTTGTTGCAATGTGAGTGACAGATCAAGGATTTTCAAAAAGGGTTGGCTGAGATAGTGAAGTCTGCATTTTTTAGGGGGGGGGGGGAAGAGGGGGGAACTGAGAATATATCAAGAAATGCAGAGAACACCAAATGCCTGAAGCAATACAAAAAGTTGCAATATTGAACAGCGCCGAAACCGTCCAATCACTCTATGGTTTATGGATTTTTCAGTGAATAAACACAATGTAGTACAATGTGTAGTACAACTCACCAATGGGTATCATTTCAGAAGAGGAAAATTAAGTGGGAGTTTTTTTTTAAATGTGAATAAGTAGATTTGATCAGATGAGTGGGGATTGTTTACAGCCATCCAAACCACCCCACTGCATACCTGTACATTGTAAACAGCCCTGGCTGTTGTGTCAAGGAGTTATTTTGCAGAATATCAATCTCATTTCTCCAAATTACAATCCACTGAGTCTCTTGTGTATCATAACTCATTGCATTCACTTGTACTCAAGTTGAACACATTTCCTTACAAAACGCATTGGACTGGACTACAAGCTAGGAAGTTAAAAGCACAGTCACACCAAATTGACCGACAATTTGTAGCATAAATTTACAACAAAATGTACATTGTACATGTACTTTGACTGCAGCTTTGGAATTATTTTTAACAGTCAAAACATGATCCAAGTTATTGAAGTTTCAAATCAGATGTACCCCCACCACCCCCCACCAACTAAAAAGGGACGTGCATGTACTGGTAGGAGTCCAATAGGAAACAGTCTTTTTTGTTTTATTTAACTAAATACCGGTAGGAAATGTATTAAAGTTAATGATACCGGTTCTTTATGTGTATAAACAAACTCCAATAAGTTGCATTGATGAAACCTACCAATTTGTTATCTTGATCCCATTTACCTGCAGTTCCTGTTTTGGTTCAAAATAAGCCACAATTTTCATATTTTTGGCTAAAAAGTGGGACAAAAAAATTACAGTCTCAAAATATTCACATTTTTTGTTAAATAACTTAAAGTTTTTGGGCCCTTTTAATGCAATTTCCCACTTTGGACCCCTACCGTAATTTAAAGAATAACCCATACAGTACGTACATGTACATGTACATGTACCGCCAGTACCGGTACATTGAACAGTAACAACTGTCCCATAAACACACATGTGGTTTGGTTGGCCCGGTTTGAAGTGGTTTCGGTTGGTGATTTAAATCCCCCTACTTTAAACACCCGTCAAATGGATTACGCGCACTGCCTGGGGCCATCGACCGGACACAAAAAGACTTGACATGCATTGAGGAAAGGCAGCCGCCGCCGTTATTCAGGGGAAAAAATGACACCGCGGACTTTTTTGTGTCCGTCACTTGTAACTTGTAAGAAGTGTAAGAACTCAAAAGGGACAAAGACCAGATTGGGTTACACAGCTTGAATGGATTCTCAAATCACAGATTTGCTTTCCCCTGGTCTTTTCCGAGGGGTGAGTTCAAACATTTGTAAAGCTAAACTGACATTTTGGATGTTGAGGGACAACAAAGTTTAATTCTTAGCAAGCTGGGTGGGAGGCCACCATTATGTTTTCAATGGTCTGGCCCCTTTTCTAATTGCACAAGGATTTCTCATTTTTTTCCTGTTACTTCTGGCGTATTCTTTCAATCCAAAAACTGTTATTGTTTTCTCTTAATGGCCAGTTTATAAGGAGACTGTCTTCACACTACGGTAACTCAATAGGCAAAGTAGAAAGAAAAACAAGTTGAATGCGTTTACATTCATTCAATAAGTAGACTAGGTTCTAGAGAGTATTTTGCAGTAAATTTGATACGAGTAATCCTCAGTCACAAAATGTGCACGACCAAACCGACGCTGTTTTCTTTTGTGAAGGATTCATGGATTTAGGTAGCTGGTTTAGATGAAAACCTTGTAGTTGGTGACTGTTTGGTCTTGTTAAGAATAACTTGAGTTCTTGACGGCATTTCCCTAACCTACGGCATACTTTTTTTATCCTGGTAACCTGACGCTGGTAATCTGCAATACAAAGAATAAACTTTTAGTGAGTTGTCGGCTTACTGTACAAAAATAGGCCACGGGCAATATGGACTTGGCTGCTTTCTTGTGTTCAAGTTTAAGTTAACAGTAGGTCGCTTCTGAATTACGGTACATGTACATGTATTACTGGTCATTTGTCAATTTTTACCTACAGTACATTTGTAAACTAATGAGAAAGAGTCCTGCTAGGACCAAAATTTCAAGCCCTGATGAAGACCAGGTCATTGAGTTGCTTACAGTAGCTTTTTTGTTTAGGCCAAAAAAAAAATACTCGGTCTCTGGTCAGCGCGCGCGTCGATTTTAATCATGCGCGTCAACCTTTTTTTTTTCTTCAAATTTTTGTACCAAGGAGCACCAAGGAATGGGAAAATTGCACCAAGGCAAATGATAAAGGGCACCAAGGCAAATTATGGAGGACACCAATGTATAATGAGGACACAAAAAAGTAAAATAGTACCCACTAGCTTGTCTGTACAATACAAGCTTGAAAAAAAAAAAAGCCACCAAAAAAAAAAAAAACCGCATCACCGCATCAATTCCGGAACTTCGGTCTGACCAGAGACCGACTTTTTTTTTTTTTGGCCTTATCATACCATTTTTTTTTATTTTGCTTATAAACCCTGGTTTTCTATCGCATCATTGATAATTGGACTGTTCTTAACAGAACAAAAAACTACTTAGCAAAGTTGATAATAAGCAGGACAAGTTCTTTTCAGAACTAATATCTTCTAAGCAGTAGTTATTACCACATGGTGTTACCGCAAACCGAAACGATACCGATACCCCACCATGCAAAGCCTCAAATCTTATATCATTGATAATTGCCATATTATCTTTGATTGAATTATTTCCCAGATTTGCAGCATTGCTAATGTTACTACCAGAAGCATTGTGACTTTACGTGTAATCCCTGACTACATAGCATACCGGTTTATGTCTTCTGAGTAGCGCCCTTGAACAAAGACATGTTTGACAAACGGGGGAACCGCCAACATTAATGTAGGGCTGGATAGCTCAGTTGGTGGAACACTGGAATGGTGTTCCGAAGGTCGGAGGATCCAACTCTACTCCAGTCAATTTCTTTGTTAAATTTGTATATCCTTGATAATTGTCAGCAATTGGAATTTAACGTACAAGCCGTGTTTTATTTTAAACTGATGCGATTGGTTTATTTCCTTTTTGTGAACTTTAAGGTCCGCCTAGATTTCTCTCCACTCCGCCAGCCTTGGTTGTCTTCCACGAGGGCAAAACTGAGGCCCTGCGGTGTGTTGCCAAGGGCACGCCCACCCCTACCGTCACCTGGCAGAAAGATGGCCGCCCGCTCACCAGCGATCACATCACGACGAGGGTTGATTCCATCGAGTTTGCAGGGGTGAGGCGTGAGGACAGTGGGACGTACGTCTGCAGAGCCCAAAGCGAGGAGGGGGCAGTGCAACACACCGTCCGCCTTCTAGTTCATGGTTAGTCACGTTAGTCTATAGGGCCCAATTTCATAATGCTGCAAAGCACATGATTTTCTTCATCGAGAGCCTCCGTCTATTTCAGGCAACAATAGAACAGGCACACTTTCCTCAGAGGAAAAAGTTGCTTAAAACCCTAACTCCCCAGCCTAATTTACTAGGAACCATACCCATTCTGGCAAATTCCAACACCAACATGAGAAATTGTACACACACACTGTTGGACTTAGTTTCTCGAGGTATGCCAACCCCAGTGTAAAAGACCATCAGTTTAGGGGTACTGTACCTATCCCAACAGATTTAAACAAAACCTGCTGTTGAACTTTGATGGGTTGAGTTCAGTTAGGGTTAAAGTAGTGACGTAACAATAGAAATCTCCATGCACGCGCAGCCATTAGCACATCCGCACCATGAAATAATGCATAAGGTTTGCACAAGTTTCTGCTATAGTAAGCACAACTTTTCTGTTTACTGTAAAATTATGTAAAAAAGTAAAACTGCTGCAAACTGCTTACTGACTGGATGGACCTGAAAAATTAAGCGGCACTATGAAATTGGGCCGTGAGTTGTAGACGAGTCCATCACAATTCCCTTCGTAAGTCCAGTCGCAAGTAACAAGGGATGTTAAGATATGCTTACATACATGTCACAGTTTGTTTGAAATATCAGTTTTTCCTTTTTCTTTTTGGATTTAAGTGCATGCAAGCTTTAAAATGGGGACACTATAACTTTAAATTTTGGAGATTCAGATCCTCTGGAACACCGTGGTTGGAAATTTACCCAGATGCCAACTGTGCATCCTCATCAAGCTTTCACTATTTGCCGTTGAAACCTAACTTTTCCGCCTTCATACCGATGGTTGCAGAGTCACAAGCACATTGCACAAGTTTTGACAATACTCTTACAAATTTTCACAACATACCCTCAGTAGTTTCTTGCAAAAACTGTCTTGCCAAGAACTGTTTGTGCTTTATCAGTAGGTGCTAGTTAACACAGGAAATGTAAATTAATACAAAACCTTTTCCGTTTTCATTAAGACGATAGTTCCTCATGAAATTTCGGAAAAAAATGTTGCAACCTGACGCCACTTCCGCGATTGTGTACAAAGTCTATGGAGAGTCAAGACAATTTTTCTAAGTATTTCCTAACAAAATTGGAAATGTTTCTCAGTCCCAGATTCATGTCTTATCAGTATTTTTGCAATGAATGACCTTCATTGAGATGATATATGAAGAAAAAAGTGGCGTCAGGTTGCAAATTTTTTTCCCGTAATATCTTTGCTTATGGAAGGTCCAAAATCTCACGAAGCAATTCCTTGTTTTCTTTATTTTACCCAGGAGCCCCCTTCATCTTCATCCCCCCACACAATCTCACCGTCATCAGCGGCCAGCCGGCCATCTTTGAGTGCGAGGCCCAGGCATCACCTGACAACGCCACCCAGCGATGGTACGATCACCATGGCAACCGCGTCCGGGAGTCCAGCAGATATGATTTGCTCCCGGAGGGTGGGTTGATGGTCAGAGAGGTGGGTCCCGAGGACGAGGGATGGTACGTCTGCAGTCCCACCAACGGGCTAGGGGTGGCTCCTGTAGCCAAGGGCTACCTGGATGTACAATGTGAGTTGCATTTCCGGCTTGGATGTAATTATCATTAAAGCTACAGTCCATCATTTGCAGCTATCCAAAAAGTAACTGACGTAATTATTGTTGAAAAACATACTTGGTTGAAAGATTGTAAGGAGACTAAACTCTCTGTGAATTGATTCTTTCTGGCAAGCTGTCATTTTGAAGAAATCAACGAAAGAAGGCCTTTCCAACAGTGCGTCTTAAGACGCACCGTTGGAAATTTCCGTTAGTAGTTTTTTTCTTTTATTCTGCGAAGCGCGCATGCTTTGGCATGACGCACACGCGCCCGCGGTTGCTCTAATTCGTTGGATCACTGCGCGACATCGCGTAGCTGCAATCCGCTCAGTGAGAACGTGTCTCAGACGCTGAATTCAGGCCCAATTCAAAACATGATTCAGCAACTTTTGATTTGAAATCGAGATCCCAGAATGCTGTTTTTCTCGGAATATACAGCTGAAGCTGAGCTCAAACTTCATCAGGTTAGTTGTTCAGCACCCTTTTTTAGATTTTGAGCACTGTTGTTGCTTCAATCGAACAAAATGTAGAAGTTACAAATGATGGACTATACCTTTAAGTCTCTTAGAAATTGTTTTCTAGTTGGTGGTCAGTCCCTTCTAATTATATCAAGCCATTCGAATGCCTCTCTTAACCAGTTCTCACCGGAGGTCGTGTATACACGCAAAAGTTTTGCGGTATTCGGAACGGATGACAGATAAACACGCAGGGAGCGAGGCCAGAAATATCTGTCAGCGACCCGCTCGCATCGAGCAAGGCCCGAAATAAGGTGTAGGTTCTTTCAGCAAAACAAAAACAATTCACACACATCCCTATGTGATTTGTTTTCGTTTTGCTGAAAGAACACTTACCTTTTTCGTGATCCGTGGACAGAACTTTAAAACGGTGGTTGTGTTTAAAATTCCGTTACTTGAAAATTACATGAATGATTTGAATGATTCTTGTACTAAAAGAAAGCTTATGAATTGGGCTTTCATATTCTAGATTTTGAAAGAGCTACATGCAGAACTTCACTAAAACAATGGTCCCGACATTTGGTTTTCATTTTTTTTACTCACCGTGCACATCGGAGTACAGACCCTGTGCCTATGGGTTAATGCTGCACAACATCTCAGCTACAAAATCTCAATCCTCACTGAATGCCTGGTGAATATTTAAGGAATAAAAACAACACCTTTAATTTTTAGCTAGAACAAAGCTTGGCCTACTGCATACATTGTTCCTGAGGTATCACATAATTCAACATGTAACAATTTAAAAAACTACAAAAAATTACCAAGTCTTTTTTGTTCTTTTACAGACCCAGCAGTTGTCGTATCCATGCCGTCCAATGCTTACATATCCAGAGGCTTAGATGTGAGGCTGTCATGTCCGGTGGATGCTGACCCGCCGCTACTGAACGTGATTTGGCGTAAAGATGGTTCCGAGATCATAGTGCGCCGATCAAACAGGTATTTGAAACCTGTTTTGGAATGTCTGAACCAGTGCATGACTGTAAACTGACAATTCTTACTGTGAGTTTTGTGTTGCCTCCAGACTAGTCATATCTCTTGAAAGTTGAATAAGATAAAGGAATTTGAGATGGAAGAATAAGACAGAGTCAGATCTTGGAATGTTAATTGACCTTATCTTCGCAGATACAGCATATCAGATGAGGGCAGCCTGACCATAGCCAGAGCAGAGACGGGAGACAGCGGCTCTTACACCTGCACCCCTTATAACAAGATTGGAACAGCCGGGGAATCCACAGCCACAGTACTCATTGTCAGAGGTGGGTGAAACCATATTTGTCTTGAGGGGTATTTGGGGAGTATATCTTCCTGCATGAAGACATCTTTTTTTGTCACCACACAAGATTCAAATCTTGTTTTCTTGTTTTCTTGATGCCTTGCAGATCCACCGCATTTTGTAACCATACCCAAGTCGCTATACCAACGGTTGCTAGGTGAGGATGTCACAATCCCGTGCACGGCAACTGGTGATCCCACGCCGATAATCTCATGGAAAAAGGTGAGGAGTGTTCGAGAATTCTTGGGATCCGACAGTTGATTAAAAAGATTTACATGAGGGTCCTGATGCAACTTTATGTCATGATTTCACATTTCAATATCTTAGCAGGCTTGACGTTGAAGGTTTTGGGGACACTTGGTCAACCCTAGATGTTGACATGCTCACAAACAGAAAGTGCGTTCCTTGTACTTAAAGGGAATACACAACATTTGCAAACATCAAGAAACAAACCTACCAAATTATTATGAAATGCCTTACTGGACTGTTTAAATAGTGTATGACAATCTCAAGCATTCTGTAAAATCATGGCACCTGAAGTGCTGTCATTTTCAACAAAAGTGGTATTTTTGTATCAATTTCCAATGCTGGTCGGCCGACAAATAACGCCGTCAAGTTTGATAGTGCTTGTCCTCAAATGTACAAGTTTGTTATGAGATTCTCCAATGTACATTGTAATGTACAATGTAATGTACATATGTAGCTCACCCTGGACACATCACCACTGTGTGCTTTATCAGAAATGTGTATAATTGCGGGCAAATTCCAAAAGGAATACTGAAAACAATTAAACATGCACGTATGCCGTGGCTGAGCTAGCTCATCCGGATAGATCACAAGTTGTAGGTTTGTATACACTTCTATGTCTGTGGAATTGCAATCATACTGCCATCTGCAATTTTGGTCCGTGTATATTTGACTAGCACTACGGTGTTATTGTAACCTTTAAACAGAAATGCTGGAGTGTTTATGAATTGTGATCCGCCCCCACATAAGGAGAATATAAAGTTGCAGAGTATCTTTTACTTGTAGAGTAATATTTACATGTATGCTATAAAGATGCTATGAAGTACTTAAAACTGTGATAATTTTCCAGCATTTCGATGACCTGCATCAACTTGTTTACAACTTCATGTTGTTCACCGTTAGAAACTTTTTCTTGCGCTGTAATCTGTTATATTGTATTACATTTTACTTTACCTCATATAGCCGAACTCTCACTAGTCAATTCACCATCACGTGCCAGATGTTATTCTTGCTGTTTACCAAGCGCGCGTGCGAGGATTCGCGCACAGGGTAAATACGCATGCTTAGTAGACGTAACCCGTGCGACAGTCTACTACGCATGCGCTTTACAAAGCAATCGTGGAACTGTCGCACGGGTGTAGTACGCACGCCCGAACATCGCCCAAACGAGCTACACATGAAGAGATGGTTGCACGGCTCAATGATGCCGAACTAGAGAATATTTATGGACAATAAAGATGCCTCCTGTGCAAAAGAATGTTGTACACAAACTACTGTATTTACAGCTGCACTGTATTGTAAACGAACAGAACTAGTGAAGTTGAGCAATACGATTCTTTTGGTGAACTGGACATATTTTTCAAAAAAAAAAAATGTTTGAGGTGCATACTGCAACGAAAAAAAAAAAACCAGCGCTTCTTCTTCTCTCGTATGCTGCCATCGTCTCTTCATCACACTTGCAACTCGGTGGAGAAAAGCCATGTCTTTGTGTCATCGTCCAGGGTGATAATGCCATGAAAATGGCGCTGAATATGTATGAGTTATAGTAAAACAAATATAACATGGTTTATTTCGGGTAGACAGCCGATATTAGCTCCCCTCGGTATTGGAAGTTGACAAACTAGTTCCCTCGGCTTCGCCTCAGGAACTAGTTTGTCAACTTCCAATACCTCGGGGAGCGAATATCGACTGTCCACCCTCAAACCATGTTATATTTGTATAGTGTATGACCATGCTCAGGCGGTTCCGAATGCTACAGGGAGTTTTGGGCGCTAAAGTGACTTTGGGTTAAATGTTGCAATTCGTTTGAGCTTTGGAGCAGATGAAGTACACGTATATAATAGTTACAATTAAGTTATTTTTTTGTTTAAGTGTGGTATCATAATGTTACAGTTCTTCAAACAACTTCAGTGACAGAGTGTTAATAGAAATTACAAATGTTTACTTTTCTTATCGTTTAGATCAACGGTAAATTGCCACAGTTGCGGTCAAGCGTCTCCCAGAACAGCCTGATGATACGCGGACTGACCAAAGAGGATCATGGGATATACCAGTGCCTAGCAACCAATCAGATTGCAGCTGTTGTCAGCACCACACAGCTTATTGTTGAACGTAAGCTTAATCTGCTTCTTCCCTAAACTCTGGGGTAAAAAAAACCAACAAAATTCAACACATTTCTGATACACATTTCTTATAGAAAAGAATAGATATGAATAGACCTGTGCGTATTTAGAAATGAATGTGTGTTCTTTTCTTGTTACAGACATTATACTAAAAGGCTGAGTTGTTTAAAATGAAAGCCAGTTTTTCAAGATTTTTTTATTTATTTTATATTTTTTGCAAAATAACTGGGCACATTTTTTTCACAATTTTTGAGTGATCCATTCAACCCCCTCAAAAAAAAAAATTCATGACAAAATTCGAAGATTTTTTTCCCCAAAACTTATGTACGCCATTTTGTTTCCTTCTAGGATTCTCTCTCCTGACTGCCCTAAAGCTATTTTGAAGACAGTTAAATACTTAAACACAACTTAAGAATACAAGAAAGTGAAAAATGAAGTTTAGAAACAGCTGTTATGCTGTTTTTTATTCTTTAAAGTTCCATAACCGACACAATTTCCACCTTTTTCAAATGGATATGTTGCATTTTGGTAGTAAACTCTTCATTTGTTGTTGAGTTATCAATCATTCACAAGCCCATTAAAAGACTTTATATTTTTCTTCTTTAAAAACTTGACAAGCTTCACCCAATACCACTTATTTTTTTTCTTCTGTGACACGTATTTCTCCCAGAAATGAACTTTTTATCATGGACGGCCATTCATTGACTGGCCAAATGGCTGATAGTGTAATGTCAGCCAATATTGACACTAGATAGCGTGAAAATCCCACATCCTCTTACACACTGACCAATCTGTTTGTCTGAAAACCTGGACATAACAGTAACCCAGATAAATTTGATATGGCACTCTTGTTTATCAGATGGACCTGTTTGTTTAACTCTCGAATACCTGAAACCTGAATTTGCAGGGACAATGCGAATTCTGAACAATGGAATGCCTCCGATGCTAGTCATACTAATTTGTCATTGTCAGTTCCCAAGAGTGGCGGTATTGGGTATTGCTGTTATTTGTTTGTTTGAAATTCTTTGAAATCCGTCCGAAGATTGTGAAGATTTTGCTTGATTTTGGGGGAAGAACCAATTACTGCTTAACATGGGCATCGATGCCCTTTCAAAGTTTAAAGATTAGCTGTCTATGCTATTTAAAGTTTCACCTCGGCAATACAAAAGTACCAAAATGAATGAGACATTAAATGAAAAAAATCCACTCTTGAACAACAACTTTTCAAATATTCAATATTTTGTGGCCCCAAAATAATTCATTTCCAGCAGGGCTGATCGTTTTGTGCACTTTAGAATCACACCAGCAACCAAGTACACGTAGGTTTACAGATGTCACGTTAGAAACAGAATTATACAAATAAAACATACAAATGAAACATTTGTTTGGAAAAAAAATTCAATATGTTGAAGAGCTAAGACAGGAAATCTTGAAATACAAAGGGTTTCTGCAGAATGGTGCATTTTTGAGGAGTCAAATGTTTTTGCTCGCATGCTTCATAATCTTTTTGATATTTTTTCTTCCCACTTTTTAAGACAGCCTTTTTTTTTCTTTTGCAGTGACCTCCCCGCATGAACCCTACAATGTCACCGTGGCGACTACTATAAGCTCCGCCCGCGTTGCTTGGCAACCAGCCTACAATGGTGGCTTTACTCAAACTTACACAGTGTGGTAGGGGACTGTTTTATTTTCTTCTTATGAATTTTTTTCTATTTTTAATTTAATGTATCATGATATTCGTGTAGTATTTTAGACTAATATCCTACAGCCACTAAAAATTAAGCCATTATGATATTGTTTTTGAAAGACTCTAATTGTGATAACTTTTTCTGGTCAAAATGAGAAACTTAATTTTGAAATTGCATTTCAGAATGTCCATCATATTGTCAATCTGCAGATGTTTTAACCTTCCTATGCAAACACACAGTCTGTGCCAAGTTGTTCTTTCAGTCAAAATCAATCAAGTGACTGTTTTCAACAGTTAAGAATTCCCAGCCTACACAAAGCAAGATTGACTGGCTTTAACTGTTTGTGTACATTGTGACTCGACGATACAGCTTTGCTTTGGCTGTGGGCAATTGATAAGCCAGCTGTGCCCACAGCCATGACAACTTGCCTGCTTTGTCTGTTCATGGTCTGTTGACTGAGTTTGACTGGTCACAGTGCTTGCTTGACATATGATCTGACTGCTGGTGACTAGCCTGCATTAAAAGTATCCAGGGCCCCCAGGGAGAACATAAAATGATAAATAAAAATAAAACGATAAATAAAAAGGGGGAAGTGGATGGAAATTGTGACTGTCTGTGACTGTTTAAATAGCAGAAGGGTTAAGGCAGGAAGAAATGATGAGAACAAGTCCATGTTTGTACATCTTGAACTTTTTAACAAAGCATGATTTTTTTGTTGCTTTTCCCCTTCTAATGGTTTTACAAGACTGTATTTTGTTTGTTTCTTTGAAGGTTCCTTGAGGCGGGAGTTGCCAATGAGGAGTGGTCCAAGTTTGACCGAATTCCAGAAAACGTCAACTTCTTTATTGTCCATGACTTACAACCGAGCACCGAGTACCTGTTTGCAGTGGTTGCCAGTAACCAACTTGGAGACAGTATCTTCAGTGAAACAGTCTCAGCAAGAACAAAAGGTAAGTGAAACAGTCTCAGCAAGAACAAAAGGTAAATCTCTCCTAACGAATGGGATTTTCATGACTTCACTTCAATTGTTACAGTGGCGTTAATATCCTACTCAACTATTCTTGCAGCAACATGCCTAAATGCTTGTAGTTAAAAACATTGATACAGCACCTGAATAACTCCCCGTCGTCTGATTGGTGGGTCGTTGACCACGTGTCATTGAATTATTCATCCTAACCCACCGCACCCCAAAAATAGAAGCTGTAGTCCACGCCAAGAAGTTCCATTGCGCGGTCACATGATTGGTGGCTCTGACCAATCAGATGACGAGGATATATTCAGGTGTTGTAGAAAACAAATAATGAATGTTTCACATTCGTGCAATGGAAAGAATAATTTCATTCGGTGACAGATGGAATGTTCCATTCCACTCGGCTTCACCTCTTGGAATGGAACATTTGTCACCTACTGACATTATTCTTGCCATTGCACTCATAAACATTCATTTGTATATTATTTTGCAAATTTTTTGTCACAGATATGGATGAACTTGTGTCACCAACTGACGAAACTGGAAAAACGCTGATCCCTATTTATATTGGTAAGTTTGAAAAATGATATATATCTCAAAGAAAGCTTAGTCTACATGTGGCATGTAGGTGATGTACATGTATCGCCAATGAACCGGATGTTGATGACTAGAATATTGGTTCCAAAAAAGGTTAGAAAATAAAAAGATATCTTTTCAAAATCAGTGTTCATTTGATCAAAGGGATAAACGCAGGCAGGATTGGAACCTTGGACCTCTGCAGTACTGTACCGGAGCTCTTTTAACTGAGCATTGTAGCTAGCCGTATAAATGACAGTTTCGATTTTGTGCACTATTTTTACCATTATCGTCATTGCTTTTGTCCAAAATCCTCCTTAACCCATTAGCACTTGTACTACATTGTATTACATTGTGTTTACTCACTGAAGAATCAGTAAAACCATAGAGTGCTCAGACGGGCACTACAGTAAGTAATCGGCAGGGTTGTTTTGGGCACTACAGTGCAGTAAAATGATTTAGCTTGAAGGCTATTTATTTTTCTTGCTAGGCATATGTGGGTCATTCCATGTCAGACCAACGCACTTTTTTACCTCATGTCTTCCGATTTTGATAAAAATTGCTGTGCTTGTAGGTCCTAATGAGCAATGAATACACACCAATTTTTAGCCCGATCCGACCTACCATGTGGTCAGGGCAGAAGCCACAAAAAAATGGCATTTTTAGAGTAAAATACCACCCTTTTGGTATAAATATGTCAAAACTATGGCAATTTTCTTCGAATATATGTGAATTTGGTATTAAAATAATGAGGATTGCATGCTCAAATCACTTCTTTTGTCAAAATTAAATTTTGTGAAAAGTAGGTCACGTGACCTTTAATATGCTATCGTGACCTTTGACCCAATTTGTGTAATAATGTATCATTCCGAAAATCAACGAAATAAAAATAACTTGCTAGAGCATGTCTTCCTCTATCAGAATCTACTAAAAATCAGTTGGGGTCTTCAAAATTTACAACTTTATGACTATTTTTGTACAGTTGGTAGTTTACAAATGAGTCAATTTATAGACTTTACATAAGAAATACACCAACACAACTTACTAATCTGTTTCTTAAGTTACTAAAATTAATCTAGATTTTTATGTATAAAGTACAAAGCCAGGAAAAACAAAATTCTACCTTCTGATTCCAAAGAAACTGTCTAATCAGAATATCTGGACTCGGAAGTGTGCTAACCACTAACAGTAACCAGGCCTTCACCCAGTACAGCGGACTCACGTCCAGGTGAAATTCATATCAAAGGAACAAAATGCCAAGTCTGTGAGAGTCATTAAAGTTCAAGAAGCACAGTGATGAATGAGTAAAGGTAACTTTGATTGTAATATTAAGTATTATCTTCAAGCAAACTTGAATCCTAGACCCTGATTAGTCCATCTATAGCAACAACTGTGTGATTTTATATAATATTGCACAGCTATATTGCACCCCAGATATTAAAAATGTACGTGTACATATGTTGTGTTATTTCCTGCAGAACGGACCAAAACAGTACATGTATGCACGTACATCTTCACCGCGTGTACGCATTTGATATCAAGTTTGCTTGAAGATAAATTGGTTATAAATCCCACTTGCGTTCGTGGAACACGGAATTATGTAGTGCATCGAGTGGCATATGGGTCACAGCAGCATTGCATTATTTCATATTCCAAGCGCGCTCGTGGGATAACTAATTATCAGTGGCACCCAGGAGGGGGGGGGGGGGGGGGGGGCTTGAACCCACCCCCAACATTGTCAATTTGTTTGTTTGATTTTAGGCTAGTTTTTGTTGGTCCAATCTTTTACAGAAATTCGAACAAAAAACGATTTATGACCCCCCCGCCCCCCCCCCACCAAAAGCCAAATCCTGGGTGCGCCACTGCTGATAATTTACACTATGAGTCTGGTTAGACCTCATCAGCCCTCAGAATGAGAAATGCACAAACCAAGATATATTTTAGTAACTTTAGAAACGGAATAGTAAGTTGTGTTGGTGTATTTCTTATGTAAAGTCTATAAATTGACTCATTTGTAAACTACCAACTGTACAAAAATAGTCATAAAGTTGTAAATTTTGAAGACCCCAACTGATTTTTAGTAGATTCTGATAGAGGAAGACATGCTCTAGCAAGTTATTTTTATTTCGTTGATTTTCGGAATGATACATTATTACAAAATGTGGGTCAAATGTCACGATAGCATATTAAAGGTCACGTGACCTACTTTTCACAAAATTTAATTTTGACAAAAGAAGTGATTTGAGCATGCAATCCTCATTATTTTAATACCAAATTCACATATATTCGATGAAAATTGCCATAGTTTTGACATATTTATACCAAAAGGGTGGTATTTTACTCTAAAAATGCCATTTTTTTGTGGCTTCTGCCCTGACCACATGGTAGGTCGGATCGGGCTAAAAATTGGTGTGTATTCATTGCTCATTAGGACCTACAAGCACAGCCATTTTTATTAAAATCGGAAGACATGAGGTAAAAAAGTGCGTTGGTCTGACATGGAATGACCCATGTATGCAAATTTGTGATTTGTATGGCAAGTTGTTCGCACTTCAAATTCTCAAAATTTTGGCACATTTTTCCTCTTCACTGTGACTGGGCTGTGACTCCTGTGTACATTTATTTATTTATTTATTTATTTTTTTGTTTATTTATTTATTCCATTTCTTTACCCAGGGTATGCCCAAACAGTTAAAAACTGGTTTCCATTGGGGTCCTGCATGCATAACAAATTCTTAAATAATGTTAAGTAAAGTTAAACTCATAAGGAAAAGTACATTGGTGAAAATACGAGGAACATTAATATTGACAAATTTAAGTACATTTATCTCAGAAATATTAAAGAAAAGCTATATATAGCTTGCTAAACATTCAACTACAATGTACATGTATGTGTGTGACTGTATGATCTGATACACCGTGCCCTCTGGAGACGTGCAGACAATAGGAAACAAAAGATTGTATACGTCTCCACAGGGCAATTTCTATAGATGAATACCTCTCCACAAGATTTTCACGAAATAGATATATGGATTTTACTCAAAAACTAGGAATTTCCAAGGTGGGTTGATGTGTCGCAAATGGAAGAGTTTTAGAAAAGGGATATTAAGTCCGAATTTCAGCCAAAGAAATTAATTCTGGTTAAAATAAGAGCATTTTGAAACTTCCCTTTCAAACTCGAAAACTTTACTACACCAGAACAAAGAAATGTCTCCACAAGAATACAAATTTCAGTATAGTAGTTCACACACATGTGTGACTGGAGTGCACTTACTGACATAAAAGGTTAAAAACACGTTTGTCCCCTTTAGCGTTTTGAGTGGGCCTATGTGCTGTCTAACATCACATCTGTCGGGGGTTTAGTGATAGAACTTGAAGATCAGATGTCGTGATCTACATGTACACTGTACATCAACCTAGACAAAGTACCGGTTCCCTGTAAACATTGCAGAATCCCCAATATGGCTTTTCACCGGTTCACTGGTCCCTGAGTAAACCACTCTGGACCAGTTGTTTATTATTGTTTGGATTTGCCTGTCAGTAGACAGATCCAGAAAATGTCTGCACCGCGTAGTTGATGAGTTGTGTTCCGGTGATTCACAGTTTACGCTAGAACTTGGTGATGAACTCTGTCGGATTTCTTGAACAGTTCACTGAATCTGAAGTGCGTACGGCTGTACACTTGTGACTTATTATGAGTTTAAGTTGCTCATTGTTTTTATGTGTTAGTGTGTTCTGTGCATTATGAGGACAATCAGCAGGAATATTGCAGTTGTTGACATGAAGGTGTCATGCTACTATGGACGAAACCAGGAAGATCTTTTAACATTTATGTGCTTGTTCATACTGATGGTTCTTGATTCTTTACGGGGTGTGGATGTGTCAACTTTGCCTTTGCAAGATCTTCTGAGATTTAACAGTCAAGCTAAAGCTTTTGAGTGAAAACCTCTAGTAAAGTTCTTAAAAAAAAAGGAGTTAAATGCCTATTTATGAAAGTAAACAAGTCCTACTTATTACTCACTGTAGGGCCCAAAACCGCCTGATCACTCTATGGTTTTATTGATTTTTTAGTGAATAAACACAATGTAACACAATGGAGTACAAGTGCTAATGGGTTAAAATCATTACTGTTTATACATGTTCAAATATACATGATATAGAATTATTTTTTTAACCTTAGAAATTGATAAGGGGTGTATAATACACATGTACATTGCACAAACACAAAAGAGAATTGGTTGTGGAAAGTATTCAAGAATGGCGTGCAGCACTTGGACTCCAGCAAATATTAACATACATGTAGGGCCTAGATGTTTCACGACATCAAATTTTCTTCACATTAGCATGGCGGATATGAAATGGTCAAAAAGGTACAGTCCATCTTTTGCAGCTATCCAAAAAGTAACTGACGTAATTATTGTTGAAAAGCATACTTGGTTTAAAGATAGTAAAAATGGGACTAAACTCCCTGTGAAATTATTCTTTCTGGCAAGCTGTCATTTTGAAGAAATCAATGAAAGAAGGCCTCTCCAACTATGCGTCTAAAGACGCTTCTTGGAAATTTCGGGGTTTTTTTAATTCGGCGAAACACGCGCAAGCGTTGGCACGACACACATGTGTGCTAGGTTGCTATGATTTGTCAGTTCAGTGCGCGACATCGCGTAGCTGCAATCGGCTCAGTGAGAACGTGTCTCTGACGCTGAATTCAGGCCTAATTCAAAACATGACTCAGCAACTTCTGATTTATAATCGAGATCCTAGAATACTGTTTTCTCGAAATATACATGTACAGCTGAAGCTGAGCTGAAACTTCAGGCATGTCAGGTTGGTTGTTCAGCACCCTACTTTAGATTTTGAGCTCTTTTGTTGCTTCAGGCGAGTTCATAATGCACAAATTACAAATCATGGACGCTACCTTTAATGCTAGTCATGAAACCATTGTGTTGCAAACTTAAAAAATATTTTATTAATTGTTATTATAAATAAATATAGTTTTATCACTGCTATACTTCCGGTATATCACTGCGATTCTATCAAGTAGAAAAGGTGTATGTGTGTGTTCACAATTTGCTCATGCAAATCAGTCTCACCTGCAAAGCACATGCGAAGCAGGCAACACACCAGCAAGGCAGGCGACAGGTGGGAAAACAGCCTCCACCACAAAGTAAACTACTCAATACCCTTAAAGTAGCCAATACCACTTATTTATTGTTCACTTCTTTTTCTTTGAATTTCTAGGACTCACCCCCTCCCCTCCACAAAACCTAACCATCACACCGTCACAAGAGGGCCTCTTTCTCGCCTGGTACCCACCGGCTCTCTGGGGCCAGTTTGTCAGTCGTTACTCCATCGAGTACAGACTAAGCGGGCCCTGGGTGATATTGTACGACCGTGTGGACGTCGACCAATCAGACAAGCTCTTAGAGAGCCTACAGCCCAACACGACGTACCAGTTTCGCATGTTTGCCTTCACGCCGATGCTGTATAGCTCACCTAGCGAGGTGGTCACCGGTTTTACTGGAGGTATGTACACATTGCGACCAGACCTACAGATGTGACACCATAATACCTGGGAATTAAAAAACAAAAACGTGGCTGCGCTCTTTGTTGTGGCAAATAAAATATAAATTGCAGTGTATACTAGTGAGTTTTGCGATCACATTTGGAAGGATCTCTTTTTAGAAGAAGTGTGGTTCTGAAAAGAATCGATTGTTGTGAAACTTGACGTTCCGATCAGTATGCTCTGATTGTCTGAATAAATAAGACACACTGGCGCTTGTTCTTTAAAAAAGTTCTGGGTCGGGATTTTCTTTTCATGGGTCATAACCCAAAGAGTGAACCACTTTTTAAAAAAAAATCTATCGTATCATTCTATCATTTCTTTTTTCCCTCAGATATCCCAGCATACATTCAGCCAATTCCAACAACAGCCCGCACCCCTCAGTACGGGGAACCGGGCATATTAGCCGGTGTCATAGCCGGGATATGCTTCCTCATTCTGGTGCTGTTGCTGAGCATTCTTGCCGTGTGCATCAGCCACAGAAGAAAGAAGAAGAAGAGATTAGCGTTCTTCAGTAAGTGGATTTTTGTCCTGATGTGTAGTTTTGTTTAGAAAAGGAGTGTTTGATGATCTACAGGTTAGGTGATGATACTGTGACTGTTCTTAGCAAACAGACTGTGAAGTCCAACCTTGCATAATGGCATTAAAAATAAAACTCGGTTGGTTGGCTGTTTTGACATTTTTTGTTTTCAGAAATGAATAGTTTGTTGTATTATCATTCACTTTTAAGAAATCAGAAATGAACACAGGTTTCCCATGGTTATTGAAACATCATGGAAAGTCCTGGAAAAAAGTTGTCATGGAAAGTCATGGAAAAGTCATGGAAAAAAAATATAAAAAGTCATGGAAAAGTCATGGAAAAGAATATAAAAAGTCATGGAAAAGTCATGGAAAAAAATATAAAACGTCCTGGAAAAGTCATGGAAAAAAAGTTGTCCTTGAAAGTCATGGAAAAGTCATGGACAAAAAAAAAGTCATCGAAAAGTCATGGAAACAAATATAAAATGTCATGGAAAAGTCATGGAAAAAAATATTAAACGTCATGGAAAAGTCATGGAAAAAAATATAAAAAGTCATGGAAAAGTCATGGAAAAAATATACAAAGTCATGGAAAAGTCATGGAAAAAAATACAAAAAGTCATGGAAAAGTCATGGAAATCAAGATCATGTAAGGGTTCTTTTTGATGGGCCGCTTTAAGGATGGCTGTAAGGGGAGCAGGAGGCCATTATTAATTAAAACTTATTTTCAGAAGCGAACAAATGGTTAGCCTAACATCAGCGGTTCATCAGTATCATAATATCAAACAGCTTTTCCCTGCAAAATGGCGTTGTCATGGAAATTGTCATATTTTAGTCCTGGAAAGTTCTTGAAAAATCATGGAATTTGGTTTTCAGATTTCCGTGGGAACTCTGTGAACATTATCAATCCCAAAGCAGTTAAAAAAAAAGCTTGCATTTAAAGTGGTTAGGGGTCGAAAATGGCCTCAGCCACATTTTTTTCGAGACCCCTTTTTTTCGCAAGTCGACTGATGATGACTGTTGAGTCATTGATTATTAAAAGACTATTGATTGTTTGACGTGTTTGATTAACTGAGTGATTGATTGAAAAACAAAATTACATCTTCTCTTAACTGATTGGGTTTTGATAGTAAACGTCTTGCCTTGCTGTGAATGTGTAACCATAGAGCAAGGAACAGAAACTGATCAGTCAGTTTTGAGTCAATAATTTTCAGCCCTTCCCTTAGGCCAAAAAAAAAAGTCTCCGGTTTTTTTGGTATGGAGCTTGCCCAAAAAGTGGTGCGGCGACGCGGCTTTTTTTTTTTTTTTTTACCTGATTTTTTTGCTTCAAATGTGTGCTGATGACTGCAAATGGTGCCCGATTAAACTTAGTGCAAATATATGGGAGTCCAGAGAGGCCACATAAAGCTTATTCTCGACCATAACCCAATCTAAAAACACGTTAAAATTGTGCAGCAGCAGGATTCCAGTCAAACCAGTGAGTTTGGCGGTTTGAGACATCATCTTTCATTGAAAAAAAAACTTTTTAATTTTGCCGACGCGCATGGCTACGGCGACGCGCGCGCATACCGGAAACCGGAGACTTTTTTTTGTGGCCTTATAGACCATACCAGGCAAGCTATCAATGCTATCATGAAGGCCCCCGTCAGTGGCGAAGGCATTGTGCTAGCTATTGTTCAGATAATCCCTCACAGGACAGTTGCTTTGTACAATAGCGTGCACAATGGTTTCTCCATTGAAGGGGGCCTCCTGAACAGTGATCACACCTGCCTGGATTTGTCTATCCTTGGACCACAATGCACTATATATGTACATGTAAGAAGAACATATTCATGTTGGCAAAGTATAATTGGTTGGGTTCACTTCTGTTTTAAAATACAAAATATTTTCCACATATTTGCATGAATCCTTTTCTTCTGAATCCGTAAGCATTCACAATTTGCATGATTATCCAAAGTTTACATGTAGAATACCTGCACCATAGCATTCCGTATGAAATAGGTATATGGAATGACGTATGCCTTGGGATGCGTATCTTGTGGCCACTAGAGGGCGCTTTACTCATCTATGTGGTCGTTGCGTTTCTCGTTTGTCATTTCCAGGTGTTGCAGCCCAGACCCCACAACCACTAATACACAGACCCCAACCAACACAGTAAGTGAGCCACCTCTAGTACCCTGACTCCCTGCCACCATTCACCTGCACTTTGTAATGGACAGACACTGTCTAGTATCCCCAAGGATTAGTCCCTGTTGCATGGATTCTGATATTGATTTGTGTGAGACTGAGAAGCATTATAAAAAAGTACTGTAGCTATACGTATAGTTGTCAGTGTGTGTGTGTGTGTTTTAAAGTCACCTAATGAATGAAGTTTATCATTTCACAAGAAGGAAATGCATGATGGAATTGATCGCCATGGAATTACGAACTGTCTGGGAATGTCAGAATTTGTCTATTTTTACACGTACAACAGTCCTTTCATTGTGCACCAACTTCTTCTTTCATGGCCCTATGTCTAAGTGTTTCTGATCTGATACATCGTGCCCTCTGGAGACATGCACACAATAGGGAACCAAAGATTGTATACGTCTCCACAGGGCAATTTCTATAGATGAATACGTCTCCACAAAGTTTTCACAAAATATGGATTTTACTCAAGAAATAGGAATTTCCAAGGTGGGTCTATCTGTCGCAAATGGAAGAGTTTTAGAAAAGGGATATTAAATCCGAATTTCAGCCAAGGAAATTAATTCTGGTTAAAAGAAGAGCATTTTGAAACTTCACTTTCAAACTCGAAAACTTTACTACATGAGAACAAAGAAATGTCTCCACAAGCATACAAAGTTCAGTATTCGTGTTCTTTTAGTTGTCGTCATTCTTTATCTGCCATCTCAGTGTTCAAGAACTTGTAGTAAATTGAGCCTGCTGTCACCCACCTATGACAGGTTACAGTCATACAATCATCAGGACCCAATTTATGGCACTGCCAATCACAGAATCCTGTGCTGATGGTGATTCTGTCGGCACAGAACCCTTAGTTGTGAAATGCATGCATGCATACAAGCCTCAATTTGATACATTGGAAAATGGCTGGCTTCAAGTTCACAATGATATTAGTAAATTCATCAAGTATTGATGGTATATTTAGTACTTTTTAACTACAATACCTGTTGTAAATTTGAACGTTTTCAGCCTGTTGGCTGCTTTTCATTCAAATAAATAAACCACCATATTAATAACAAAAATAATAATAATTTAACTGACTCTTATGCCAGTATTTGTTGTGTGAGTTGTGGACTTAAAGTAATGATCTTCCTATCTAACCTTTACTACGTAACTTTTGTGAAATGTGTCCAAACTTGTGCAATTGCTCTAGTGTGTGAGTAGAGTTACATGTATGTCTGTATACAGTTTATGTGTTCAGGCTCTGATCAGTTTGAAATATTAAAACATTTTGTTGGTGTGGTAAACTCAAAGACGATGCATGACACCCTAAAGGCAATTCCAGTGTTATAGAAGGATGTGTAATGTCCGTCACAGTGCCAGTTAACCAAGGTATCTAATTAATGATTGAGAGAAATGACCCAAAACTCCTAGTCTGTAATCTCCTTGACCATTACTAGATGATGGATTGTATGAGATGGATTTATACAAATTTAAAAGCTCTGTCACGGACATTACATAACTCTCAAATTGCCCATAAGTCTGCTTTCGGCATGCTGGTCACAAATGCTACCGTACCTGTCGACATTAGCTTGCTCACATCTAAGTCCTTTTCCTTGTGTTCCCGTCCATCCAGGTCACCAGAGACACCCACGCCAGCCACCGTTAAGCCCCCAAGCCTCGTCTCCAAGCTCATTTTAAAGATCTCCCCCAAGCACAAGGGTCACACAGACCCCGCCTCCGCCCCCTACTCCAACAACCGGCGCGCCCACCTCACCTCCAACGGCAAGCTGCCCAGCGCCCGCTCGGAGCCCAGCCTGAGCGAGCGCTTGCTGTCCCGCTCAGCCCGTCATCACCGCCGCTCGTCCTCGGGAGGGGGTCACAAAGACAGGGCGGAGTCCAATCGTCGGCGGAGGGTGGGGAGCGGAGGCGATGCTGCAGGGTCCGGACAGCTTGCGTCGGAACAGGCGCTGGAGCTGGAGGAGTTTGAACCATCTGCAGGGGCGGCTGGTGTGTACTCGGTGCGGGATGGGAGGATTCGAACCCACGGTAGGTGATCAAGTTATTGATTATGGACGGTTCATTGGAACAACAAAAGGGAATTTTGTTGATTATTAAATCTAAGGAAATGTACCTACCAGTGTATCATACAGATGGGGTTGTACTTGGCAGTTCTTGAAATCTACAGAGCTAAAGCTAAAGAGTTGAAAACATTATTATTAACAATAAAAAAAGTGGTACCGGTGTACATGTACCGGTACCTGTCTAGACACAAAGATTAGCATACACACAGAATATAATAAAAGCTTTATTAAAAAAAAAAAATGAGCAACAAAAATTTTGAAATTTTTTAGCGTTTGTGTCTAGACAGTTCTAATCACTGTGGACAAATCTGAGATTGTCATTGTGAAGATGTAAACAATTTACAGAATGTACAGAAGCAAATACTAATTAATATTACACTTTCGTCGCCGTAGTACTACTGCAGATGAATTTCTAATTGTTTACATTCTTCAATCCCATCGCAGGTTTGTACAATTACGATTCCTACCCTTACAACTCTGGCGGTGAGACTTCGGAGACAAACAGGGATGACGAGGACAGTGACGCACCCCCTGACACACACCCTCACATCTCCCCAGCTCTCAGACCGTTGGATGACGACAGCTCACGGCCGGTGCGCGGGGACTACGTGTACTACCACGGCAACATGTTTATCACGAGCAACTCAGACGACAATGAGGACTACGGGTGGGCTGGCGAACCCGCGGACAATTACCATGATGGTGCCGATGATGATGATGATGGTGGTGTGGTGAATCCAGCAATGGTTACCGATGACAGCAGAGTACCGGCCACAAGACGGACTCCCCCCGCCCAGAACCAGTATGTTGACATGCCTACAAAGAACAACTGGCTCTGGGATCGTGAGTGGGCTGATGACACCCTCAGTCACACACACCCTGACCGACACCGTGATACTTACTCTCAGGATTCTGCTAACAGACAAGAGACTCTGCCACGACAGAGCACTCGGAAAAACATCCGGCGTTTTTCCCGGGATGATTTTAGGAGCGGCCCGCCCGCGGAGTACCTCGGCTCGCCACCTTGGCCGGACAGCATCAGCACAATACAAGGGAACTCCATGAGTGCCAGGCATCCTGACTATGCTGATCTAGACTATGGAGAGCCTCGTCGGACAAAAACTAGTCGAGGCGGAGATGATTATGACTATGGAGAGCCTTGTGGTTCAAGGCGATCTCCTGACAGACGAACTAGTCCTCGCAGGAAATCTCGAAGTCCAGACTATGACAGGCTAAGAAGCAGCCCTCGTAGACAAAGCCCTCAAAGATCTAATTATGATGACTATGGAGAGCCTAGTGTGTCAAAAAGCCCTGATAGGCAACTCAGCCCTCGTTATCAAGGCACCCATAAGATCTATGGCACGCCCCTTGCGGCAAAGCACCCTAAAAGCCCACGTCGCCAAGAAAGCAACTATGCTGACAGAACTAAACAGCCAAGGCCAACTGAGGGTCTGTATGATTATGACACCGACACCAGAGGTCGAAGGTCAGAGAGAGGTCGCGAGTCCCCTTCTAAAGCGGACAGCAGCCCCGAATCGGAACTTTACCGGAAACCTGTGCAGCAGGTTATGAAACGAAGCCCAGTCAGGACAAACCAGGAGCCACATGGGAGGGCAGACCCAAGGTCAGAACCCAGGACAGACGCCAGAGAGGGGCGCAATGGTGCTGCATTGGCAGAGAGCTGCGCAGACACAGGTGGGTAGAAAGACTTCGAATTCAAAAATGGTTGTGGAACATTTCAGTTCTGATTAGTTCCGTTGCTCAAAGAGGTGGATGTTGAGAGAATTTTTGAATTAAAATCTTGTAAGAAGATATTTTGTATCTTGAGCTTCTGCTTGTATTCAGAGTTAACTAGTTCATTGTTGAGTTTAAAATCTTAAGCATCAACATATTTCTTTTTTCAGAAAAAAAATATCAAAATTTCAAAACACGTAGTAATACATGTAGGTCACTTAAACTTTATTTTTGGTTATTTGTAGACACATTACAAGGAACATTCCAGGAAGGAGATCATACAATCACTGACCACCATGACACCGAAAGGCATCCTAGTGATGGCACTGCATCTCCATCAGAGGGCGCCAGACAAAAGACAGTCGCGCACTCGCCGGCGGGTGGAGCTAAACCCAAGCTGCAGGAAAGGGTGTCGCCCCAAGGGGGTAGCAAACTGAAGATCTACGACGACATTCCCAAGACAGACTCCCCCGTCCGGTGGAAACGGAGCAGCCTCTCGCCGAGTTCCGACGGCTTGCGCTCCCCGACTCACGGCATTAGCAGAGATCGTAATTACAACACTCTCCCGCTCCAGTCAACAGAGGGCGGTGTTGGCATCTCCATATCCCCCGCCACGATGAGCGCCAACAGTCGTACAAGCGTGTCGTCCCTGGACAGCCGTCCCGGCTCAACGAAGCCCACCCACCTCCCCCAGTCTTATATCTCCGCCCACCAGCGCAGCCTCCTGTCCCCCAACAGCCAGTACTCGGCCAGCAGCGGCTACGCCAGCCGTAACACCTCGCAGAGTACGTCCTCTAGAGGGCGCACCAGCAGTGTGCCGAGTATCCAGGACCCCACCTTGAGTGCCACCACCGCGGACGGAGTGGACAGCCCGTTCTCCGACTCCGCCGGGCCGTTCTCCAACGTCAGTTCCAAGGAATCGGAAGAACCCTACTTTGAATTTGACCCCATGCTGCACGAAACGGACCTGCTTGATGCCTTGAAGAAGTACTATCAACCAGTTGAGGTCCCTACTCCACAGACAGATGAGTCGTATGAGGAGGGGACAGGGAAGGTAGCTGACATGGAGAAACGATGTGAAGAGTTGAAGAAAGAGTTCCAGGAATACCAACGACAGCAGGCCAGGGCTAGGCACAAGTCCAGGCTCACATCAAGTGTGTAAATGTAAACTCGTTTAAATCATTACCGCTTTTGGAAAGACATCTTGATGTAAAGTGGCCTGCTGAAGGACACAAGGTGCTGCTAGTTAAATGTCCATTGTGTCTTAAATGTCTGAAATTCAGCATTATCAGCGCCCAATTTCATGGCGCTACTAAGCACATAATTTTCTGCCACAAAGCTGCTATCCATTACAGTAAGACTGTAAGCTGCAAAGCACATTGAAACTTTTTTAACCATCAACGTTAGCATGATTTTCCGGCTATTGGCAAAATGCTTCTGCTTACCGTAAAGCAGCTTAGCAGACAATTCAAAGTGTCAAAGGTCATTCCAACTTGTGACCTTTAACCTTACTGCAAGGTGACTCCAGTCATTTTATAATTGCCATTTTTTTTACTCTTGCTCATGAGCTGAGATTAATTTTCGTTCAGATGTGATGCCTTTCAGTTTGATGATTTTTTTTTCTTTAAACGACAAAAACACCCAAGCATTATGCTAAAAATTTAGCAGTACATGTATTTATTTTAAGCATTTATTTTGTACATGGACTTTTGGTATACAGTAAAAGTTTTCATTCATTGTTCGAGTCAGTACTATTACTACTGTTTTTTCCCCCTTTTTTTATACTGTTACTTTCATAATGCTCTTAATATTCATATTTTGGATACTGTTTTAGCTAACAGTTTTAAAGTCTAGTCTGGAAATTAAACTTTTTATCGGATTATTTTACTTTTTTAATGCAGTTTGCTTTTCAGCTGCAAGTACATGTAGTTGCTGCCGAGTTAGACTTTAGGTCTGTCGAACCGTGAAACAGTTCAAGATACCACTCAAGTAAATGTATCATAAACCCTAACCTTCCTAAATCCTCCAAAATGCTCTTTGCAAAACGAATGATTTTGCAGGATTGAGGCTATATGGCAAAAGTGTGCGGCTGATTTTGGAGGATGCACTGTGCCAAGGTCTTAGGCTGGACCTTGTGTTGTTTATGCTCAGCCGTGCATTAATTTAGGCCTACCGGTATATTATACTTGAAATCCGCCGCACTGCTCCAGGATGTCACTGGCTCTGCCTCAACGTATTGACAGTGATTGCTGGAGGATTTTGCAGGATTCAGGCAGTGGTCACCCCTCCAAGGACAACATTCAAGAACTAACTGATGATTTTGCAGGATTGAGGCTGTATGCTTTTTTTACATGGAGGCAGTTGGAGGATTTTGCAGGATTGAGTTTACATCCTAGCAAAAATGCCTAGGGAGTTAGGGTTTAGGATGCTGCTCCAGTATCGTTGAAAATGAGTTCAAACTATTCTCATTTTATTGTGTAGGTTATTTAGGGCAACAAGGCTTTAACCCTAGCCCCTTGTGAAAAATCATATTGAAGTCTGAGGATTCAGGACGGTTAGGGTTAAAGAGTGTATCTTAAATTTACAAAATCATAAATGTAACAGGGACAGGTAAAAAGTGGACCCCAAATTTGTAGAACGACTCTTGTCCTTATAATGTCACTTTCCGGTTTTTGTAGAGAATTACATTCATGGTTTTGTTTTGACAGTTTGCTATTGATGTGAAACTTAATTGGTGCAAAAGATGAGTTTGCAGAGTTGGTTTGTGAATGTTCAGTAATCAGTGGCTAAGTATCAAATTGAAAAGATTGAAAGTATTTTTGATGGAGTCGTACATAAATTAATGTTTATGCTGTATGGTGCCTGATGTAAAAGAGAGCTTGTACTTTTTTGGAAACTTGTAAATATGTAAAATAGAAGAGAATCATAACATCAAATGAGAAATTTAAGTAATTTTTGACCTATTTATAAAAAAATTAAGAGAGTGGATGGAGATTGACTAAAAAAGGCTATTGTGTACTTAAATTAAACTCATTTAGAAGATGTTTGTTGTTGAGTAAATCAGGATGTGGTTGTGTCTTGCCGTTTTTTCCTTCTTGTAGAACTTAATTTCTGCTTAATCTGTAATGTGGTAGTATGGTGGTTGGTTAGAGGGGCAATGTGTATCAGCATGCATCCTCTTTATGTGAATGCCTGGCGTACATCTGCCAATCATCTGACCATCTCTGTCGCTGTTGATGGAGTACTTGTACACAGCGTCGGTTTGCTGTTGAGCCATTGCAAGCGGCTGCCTCATTGGCTAGGTTTTTTTCCTCAGTTTTTTTAGATGAGCTGTGTTGTTGAGATACTTTGCAGAATAGTCCTCTTCATTTTTGAGAAACAAAGATTTTAAACCGAATGTGATGTGTTGATTATTGTAATTTATTGTATGATATGCAATATAAAGCTCAGCGTGTGCTACAGACTGTGTTGTCTTTCTACAGATTTTCATGGCTTTCTACATGTTCTAGCTCCAAGCATATCTTGTGTACTGGTGTAGATAACATTTGTATGATGAAATTACAATGTACAAATTTAATATTGGGCTTTTGCTCTTCACTGATGTAATTTCAGCACACTCAGTATTGTGTGAGGGCTTGTACAACAATCGTTTTTTGTTTGAGGCCAGCCAGCTGACTACAGCAAGTTTGGTAGTCTAGTGGTAAGACGTCTGCACTAGTAAGCAGCAGGCCCCACCGGAGTAGGCTCCCACCTGAGTAGCCCCCACCTGAGTAGCCCCCACCTGAGTAGGCCCCACCCGAGTAGGCCCCCACCCGAGTAGGCCCCCCCCCCCCACCTGAGTAGGCCCCACCTGAGTAGGCCCCACCTGAGTAGGCCCCCACCTGAGTAGGCCCCCCACCTGAGTAGGCCCCCCACCTGAGTAGGCCCCACTCGAGCAAGCCCCACCTGAGTAAACTCGTGGATTCTTTTTCTCGCAAGCCATTGAACACCGAGTATACAGTGTTTATGAAATTACAGCAGTGAAGAATAAAACAGAATATATCAGTGTATACAAATTACTTCTTTTGCATCTCCAATTTGTACTTGTGAACCTTTTTTCTTTCAATTGTTAAGTTACAAACTAAATTCTATTTGCCATGAAGTCTTTTAACATAAATTGTTTTTTTTTAAAGTGAACAAAAAAAATGAAGCTTCTTTTATTGGGACAATTTCAAATAATTATATTGTACTGAAACAACACAAGAGAAACGTTTAAAGTTGCTTTTGTCCAATTATTTATTTTTGATCCTTTTCAAACAATTCCAGCATTTGTTTTAAAGCAATGAACGTTTTAATTAAGCTTTATTTAAAAAAAAAAATAACCTAGCTTACTTTTCATAATAGTATGCCCCTATCAGTTATGCTGTGTTCAAAATCTTCCAGTTAGTTCGCAAATTGTTAGTCTTTCAATGGAGTTTTAAAGTCAGTTCATCTGTATTCATTTTATAGGAAAAATGAAAGCCAAAGAAAGTTTGTTGTTATGCAAGAAAATTGAAGAATACCAAAAGACAGTTTGACCCGCAGAAGCTTTCATAGGCTTTATTCTAGTTTATGATCTTTTTGAAAACCAAAATCAGTATTTGGAATTTTATTCATTTACATACCTATTCACTGGCTTTCAACGTATAATATATTTAAAGAATATGGCTTGTGTATAAATATTGAATCATTACCAAAATCATGAGAGACCAAATCTACAGAGCTGGATAGCTCAGTTGGCAGAGCACTAGTACGGTATCCTGGAGGCTCCAACCCCACTCCAGTCAGTTTCTTTAACTCTTTCAGTGCCCACGAAATTTGAAAAGTTTAACCCTAAAAAGTGCCCAACTTCAAGCGTTTTTTTTTAATTGTTCAAAATTCTGTAAAAAAAAAAGGTAAATAAGTTTTACTCACTAAATTTGTTGTTGCTCTCTGGTATATCCTTGGTACATTGGAATGTCAATAGTAGTCACATACTTACTGATACACCCTGAAACATTGTCCTGCACACAGGGGAATTCCGCACTTATTTCAGAAAATACGAGTTTTAGTGCTGCGCCCTCTCGCAAGAACTCGAATGAAACAAATAAATACAGGTCGAACCTGAATGTAAATGATATTATTAGAAAGAGCGAGAGCGCCCCCTTGTGATAACATGCTTACTCTACCTCGTACATGTACGAGGTTTGGGGATTTTAAGTACGAACATTACCTCGTACATGTACGAGGTTGGTAATTTCGAACCAACAAATATACCTCGTACATGTACGACTTTGGCACTGAAAGAGTTAAATAAAGTATGTTTTTAAGTTTGTCAGTGAAATATATATTGATTACAGAACCAATTTGTAATGCTTAACGTCAAGTTTTTGGCATTACCACCAACAACTATCTTGGACATAAAATTTATTATTTTTAGGGGGAATCTAGTCCTTATCAACTGTGATAAGTTTCAATTGATAAATGTTTTTAATCATCAAACTGATTTTATGTAAAATTTTGGCACTGATGTAGCTTATGTAACTGTGACAGCAAGGTCCAAGTAAGCATTACTGCTTGTTCATACTTGACATCAATTTAATTGTGAATGAAAGTATGTAACATCATGGTAATTATTTGCACTGCGAATTCTCAAAAAAAATTGAACAGACTTTAAAGGGAAAATTACACCATTTGCAAATATCAAAAAATAAAACAAATTATTTTGAAATACCTTGCTGTACTGTTAATGAATGACAGTCTAAAGCATCCTGTAAAATCATGGCACCTTGTACACTGTCATTTTCAAGAAAGAGGTATTTTCGTATCAATTTCCAAAAATGGTCGGCCGACCAGCGTTGGAAAAAAACTGGCTTATTTCAACTACTGGCCCCAATTGACCATATATAGTTAGTCTTCATTTGTTTGCAATCGATTACACACATGTGAAAGGGTATAAGCCAGCTAGACTGGTTCCCTGACCTTACAATTCCCCAACGCCTATAAAATTGCTCCGTTTCATTTTAAATGGAGTCAGGGAACCAGACTACAGGAAGATGATTGTTTTTCTTGGTTTTTATAGCATCTACGAACCCAAAACGTCAAAAAAGTCAGTGTAACAATATTTGCTATATATAACTAAGCCCCCAAATCCATCCATTTCTGAAAATTACAGCAAAAGCAAATGATGTACATTCCCTTTAATGCCGGCAAATTTTGCGTCAAATCTTTTGACATCAAAGTTGCCCGACAATTACATTAATGAGAAGTATGAACCTGCCTTGACATATTAACTTATTAATAAAGTTTATTACATTTTGGAGTATTCAAAGACAAAATGTTTTTCTATACCTAAGTTTAAGAGTTCAACCGAAGTTTGTTTTTCGTAGTTCACAACTCACCGATGACGTGTTTGTCATGTGAAGTCTGCTGTTCCTGTTTTTAATAAAAGACTGTTTTTGCATGGCTAACCTTGTATACTTTTTCTTCAATGGTATCGTTTCCTTCAATGGTTAGTTAGTTTTCTAAATAATAAATTGGCATGTACACATACAAATTTCATCAGAATAAACAAAAAAGCCGTCTATTTTCTAGGTTTGCTAGCATCGTGAATTTGAGCGTGGATGGTCCCTGGCTACATGGCATATAGCAGTTTAAAGCTTCAGGTAATTTGCATCCCTCAAACAAAATACATTTTCATTTGAACTCATATTTTTATGGGGATTTTTAACCCATTTGTCCTTGTAGGGCCCAAAACCACCCTAGGGCAAGTTCGTGCAAGAACTATTGTTGACCATTGGTTAACCATAGTTCGACTAAAGTTAGCCCAAACTCTGTCTAGTCGACGGTGGTTGACTACGCTAGTCGACTATTTGGAACCAGCCTACTAGGGCTGGTAGCATCGCTGATAACCAATAGCCGCGCGCATTCATAACGTACAGCAGGGAGCCAGGATCCAGAAGTTTTGCGATGACCTTTTGACCAGCGTTTGACTAGAGACGTTCGCACGTTGCTGTTAGTGCGCAGACGTAAGGTACGTCACAAATCAACCACTAGTCGACTAATGGTCCTTGCCCGAACTTGGCCCTTGCTGTCACTCCCTCGAGTGCCCGAGCACACAATGATTTTAAGGATTCTTCGGTGAATAGTTAAAATATAACAATGTAATAAAATGTAGTAGAGGTGCTAATTGGTTAAATTTCAAAAGCTAAGGTGACTCGGCACCAAATGTGAAAAGAGTTGATTTCAAACTCGGAATTGTAATTGCCTAGTATTGTAGTTATTCCTTGATTACACCACTGAGTGCTCGGTTGTTTTAGGGCAATACAGGGAGTAACAAGCAGGGCCGAACCCTTACCCTCAATCCTCCAAAATCAACCAGGCCATTTAGGAGGATTTTGGAGAATTGAGGAGGCTGTATTCCATATTTGTGCCGGTTGATTTTGGAGGATGCAGCCATTGTGTCAATTAGGGCAGAATTATAATCAAGTCAATCACAAGTCAATTCGCAAGTCAGGTCAGAAGTAACAAGATGAACAATGACAAAGGAATGCCTTTGTCTCAGTTCATTCGAATAGCTCGTGACTTGACTAGGCACTGGAGAACTTGTGATGACTTGTGATGGACTTGTGATGGCCTTGTTACTGAATGACTTGTGATTGACTTGACTTGTGATGGACTTGTGATGGACTTGTGATGGACTTGAGATTGACTTGTGATGGACTTGTGATTGACTTGTGATGACTTGTGACTGGATGACTTGTGATGGACTTGTGATTGACTTGTGATGACTTGTCATTGACTTGTGATGACTTGTGATGGACTTGTGATGGACTTGTGATGGACTTGTGATGGACTTGTGATGGACTTGTGATTGACTTGTGATTGACTTGTGATGACTTGTGACTGGATGACTTGTGATTGACTTGTGATTGACTTGTGATGACTTGTGATTGACTTGTGATTGACTTGTGATTGACCTGTGATTGATCTGTGATGACTTGTGATGACTTGTGACTGACTTGTGACTGGCTTGTGACTGGATGACTTGTGATTGACTTGTGATGGACTTGTGATTGACTTGTGATGACTTGTGACTGGCTTGTGACTGGCTTGTGACCGAGTCGATAACAGCTCTGGTGTTAGGGCAGAATAGGGAATAACAGGATAACTCCATGATTAGGACAGAGGCCCCATGCCTTTACTCCGCTTCTTATCGGCCATCGCCTTGCGGTTGTGGTTGGCTCGGCTGGCCTTATGCTTATCCTTGGTATTCCGAGCCTTCTGTGTGTCTTTGCTCTGGCCTTTGCCCTTTGGCTGGCCCTGCACTGCTGCACTCCTTCCCCCACCGCGTCCCCCACCGGGTCCGCCACCCCTACCAGCCTGCTGTCTGCTGTAGGGTTGGCGTGTGTCTCTAGTCTGACTGCCAGGCAGTGGTTCTGCATCCTGTGAGAAAAATGACGTGGGTAAACACAGACTTGAAGGAGCTGACTCGAGAAAATATTCTAGGATTATTCAAGAAAACCAACTGTGTGAACTTTCTTTTTTATAAAACTGAAATGGAACGGACTCCAAAACCATGTCACGGTCTCACTTCTCCGGCGTGCTACATGTAGCTTCTCCGAGAGGGAAATTTCTCTTCAAACGCGCATCCGCAAAATTGTACATTTTTCGCCAACTTTATTTGTGAGCTGAGTTCTTTGGGGTTGTACTGGTGCACGTAAGATCTTATGATATTTGTGTATACGTTACAGGGTACCAATCGAATCCAGAATTTTCGTGGCGCGCAACTCTTAATAACCAAAAAGACTTGAAGGATGCACATTCATTAGAAACCGTGGTTGCAAAAATAAAGACAAATTGGACATGTGATGGACCACGAACGAGTAAGGAACACAGACCAAGGAGTCGATCGTTCTGAATTATTTCTCCATGAACACAAACACAATGACGCTTGGAACACAAATCAGAATGCTTGCAAGACCATGGAATGACTTGACCCGTAGGAAGTGTTACATAACACATTCTTGGGAGTCCCTCACTGTTTACTTCAGAACACAGCCCGAGGAAAAGTAAGCACAGCGGACACATGAACATGTATCGTGCTCATGTAATGTGCACTGTAACGTACTCAATTATCCGCCGAATCCACCCGGAGAAGCTAGCACGCGAGACCGTGACACCTGCAACATCCGGATTACCTTTCTGGCTCTTTACCAACTGAGCTATCCATCCCCATATTGGCCAACTGAGATATCCAGCCTACGTTGGCCAACAAGGGGTTAGATAGGTCAATTTGGTAGAGCGCCAGTATGGCAATCCGGAGGTCGCAGGTTCAAATCCAGCCGCCTTCAATTTCCTTGTCGAACTTTACAATTATAAAAATACACCTTGTCAGTTTCTCTTGATGGTTTATCTGAAAGACACGCATTTCTGTACTAAATGCCTGTATATACTTTACAAACACAAACAAGTTCTGCTGGGCAATAGCATTTGTTCAGACTCCTCATGAACGTGGTACAAAATTACTGCTCCCTCGTAGTAGGCTGATTTTGATAAGGCCAAAAAAAATAATAGTTCTGCTTCCAGTTTCCCTACCTACCCTATTCTGACAGCCCCTACCCTAATTTTTTTATTGGGAAAATGAGAAGAAAAAAACACCCGAAACCATCAATTTCTACCTTTTACCCTTGATTACACTCAGACGCCTCCATATGATCGTACACAAAAAATATTGGCAAAAAAAAAAATATTCCCTACCTACCTACCTTATTTTCGATTGCCATGTAATCGGAAGCAGATCAATTTTTTTTTTTGGCATAAATAAAAAAGAAGTGTGTTCACCCAATACATACATTTCCAATTGAATATTTACATAAACTTGTCATTGCTGGTTTTGCGAGCTGGCCCTGTAGTCTAGTAATCTGTTGCTTAAAAAAAAATTGGAAACCCTTGCCATTATGCTGTTATGTGAATTTAAGATCATCCAAAATAAAAACCTAAACTTTGTAATTACCTGGTCATCCTCCTCCCCAGAGCTACTTCCTTCTCTAGCACCTCTCAGTACCCTGGGTACCATGAATGGCCTGAAAATAAAATGTGGGTACAATGAAATGTGTCACTTAACGCATCTTTGGATATGGCCATCTGTTAGTGTTTTCTTCAAAATGACAGCACGCCAGAAAGAATAATTTCACAGGGAGATTAGTGCCATTGCTACCTTAAAACAGAGTAGGCTTTTCAACAATGGTTACTTTTTGGATAGCTGCAAATGATCTACTCTACCTTTAAGCGAAATTTTGCTAACAGGTAAATTTACTGCGCAGTGTTTTCTGCCAAGAAGCCCTTTGCTTATTACCTTCTTGACGTCAGTTCGTCAGCTGAGTCTGCGTCGTCTGCGCCGACATCATTGGCATCGTACGTGTCATCGTACTCGTCCTCATACTCGTAGCTGTACTCCTCGATGGTTGATTGCATGCCGGCTAAATGCGTCTTGTCGTTTAAGAGCTTCTTTGCGCTGATCTTATCACCCCTAAGCAATGATGTTAACAGACGGTAATAGAGTCAATCACTGGTCAGTCACAAGTGAATTACAAGTTACCAATCAGGTCTAGACGAATTCAGGCCCAAAATCACTGTACACTCACGAGGCCCCCTTCAATGGAGAAACCATTGTGCACGCTATTGCACAAAGCAACTGCCCGGTGACGGATTATCTGAGCAATAGCTAGCACAATGCTTTTGCCATTGAAGGGGAAATTTATGATAGAATTGATAGCTTGCCTGGATTGATCTATAAGGAAAGGGCTGAAAATTGTTGACTCGCAACTGAATGATCAGTTATACAGGGTGAGTAAAAAAAAACCGAAACAAAGTGAGTGGTGAGTAAAACACAGGAAGATGCTAAATGCCACTCAAAATGGGACATCATGAAACTAAGTCTAAATTTAATTTTTGTTCCATGTCAACTGCACATTGTTTAAATTTCTGGTAAAATAAGGGAATCTATTTCATAGTCAATGAGGTACACTGAACCTACTTCTTTCCCTTGTGGATTCGGCTGGTGTCCACGCTATCCCTGCTAAACACATCAAACTCGTCATTCTGGTAGATGTTGCTGCGTTGCTGAAGTAAGGACGCTGTATCAGCAGGCTTGGCATCCTTTGCTGCTGGCTGAATGACTGGTTCTGGCTTAGCAGTCCTACGAACAAAGAAAATTCACTTCAAAAACTTTAGTAAAGAAACTGGTGAGGCCCAGACAGAAATGTTTCAGAAATCTTTGTCTTCTAAACATTACCAGTTAGTGAAAAACTTGGAATGGAACACTTTAGAGGATCATCGTACAAAAGCCAGACTCACAACAATTTATAAGGAACCCATGGTTTGATCCCAAGCAACATTGAACAGTTTCATCACAATGACTCGCACCACTAATGTCATATGAATGGATAGTACTCATATAGAACACCTAGCTTCAATAAAGATTGCCTGAAGTTCTCACTGTACCCAAGATCTATCCCAGAGTGGAATCTTATCCCAGAAGATATCCACTCCACACCAGACCTGAATGTCTTCAAGTCCGCCTTGGACGACATCAATGTTAGGAATTTAGTTAGCCACGCCCACTTCAGAGTCTAAGCTCACACGCCACATTTGACCACAGTACCGAGATAGTCCAACAGGGCATTGTGTACAGTACAAGCAGAAGCAGAAGCAGAAGAAACAATACTTGCCAGGTCAAAATGGGTAAAGAACTTCATAGTGAGCAGAGCCCCAACTTTAATTTGGGCGCAAAAAGGAAGAAGCAAGGTGGTGATAAAATTCTCCTCATTTTCCAAATATGGTCATAATTTTTTTTTTTTCAATGGGCCAATTAGGCCAAGCTTCCATGTAATCCTCACCCCTACTATACACCACAAGCCTGTAGACTCCCATTGGCCAGGCCCTAGCCACTCCGGAGTAAGGAGTGTTGAAAGACAGAAGCCAAGATGGCGCCTAATGCCTTTGTGCAGCAATTGGAGATCTTAGTGGCCAACCCCTTTGTGCCGCCGATCTCTTTGTGTCAAACCCTGGTGCCTCCCTGACTCGAGCTCAGACAGGCTGTAAACAATCCTGGACGATGTGAATGACCTATATCTTGTGCATGTCCAGGCATGCGGGGGTTACTGACCTAGAAACACTTGTGGTGATAAAATTCTCCATGTGGTTCCACCGCGTGATTTTTTTTTAGTGTCGGCTTTGAGGGTTAAAATCTGATTTTCAACTCAAAGTCAAATTTGTCTTTTACAAGCCTACTGTCTTATGACTTGAAATAACAGCCCAGTCTATGAGAAGTGGCTGCAGCGGCTGCCATATACTCATGTGTAATTCAAGCCGTAGCCAGTAATTCAAATACTGCCATATTTACATCTCACAGCCTGCAATCCAAATGTAGTAAGGTTCCTAGGAGTGGTGGAGTCTCACATTTACTTCAATACCTTGGCATGGACTTGTCCAGTTCTTGGAGTCCGGGTACCAGTTTGTCCTCCAGGATGGCGTGTATGACCTTGGTGGCGTCAAAATCGTATTCCTCCAAGCATGCCTGAAAAAAGGCAGGAAATGTTGAAATAGTTAAAGAATACCTAAACCTACTTAGAAAAATTGTGGACTAATCTTACTTTACTGTAACAATTAACTCTAATTCCCTAGGCCTTTTGCTAGGATGTAGCCTCAGTCCTGCAAAATCCTCCAATTGGCCTCATGGATAAATAGCATATAATCCTGCAAATTCCTCCATTATTTCTTGAATATGGTCTGTGGAGGGTTGAGCACTGCCTGAATCCTGCAAAATCCTGCGGCATTGACCGTCAATAAATTGAGGCTTGGCCAGTGACATCATGGAGCAGTACAGAGGATTCAAGCATAACCCAGGCCTATATTTACGCATGGCTGAGCAAAAACAACACACAGTCCGGCCCAAGACCTTGACAAAGTGCGTCCCACAAAATCAGTAACGCACTTTTGCCATGTAACCTCAATCCTCCAAATTCCTCCACTTTGGCAAAGAGGATTTTGAAGGATTCAGGGCGGTTAGGGTTAATGCCTTCACCCTAAACATTTGTACATTTGCTAGCATGCTTACTCATCCCGCTTTGGGCTCCGTGCACAAGCACCCCCTGCCAGCAAGAAAGGGAGAGTTGGGGAGACCATTGTGCGAAACATTGGAACACATCGCAGAGGACGCATGAGGCTCACACGAAGACGTTATGGCTTTGTGCACATTCAAGTTGTGCACTATCCGGTTCGCAAGTGTGACGTCATTTCAACCAAATCACGACCACTGCACACGGAGTAGCATTGGAACCAGAAGTAGCGCTTGACCCATGTGCGCTAGTAATCACTGGTGCTTGCGCTTCTATGATTGGGTGCTGTGGTCCAATGGTTACAGTGTTCGACTCGTGTGCTGTGGTACATGGGTTTGAATCCTGAAGGGGAACATGGTCCTTGTGCTCTTGAGCAAGGCACTTTACCATCATTGCTTCGTCCTTCGGATAGGACGTAAAGCCGCAGGTCCCATGTGTTGTGTAATGCACGTTAAAGAACCCAGTAACACTTATCGCTATTAGAGAAGGGGTTTGCCCCGGTGTTTCTGGCAGGGGCTGCAATATGCGCCGCAGCACCTTGCATACCCTTTATAAAGGTGCTACATAATGGGTTTCATATTTCTCATAAACTTCATGCTTGTCTTTAAGAATATACATAATTACCAGTGCCTTGAGTACCTAATTGTTGGTAGAAACGTGGGCTATATAAGACTCCGGTATTATTGTTATTACTTACGAACCGGATGTGCGCCCACACACGTACATTTATGGTGTACATCGAGGATTTTCTATTGTTCATCTTCCTTCTTCCTATACTTTTTTGCAACAGCTCTCATTGGTTTTGTACACGTTTTCTAATCGAGGTCGTCCTCGATTTGACTCCTGTCCTCAATTCATCGATGATGCTCCACATGTGTGTCCTCGATTTACACCATAAACACGCACTCCCGTACGCGCACGGTGTGTCCTGTGTGGCAAGCTTATGACAAGAAACACAATAAATGGGGCCACTTTGCTACCGTCACGTTAGTAGTTTTTCCAATGGTTGTGAATTTTTGTTAAAATACCTGAAACCACCAAAGAAGAATCTCAACACACGAATGGACATGCAGCCTTTTGCTGAAGATAATTTGAGTTGATTATTTATATTGCTTTTTGACATCATCCTCAAATTTCCATCAGAAAGTGGATGAAAAATTTAGGTAACTTTTTCCGTCCATTTTTCATTGAAATTTGAGGGTGATTAAAAAAATTAAAACAGAAAGAAAGAAATGATTCAACACATATTACATGTATTATAAGCCCACATGTCCATTCACATTTCAAAAATTATTTGGTTGGTTTCAGGTACTGTAAAGAAAATTACAACCATTGGAAAAACTGCTAATGTGACGGATGCAAAGTGGCCCCCTTTATTGTGTTTCTTGTCATATATTACAGTTATCGGTCTCAGAAAAGGTGCTGACTACAACCCTGGTGCAAAGACCTTGAAACTTCCTCTTTCAAACAGGCACATTGTCTTAAAATTTGACAAAGTCCCAAGTTTTGATTTTGCTCCCTGATTCCCTCATGGCCTGACCTCAATGAAGCCCTCTCCAAAGTCCTCAAACAGATCCTTGACCGATGAGATGAGAGAAACCATCTCCACCTCAGACACTCCTCCACCACACGCACCTGACGATGATGCCTGGAAAAAAACCCATAAAGTTGAAAGATTACAATTATTGAGAAATTTGATACTGGGTAAAATAATGTATAAGATGGAATTTGCGTTGGGGAGATGTAACTTCAATACTGGTTTGTGTCCTTTACTGACGTATTTTCACAAACACTGAATACTCAGTGTTGTCTGGGGCTTGTGAGAAAAACTTCGAAAGCTTATTTTCTGACTCAAAGTAGTTTTTGCAGTGACGGCGGAGAATCTGACAGTGAAGATGCATTGGTAATTTTCGGAAGGAATGTTTTCATGCAGACGGTCCTATGCTCATTGTGGAAAACAATTGTCCGACGTGTTCAAAGTGTGGATTTGTAATTCCGAATCCACACTTTACTAAAGATTTGTCGTTCCCTATCCACACTTTGTGACCAGTGTAACAGATTCGTAGTTCCGAATCCACACTTTTAAAAATAGTGTAACGTTATAGCAATGGTTTATACATTGTAAAGCGAACAACCGACCCAACAAATGATGATAGTTTGAAGTCATTCTTCAAAATACTTCAGCAGTAAATTAAAAAGATCAGAGGTAATAGGGACAGGAAATATCGTGAAACTTTCCTAACTTTTAAGAATGACCCCTTGGGTATATTTACGAGAAAGTATCCTGAATCTGCCAAAATCCATCAATTTTGCCATGCAAAAATGCAAAAAAAAATTGGTGGCCAGTTAGAATCTAAGAATCACTAAGAATCCACCAATTAGATGGGAGTAAATCTGTTGAGATCCTTAATCCATCAAAGTCCCCCAACTGCTCAATATGGAGGTATCCTGAATCCATCAAAATCCTGCAGTGCCGCTAGGCTTCATGTCCTGAATCCATCAAAATCTCCCAACTTTTTCAATATGGAAGTATCCTGAGTCCGCCGAAATCCCCCGAAAACAGGGGTGTGGATTTTGATGGGTTCAGGTACGTTAGGGTTAAAGAATGTTCTTGCATGGAGTCCATTCTGTTTGATTGATAATGTCCATTTGTACAAAATCCCTTTACCAGTTGTTCAATGTAGTCATCGGTTTGGAAATCCTCCGGCTCCAAATCATACTGATATGCAGCTGTCCCAGCATGCCCCTGCGCCTGCACCTCTGCCAAGCTTCCAGACGCAATCCCATCATGCTTTGCTTTGCCCTTTTGGTGCCCAGGAGTGGCAGCGGCACTTCTGAAGCCGTCGAGAATAAACTGAGCTCGGGTCTCGTCGCTTCGTTTTCTTCAATGTCAAGGAACTTAACCTCTCATTTTTCATTTCGTCACCGACACCACGAAGAAACACTCTACCGTGTTAAACCACATTTTTTTCGATTTTCAGTTTTTTTGATTTTTAAACATTATTCATCAAGACCTACCATTGCAAGAAGTTTCATAGCTTCAAGAGCTTTACTTTGATAATTACGCTAAGCATCCATGGCAACTTTTGCGCAAAAGTGACAATTTTCGTTTTCACGAAGTAACACTCAAGTTCCATTTTCCATTGCAATGCATGGCGCGTACTCAGCTCAGAAGTGAGCAAAAACGTTTTCACGAAGTAACACTCTTCTTGTAATAAGTTGTATGAGTGTGCGCGTGCTGACGTGCTGACCTGAAGTTGCACTTTCCTCGTGTTGTATACACTGAAGAGTGTTACTTCGTGAAAACGAAAATCTACAGTTTCGCAGCTTTTTCGGTTTCACGAACTAACACTCATCTTTTTTTCTCTTATTTCTTGTTTATTTAATACACACACGGGTGAAAAACAGCAGATTTAATCAATTCAATTCATCAAGTGTCCACAACGAGAAACTCTACTGAATATACTCTGTTGTTTTGACGCAAAGTGTTGTTTTAAAAGGCGTTCAACTTTAGTTGCAGTTTTCTCCGATTGCTAGTTTTTACTGGTATGTAGATGGGTGTTACTTCGTGGTGTTGGTGACAATTTGTATCCAAGTAGAATTAAGATTCACTCTGGACAGTCACGGATTCTCGACATGTATTTATAAATACCTGAGAAAGTTTTAATACTCATTCCTATCGGTCTAGACCCTGTCACATGGGTGGTTTTAAACCGCTGGTAAAAAATCACTACGTTCTGCGCCAAGTCGCGCTGTACGTGCCAATTTCCATAAAAGGAGATTTTTAGCACAACGTGCACGAGGCACATGTCATAACCAAGGCCAGAGGGGCGTTTCACAAAACCTGAAGTAAAATAGTTGAACAAAATCGTGGGAAATTTGTGAATTTTCGCCTTGTTTTGCCTTGTTGATTGAAAGGTATTGATGAATGAAATAAATATGTGCTCGGTTGGTATCAAACAAGTACGATTAAAACCAGTAAGGGGCCTGGTGGTTTTAATCATAGTTGTTTGAAACCGGCCAAGCACATATTTATTCCCTTGATCATGACGAGAGCGCAGCAAGTTTGCATAGGATACACATGAGATTTTTGTAGTACGACATCCAGGTCTTCTCCGATGTGATACTGGCCGGCAAAGACCTTGAGGAAGTGTCTGTCCGACAGCAGGGATGACATCAATTCTAGGTAGTCTTCCACAAGCTTAGCCACATCTTCTCTAGATCTGAAGAGAGCCAAAACACAGGACAATGAATGCAAGTCTAAACCTTGGAATATTTCTTTTTCATTTTGAAACTGTTAGGCACGCACTTTTTGTAAAGGACGTGACAATTTAATGTTAAAACATTTAAAAGCATGTATGATCAGTATTCATTCAGATATTTTCTGATGAATCTAAAAAAAAATTATTCTCTAAAAATGGGGTTCTCTTTTTTTCTGTAAAATTTGCAGTCAAATCAATAAATATAAGAACTAGAGATTCGTGTTAGTTGAGTGACAAATGCAGAGTGAATCCTGCAAAATCGTACCGCAGTGACTGTCAATATGTTGAGGCTTGGCCAGTGACATCCTGGAGCAGTATGGAGGATTTCAAGCATAATCCATGCAGGCCTATATTTATGCATGGCTGAGCAAAAGCAACACAAGGTCTGGCCCAAGACATTGACAAAGTGCATCCTACGATATCTGTAACGCACTTTTGCCATGTACCCTCAATCCTCCAAACTCCTCCTCTTTGGCAAAGAGGATTTTGAAGGATTCAGGGCGGTTAGGGTTAATGCTTTGTACTTTTAATATTGTCTTATTAAGCAGTTGTACAACAACATGATAAATCTGTTAGGTGCATTTGCTAAGCATGACAATAGTTCATAAGTTGGGCTATTATAGTGGATCTTGTACGTACCCTCCTTCAACAATTGGCTGAATGTGACATCTTACCACGATGCACTGACACGCTCTGGCCAAACTGACCTTCCCCAGATTCAGATGTTTCTGAAATGACTTCTTTTTGCTGCAAATAGAAAAACCCAAATCATTACAGGAAATATCTTTGTATGAAGAATGTTTATATTTTTAATAGCTTTAATAAATCCAAGCCCACTTTGTTTCGGAAGAGGGGATGGAAAGGAAATCACACAAAAATTCCAGGATTCTTGAAATTTTGCAGTTTTACCTTTAATAAAACATTCAGGCAATGATGCTTAGATGTTGATTGTGAAATATGGCTATGAATAAATTCAAAATTGAAATCTGCAATTTCAAAGCAAGTGGAACACGTGCAGATATCGGACATATTCTAATCCCTCACCATCTCTTTCCTTGTTAAACAAAGACAGATTTCTTCAGTCAAATACGAGTCTGTAAGTTTAAGATAACTTTGGGACCGTGACCATTCAGCCCTGGTATGAACAGGGCCCCCCGGTACCCCGTCCGGTCCAGAGCCAGTCCGGTCTTCAGCCCAGTCTCGTCCGGTACATGGTCCTGTCTGACCAGAAGTTTTGAAGTCAGCCAGGCGCATCAATTTATTGCCCTTTGGAGAACGGCCAGTGCAGAACAATAGCAGACTTACCGGATTAAAGATAAAATCCTTTCATAATGCCTTGGTAATTTACGGCCCCATTGTGCACAAAACCGCATGGCAGGGGTTTTGATCTGTGCTGACGAAAGTGTTCTATTGTTTCGCGCTGAGAGATGAAAACCACAAGCAGGTTTCTTCTGGGATATATTACATATGTCAATACTTGCAAACAATAGACCCCAGGATAGAGGAGTTCCTGATTAGCAACCGGACCAGCTCCTAGGCCGGTAGCTGGGACGGTACGAAAGGACTTCTTGGGAGGGGACGAGCTTACCAGGGGGCCCTTTTCATACCGGGGCTGAATGGTCACAGGCCCTTAAGAGATTTTGCCACACTGTATGCAACAGTTTAGAAGTTACTGTCCCTACTTCATTTGTCAGAGTACTTTTTTGGGTCTTACTTCACCTTCTGTTTATGCACAATGCAATGGATCGGTTTTAAAAACCAAGTACGTTTAAAACCGGCTGGGGGGGGGGGGGGTCTGGACGCGTTCAGCTCGGGCCATTATCGAGCCACTAAACGATTTGAAATGTACTTGTTCATAACTGGCCGAGCACATATTTTGTTCCCATTCATAAATACAATTTTGGTCAAAAAGTAAAAACAAGTCAGAAATTCACAATTTACAACAATTTTTTCGACAATTGCACCCCATGTTTTGTGAAAACACCCCTCAGTGGCCATGTATATGGTATGTGCCTTGCAAACGTGGGGCTAAAAAATGTTTGTATGGAGACTAGCGTGTGCGCGACACGTGCTGCGTGATGTGGCACAGAACGCAGCGGTGTAGGAAAAAAGTGTTTAAAACCAAACAGTGTTTTATCAGCGTATTTGTAAAACTGTTTCAGGCATTTGTGAAGGAAAAATCACAGCCAATTGGATACTGACATTTTCACTTGACAAACTAGACCAACTCACCCTGGTTCGGTCCACTGCCTCTCTTTCATTGCTCGCTCCATTGTCGGCAGCAACTTCTCAAACAATGTGGCTACCCTGTGTACAGACAGACAATTCATTCATTAATTCGGCTTACTACTTTGTTAACCCTAACATCCTTACAGCTCCATTGTCCAGAATCAGCCTAAATCCTTTCAAATCTTCCAAATGGGAAAGACTTAAGACTCTAAGCACCTGAATCCTTCAAAATCAACCGCTTTTTTGTGCTGGATGCCCCTGCCTGGATCCTTCAAAATCCTCCACAGGGGCAGATCCAGGAATTTTCGCAGGGGGGGGGGGGGATTTCATCAGCAAAAAAATCTGAAAATGTACACAGGCTTTTTTCTCCGGACACTTGGCCTCCGGGGGGGGGGGGGGGGGGAGGAGCTGGTACCATATTTCAATAGGGGACGCTGTTCAAATTCGACGATTATTAACACTTAGATTACAGAATGGTGTACCGTATTTTGAACAGGCGGACATTATACCAGTATAATATTTTTGGGGGTGTCACGGGGGGGGGGGGGGGGGGGGGGGGGGGGGGGGGGGTTCGACTTATTTCTTAGGAATGTGTATGGTATTTTTTTTTTTTGACAGAGCTGGGGGGGAGGGCTTTTTTTGACCCCCAAAACCCCCCTCTGGATCCGCATCTGCTCCACTCATGGGTCTGCTGGCATGTTATCACATAAGCTGAGTGTGCTTACATCTAAGATGGTGAGCGAGTGAATAATGTCCCTTTTCTAATTATTCCTTGAGTTACCTACTTTGACACAAAGTTGTTGTTCTTGAAGGCCCAAGCACCATCTGGGTAAATCTCCAGGAAGCTGAGTATGCTGATAGCAGAGTCGGTGAGGTAGTGGATAATGTCCCCCAGCTCATTATCTGGCATGGTGTGCAGTACCCTACTGGTTAAAAGACAGCAAAAAGTAGATGAATAACAATTCTTAACTTTACCTCAAGAACCATGAACATTCAGTTAGGAGTCCGGTTGGCGTACCGGTACTTTCCTCGCCTTCCACTGCTGAGACCCGGGTTCGAATCTCGCCTGGGCCAGTATGTGGATTGGGTTTTCAGTCCCTGCCTGATTCCGTGGGTTACCCTAGGACATCATTTTGGGGTTTTCCCCCACCTCTAAAACTGTAATTTCTTCTCATTGTTTTCTCTCTACAGCTTTCTCCAGGCTTGCGTGATACAGTGCACAGGGCACTTTTGAGGAATCCTTGGTTTCATTACCAGAAATGATTATTAAGAGAGATAGAATTTGACTGATACCTGGTTGGCAGTGCCACTGGAGAGAGGTCCGATCCCGTCTTTAATCCACATTTCTCAAGGATGTTGTCGAAACACTAGCACAATCATGACAAAAATGGAAAAAGTAATTGTGATTAGTTCAGGGAATATGGGGCATCCCATGCCAAAAACAAGGCATTTCCCAACAGAATATTTAAAGTTTTTGCGGCTGGCTGGTTGAAATCTGATATAGCATTGGGTACCGCAACCAAACAATAAATAGCTCACGAGTGCCCGCACAACTCAATGTACAGTTACTACAATCCATAATATGCTAGGTAAAGGTAAAGGTACCCATAGCCATTATTGGCCGTAGGGGCAGTGGGATGTGAGAGGTCCACTGTGTCTTGGGCGCGGCATATGAGTGGCGGTGCCCAGTCCTCTCCTCTCGCCGTCTTACCTTCCCTGAACGAATCAGGTACCCATTTTACTGTTGGGTCGTCAGAGAGAGTTTTCCAGTTTTTGGTCCGAATGGAATTTGAACCGCCAACCTTCCACTCCTTAGCTCCACGCTCTAACCGCTCGGCTACGAGGCCCCATAATATGCTATGATTGTCTTAATAGTACATATTACTATACCTCATACATATTCATGATCGAGAGCCGAGTTCTCACTGGTCCATTCACAATTACGATTCAGCCACTAGTTTTGCTGTTTACCAAGTGCACACGCGAGGTTTCACGCACAGGTTAAATATGCATGCGTAATGCATGCGTAATCTTACCAGTGCGCTAGCTAGTCTACTACGCATGTGCTTTACGAAGCAATCGTAGAACTAGCACGCGGGGGTAGTGCGTAGGCACTAACATCGCCCTACGGCATCCCGCAGCATGCATGCAGCAACTACATGAAAACGTGAGGCATGCGCACAACATTTTGCTGAGAAAACGTATGCTTTACTTCATGAAATTGTGTGAATATGTATGAGGTACTGGCAAAAATTTTTAGTGCTGGCCAGTGGATAGTGGATGTTAGCTTCGCCACCGGAACTAGTCTGTCAACTTCCAATACCGAGGGGAGCTAATATCGACTATCAACCCACAAACCATGCTACATTTGTATACCGATTGAAGCATTGATATGGAATCGGAGAGACGCCTGTTGTTGCGAATGTGTCAGTCAGTCAATGGACACATGGCACAAGATGCACAACTGGCAAAAACCTTTCCTCAAGGTCATTATCAAATTCCCCTTGTTTTCCCTGATTGGTGTTTTTACCAAATTCTCCGAGTCTGCCCAAACTGGGAAACTCAATTTCAACGTTTGCCTGAATTCATAGTGGCTGAGAACCCTGTACTACTCCTATGTACCTGTAGAATGGTTGGAATGACAGCCATAAGGTCATCCATGTACTTGGGTTGATTCCTGAAGATGTTGTCTATCATCTTAGTGAGGAGATCAGCGTTACCGCCACCGTACAACACGCACAGCTCCATCAACTTGGCAACGTCAAACAGGTAATTGTCGTAGATGATTGCGCCGAAGACAGAAGGGGTTATGTAGCTGTCCTACAAGAGAAACCAATATCATTTTTCCTTTCTGTGAGTCACTCTAAATACACTTTGGTTTAAAGGGAATATACATCATTTGCTTTTGCTGTAATTTTCAGAAATGGATGGAATTGGGGGGTTGGAAATATATAGCAAATATAGTTACACTGACTTTTTGAGGTTTTGGGTTCAAAAATGCTATAAAAACCAAGAAAAACAATCATTTTCCTGTAGTCTGGTTCCCTGACTCCATATAAGAAGAAACAGAGCAGTTTACATACATTGCAGAATTGTAAGGTCAGGGAACCAGTCTAGCTGGCTTGTACCCGTTCATAGGTGTGTAATCGATTGCAAACAAGTGCGATGGTCAATTGGGGCCAGTATTTGAAAAAAAACAGTTTTTTTCCAACGCTGGTCGGCCGACCAGCGTTGGAAATTGATACAAAAATACCACTTTTCTTGAAAATGACAGTATACCAGGTGCCATGATTTTACAGGATGCTTTACACTGTCATTCACTAACAGTCCAGCAAGGTATTTCAAAATGATTTGGTAGTTTTATTTTTTGATGTTTGCAAATGTTGTATTTTCCCTTTAAGGATGTAGTCGAGTCCATCACAAGTCCAGTCACAAGTAACAGGGGATGAACAATAACAAAGGAATGCCTCTGTCAAAGCTCATTTTAAGAGTTTTTAGGGATGTGCATCAGAACCGGGTACCCGAGTACCCAACCAATGATGTCAGGAACCGGTTCCAGATTATGGGATCGGGTACCTGTACCCAACTTTACAATTTACTTAGTTACTTGCCAGACAATGAAAAAGAAAAGTTCTGAATGTCTTTCATTGGAATTTTCAGATGACGCCCACGGAAGTTGCAGTTTACACCGTGAACCTATAAAGCCCTTCAGACAACTTCCAGGGTTTGAATTTTGTGGTTGGGGTCTCTTTTTACGGGTACTCGGGTACCAGTGTTTTACTTCAATAAAGTACGAGGTTCCCGTACTACCCCATAAATGCGCTGAATTGGGACTGGTGGAATTGTGATGGACTTGCAGGGACTTGTGATGGACTCATACTATATCCCTGGTTAGGTTTTTGCGCAACTGATCAGTGTTGATGTTGTGATGCTCTGATTGGAACTAACCTTGGACTCCTTGTGTGTGGCCATCCGCAGGAACGTCATGAAGACAAGTTTGTGGATGGTGCGCTGTTTGAGGGCGAGGTCGTCAGGCAACGGGGTCACAGGGTCAAATGTCCTGCAGGCAAAATACAGGCAGGAAATCAAATCCAAGAATGCAAAGAAAAGAATCACTTCCAAAAACCCAATGGCACATTTTCGGCACTTCAAAAAGTTCCAAGGAACATCACGCACCTGAAGAAATGTGTACAGAGAGGGGACAGTGACGGAATCACAGTTTAAGGGGTGGGAAGAAAACCCAGGAAGAATATATTGGGGAAGCCCACAGAATCAGGTAAAGTACGTAAAGTCTGAAATGAACCAATGTGGCCCATCAGGCCGGCGTTTATCTTCGGTTTCAGTGGCATGAAACGACTGACAATGTTTTTACTCCCCCTGGATGGGATGCTAGTCCATCGCAGGTTACTCCCCAGCTAATGCCGGTACCCATTTATACATGTACTCCTGGGTGGAGAGAGGCAAGTGGGGGTGAATTGGCTTGCCCAAGGACACAACGAACCCCGTCTGATCACGAGTCACGAACCCTAACCACTAGGCCATACTCCCCACGGAATCATGGTAGAGACTGAAAACCCATTCCATATGTGGAACTAGGCAGGAATCGAACCCGGGCCATAGATGGAAGGCGAAGCACTGCGCCAACCCGACTCCCCCACAGCCCTAACCTGCCTTGATGCGACAGGGACTGAATGACCCATCTTGGGTTGGATTCCAACTTGGGTCACAGAGGTGGAAGGCGAGGAAACTACCACAGCATCGACCTGTCTTCCTATATTGAAGAAGCTGACTCACCTGGGAGCTCCACGGAGGTATGAATCTAAACACTGCTGAAGACTCGGGTCATAAACAACCTACAAGGTAAAAAAAGAAAAACACTTTTAGCAAAATGAAGTGAACTTGGGTTCACAGCTTCTTAAAATGGTATACAATTTCTGTCAACAAACAATTTGGATTAGGACTTTAAGTTGCTACAAAACTGCCCAAATGCTTGGAATTAAAAATGTGTACCTGACTCCAGAATTTGTGATGCGGAAGTTTGAGAAGCCAACGGAGATCCTCTTCGATGTAATCCATCCTCTCTGTCCATTCCTCGCACGATGCCTCGTCTGAGACATCGGCAGGTGGTGGCTGATAGCTCAGGAATTCAACCTGCTCCACCCAATAGCCATCCTGAAAAAAAGGAATTATAATGAAAAACACAACATCTTTGCTGCCTCGCCCAGTTTGTGGGGAATGAATGTTAGGATTCATCTTTTTGTTTGCATTTGGAATTCAGAGTTACTTTTTGCCAGATTGAAGTTGCTTAGTAGAGGGTACAAAGCTCAAAAGATCGCTCTTCATCTCCACGATTGAGTCCGTCCTACTCTATGGTGCAGAGACGTGGACCCTTACAACCAAGGAGGAGAAGTCACTGGATGGATGCTACACTTGCATGCTACGTATAGCCCTCAACGTATCGTGGCAGGATTGTATGAGGAATGATGACCTCTACAACGGCATGCAGAGAGTGACTCACAAGATCAGACAGCGTCGTCTTAATCTTGCTGGCCACTGCGTCCGCCACCCAGAGCTTGCTGCCCACCCAACCATACTGTGGGAGCCCACCCAGGGCACTGCCTTAAGAGGGAGAAGAAGTCTGACCTTTGTGGACCAGCTCAAGAGGGACACTGATCTCACATCTGCAGAGGAGCTGCGCACCTGCATGGTAGATCGAGACAGCTGGAGGAAGAGGACTCAGGGACTGGCTCGTGATGTCGTCACAACCCAGGCGACCCCGACATGATGATGATGATTAATAGAGGGTTCATGCTCGGCTGGTCTTCTAATGCAGCCGAGACCAGCCTAATGAGGGCCTGCTGGCAGAGCTACATTGGCTCCCTGTTAAACGGAGGGTAGCCTTCAAAATCTTGACTCTCGTCTACAAAATTCTCAACACTCAAGCTCCATCCTATCTGGTTGACCTATTACATTCACATCACTCAAATATTCCTGATGCTTACAGACACTGACTCCGCTCAACATCTGATCAGACCCGGCTTTCTGTTTCTATAGAAGTAGGAAGAAAGCCGGAGATAGCTCTTTCGTTGTGGCCGCCCCTTGCATGTGGAATGAGCTTCCTTCTTGTCTGAGAGAGGCGGTCTCGCTGCCTGTATTCAAACGTTTCCTTAAGACATTCTTGTTCCAAGTCCAATTGTCATCGTATTGTGTCTGTTTCTCTTTCTGTTATTTTTTGTGTGGATGTGTGTTAAGCACTCTGTTCTTTGTAAAATGCTACAAATACTCGGTATTATTGTTATTATGAAATGAATAAGTTTTGCATAAATTCTTTTCTACAATCGCTCGTAATTTGAAACCTGATGGACGTCATCATGAAGTCACAGAAATATACACACCAGAGAATGAGATTTACTTTTTTGTAAATTTAAACTCTTGTCAAATTACCAGTGCTGGTTTCGTGACCTTGCTACCATGACCTCCCGTTGCTACGGTGATGTAGCGTTCGTCTAGACCCTGCGCAACGGGCATCTTCAATTCTGATTAGAATTACTGGATAAATTCAAAAGAAGTTAAAATATAGGCCCAAGTAGGGCCTAAACAAATGATTAACGTCGTCTTGGGAAACTTATAAAGTATTCTCATAAAAAATGGGGGGAAACCAGTGGCACTGGGCATGCGCTACTTAATTCTGCTAAATACGGTCCATAGCCTTATCGCAAATACTGTAGCAAAATTCCGAGAGCATCACCGGCATGATGTATGCTGTCAATGAGTATGCCGCGCCGAATAACAAGAACAGTGACGACAGGGTGTGTGTTCGATGTTCGAGCACGGCGTTCGTGTGTAGTTCTTTGCAACCTTATCCTGCCCATAATGCTTTGTGCAGCAGTGTAATTTACCATTTACGATAAGGCTTAGGCAGTGGATATTTTGCCGGAGACGGCAAACCTTCAGTAAACGTTACTTTGCTGGATATGCACTGAACATGCGCAGTTACTGTTTTTTTGTACTTAAACATTTTCCGGTGACAAATTTTAGTCTGGCTCCATGCCAATATTATCGTTGTAACCTCGTATTCACAAGATGGGATTCAGACCATTTTATAATTTCGGACTTTATTTCCCTTTTAAAAAAAATCCTCCAGAGCCACAAATCTGAAAAAGAAAATGTTATACTCTGCAATAAAATGTTTGAGACATGTTAAAATAATAAAAGAAGAATATTCTTATTTATTGGGGGTGGAAAAAAAACCTTAAAAATGCGGCGAGGATCAGGATTCGAACTCGGGACATCCCACTCACTAGAGCAATTGCTTATCCACTGCACCGATTGTGATACACAACTTTGGTGGGAATTTCATATGTATTATAATTCAGCCCTATCTTAAAGAGTACAGCGCCCTCTGTTGATATGGATTGCCGCCGGCAAACCTTTAGTAAACGTTAGTTTGCCGGCGTTACCTCCGGCAAAATATACACTACCTAAGGGTTATTATTAATATTATTAAGTTATTTTCAGTCGCACGAGTAGTGTGGCGTAGTGTAGTGCAGCAATACCGGGGCCACACTAGTGGGGCTAGCGCGTACTACAAAAGGTGTCATTGGAATTGAAAAAAGTCTGCTTTTGATTGTAAAGGTAGTTTTTGAGCAATCAATACATTTTTGACTCTGATTTAGCCTAATCAAAACAAAACAGGGGCCCTACACGATCGCCAACAAACTTGCTATGTTTCTCCACAGTCCCAGATAGATAGTCTACACATCTACCTGTCTACACAACCGCTGAAGTAGCGTCTGCATAATACTGCATTCTTTTCTAATCTTGTCTTTAATATTCGTGGCAGTGGAGGATTATTCCCAACTTACCCTCGAAAATAGGTCGATTTTTTTTTACATTTGCGTGCACAGCTAGCTATCGAAATACTCATGCGCTAGGAAGATCCGAAAAACGATTGATGGTTGTAACGCATGAGGGCGCTTGAGGCTTGCTGTCAAAGTTTTCTAGCGAGGCCGGTTTCACCTGAAAATCGGACTCTTTTTCCCTTTTATTGGCTAAATCCTCTCACGTGAGCAGTCCCTCTCCTAATTATCTATGCTTGAGCATGCGCAATACCACCAATGAGTCCGTATTTTATAAAACCTAAATTCATGTTTTTCTTCAGTTGCGTCAAAACTAAAAAAATAACAGACGCGCTGCCTAAATCTCACGTACGCGTAACTTCAATGAGGTTTGTAAATGGGGGAGGAGGGTTCCCCTCTGGCCATAGGATGGGCCAAAGCGTCACCCTCCCAATATTTTTTGGGGGGGGGGGGGGGGGGGGCTTGTGCCATATTTTCAATGGGGAGCGCTGATAAAATCCTACAATCGGGCACACATAATGTAAGCCCAGATCTAGAAGATCAATTCAAATAACTTTAATTACATTCTCCCCACTTACCCGTTGACATCTTTAAGATTATTTTAAATTACTTAGTGGTCCACACAAACAGTTTTCAGAGACTCTCTGTCTCCATTTGTGTGGTCACACTGGGCTTGGTCGTAGAACCACATCCTAGATTCTTAGTACATATTTGCTGTCCTTGGTTTAATGAACTTACACACAATCCATTATGTTTCATTTCTGTATTAAATCAGCCCCCTCTCCCCCTAAGTCTTCACTCTCGTCTCGTCTCTATCTTGTCTTCACTCTCGTTCTGAACTTCCACCAAAACCAAGTCTCTGTCAAGTGATTTTAGTCTGCGCTTCAAATAAAAACACATAGAAACACATAGACCCGATGATCCTTGTCAGGAGTTTTATTTCTTCAAGTGTTCAAAGTTCTTCTGTTCAACCTCTTCTATCCGCTCTGTCTACATACCTGCGCTACGTGGAGACATCATTTTGTACATCTCTAGTGTTGATAGCAACCAAGACTCTAGAATTGGTATTGTCAAATACCAACTATGAATACATCTGTGTTACACCTCTACTATATGCATGTATATCTGTTATCATCGTTGCAATGTTACCTTTACGAAAAGGGAAAGTATGTTATAATTTCAAATGTGAAGCAATCGACTGTTAAATCATGCACTCTAAAAAGTCCTGGGTCAGAATCTGTGTCCTCTGTCAAATGACCCTTTCCTGAGTCAAAATGGCACTTTTCCGAGTAAAATTAACCTGGGAAATGAGTAAAAGTTGTGTAATTTTATTTTGCTACAAATAAGTGTCAGCTGGGCACCAAAGGGACCAATTCTGGGACTTTTTAAAGTAAGCGTTTTATTGCTCCAAGGTAAAATTGAATGGGATCAAGCTACATGAGTCGTTTGCCGGGAATTTTCATTTGGAGATACAGGCCAAAATAGGGCCACTTCATCACATCACTTTATCACATCTCTAGGTGTTCCGACTCTGTAATTTTTGAACTAAAGATATGGTATCAGCATGCGGTTTTCACAGCAGTAACTGAGATTGTGCTCTTTTCAAATCTGTAATGAAAAGAATTTGACTGGGGTCGACAAACGACTCATTTAGCTTGATCGCATCACTATAGGTTCTACGTGGTCCACAGGTTATCCTTTTTTCTTTACCGAACACAATACTTTTAAACACTGCATGCTACCTGCGCGCATCAACCTGTGAAAGAGAGTCCTTGAGTTTGTGAAAAGATCATTGTTATCAGAGGCCATCCATTCTCAAAGCTTGGCGACGTTTGCAGTTCGGCTTCATTTGTGGCTGAAAAAAAATATTCAAAAGTAAGGCATTTATTTATCGGCAAAATGGAACAATAACTCCAAATTCATATTGTAGGATGAACTATTCCAGGAGCATTTGTTCAGCCTGTAATAAACAGGGGTCTCTAAGTCAGGGCCCTATTATATCTCCCTTAACCGAAACTGAAATTCAAGTCGAGTTTTTGAAAACCTCTCCGGTGTTTTACGCGGAACTGACTGTACAGACTTTAGACATGGCGTATTGATGCAGTCTTTAATTTACTCTAGTACTAGTACTCGACATGTAGCGGGAATGATTCGTCTTTTTCTTCTCGTCCTGGCCGTGTGCCTGGGCGGCTCTACCGCCTTACCAAAGAGTGGTGTGTACGAAAAGGTAACTTGCCGAGAATGTGTAGTGTATAACCAACTGCTATAGCTTTCGTGGGCAAAAAGTGCAATGTTAGTCCATAGGCTTATACTATAATACACCATAACGAGGGACAGTTCTACTTCATCGAAATTGAACGATACAATTAAGTTAACGTGTGTGGGTGACTTTTTTTACCAGAACAATTTCCTGAAATATTTTCGTATTATATGTCCCCGCTTGTTGCCAAAGAAAGAGTTCAACAGATAGGAAATTATTTACTTCTTTGAACGTTTTCTAATCATAACAAGGCGTGTACTGAATGAAATGCCCAAATGTGAATTGGGAGTTTCGTTTTCATCATGTCCAGTTCACTCTAAAATTTGGTCAACAATTAGAACCCGCGGTAGAAGTTGACGTAAAAACATTTATAAGGAGAAGACATTACTAATTTTGAAAAAGAAAAGAAAAAGAACTTCGCGTTTGTTGAATTACAAACGCAGAGTGATCAGGCAGCTAGCACTTATTGATGGGTTTATCATGCCATTTTGTGTTAGCCATTTTTCAACTTAATATTTCCATGAAAGGTTTGACAGCCACTTCCGTTCGCAAGTTATATTAAATTCTAATGCTAAGTTCCCGTATTGCCAGAAGTACAGGTCAAGCGGATTGTGCCCCAGATTGCAAAGTTTTGTGTCCAAGGCACCATCTACCACCTCATTAAAACACAGCACATGAACACAGTACTCTTCAATTCAAAAGATATAGTTACTATTTTTGGTCACCCAATTTTGTCAAATTTTGACCTTAAATTACTTATAATTTGATATATGATGACGTCATGGTGACGTCACAAATATTTGAACATCTTCGGAACATGGTTCAAGCTCATAACAGGTCTCATCCTCTTCCCTTGTCCCGTTCACAAGCCAGTGGTTTTCTTTTGATTCCTGGCTCGTATTTGCATTCTGAATTCACCTAACTTTGACCTTCCGGTTAACCCGGAAGGAAAGGTCAGGCGACTTGGTTCAAAAACGTATAGTCTATCCGATAATAATGTGTGAATATGATTGTTCATTTAGTTTATGAGTCATAAATGAACGAAGATGGTCACTTTTCTAAAATCGTAATGTGCACACCACACGATCAAGGCTAGGCCTAATGTTTGTTCAAAGCAATAAATTCATTACCATGTACCGTTTAGAAGAAAAGTTGCGACTTTTGTATATGGTTTATCAGATATATGAAGATGTATAAAGATGAACATTATCTTACTACAGGTTACACGGTAATTGTAACAAAAATTGTTTGAATGGAGATATTTATCAAGTTCGGACTAAATAATGCAAAATCCTAAAATATGCCCGTTTGTACGTGACTCCATAAGTGACCCGTCCCAACAAAATTAGGCACAACTAACAGGCCTTTTCATGGAATCTTATACAATGCAAATCAATAGGAGCAATCAACCTTTTCATTCATATTATATCTGCACGTAGGCGTAACACTGGGTTAATATACTTTATTGAAGGTCAAAACACGCACTCCGAACTGCATGCAAGAATTAAAGTGAAAATGTGGCCTTAACAAGATTCGTTTCGTGGGATCCGGCCACACTTGAACTTGAAGTTTGAGCTTTAAATTCCAAATTAAGTTGGCATCACCCACACGTTATTCCTTATTCCAAGAATGACTTATCTAAAATATTTGGTTTCCTACTTTCACAAAAAAACCCGCTGTTTTAATTGGGTAGCCAACTAATATAGGTTTTCATGGCCAATATAGGTTTTCATGGCCAATTATTCAACTTCCTTTTGAAAGACAGTGTTCCCTGAAATACAGCGTCTCGTGACGGTATTAAAATGTCATTAAAATTCTTTGAAGCAAGTTGCAAGAGGTGCATCAAAAATTCAATGTCATCAATTTACCAAATATTATTTTTCTCCTTCACATGTTCAGCATTCAAAGTTGCCCAAAACGTAGTGTTTTGAATCCAGTTAAATGCATTGCGTAGGCCCTTTGCATTAACGAAGAAACTCATTCTAACTCAAGTTCATGGGCTAGGCTGACTCTCTGTTAAAGCAAGTAAGACATGTCAACCTCCTGCCACTACGGTGCAGTGAATGGTTTGGATAGGGAAATGCTAGTTAAAGCTTTCTAGATTAAAAAAAAACGCCAACGAAAAACTGTCAGACACTCTAGAAGCATCAGGAGACTGCATTCCAGATTTATGTTTTTTTTGTGTGTGAAACAGTAAGTGCTTTATATTGATATCATTGTATATCTATCGCACTCACAGTTTTATGGAATCAACAGCCAACGGACCTTCCCAAATCCTCCAGTTGTGAATTGAAATCGCTTAATCCAGAAACAACATTTTCAAATAGAGTAACACTCACATAACTCAATTAAGCAACTTGCCGAAGGTGTGTCTGTGTCTGACCTATAATATACAAACAGTAGTAAATATTACTGTACTTGATATGCCTGATGTCTATTAACTTTGATGCTATTCCACATAGAGCACATTGTTAACACTTGGATAATGTTGACCTGCAATGACCTCTGTGATTCGTCCACCTGTTGTCGTTTCAGAATGAATTCTACCGAGACTTGGAATTGTTGGAGCGTGTTTTAGAGGACGACAGCGGGCTGGATAAGCTTCAATCCAGAGGTAGGCATTCCCTACAAGCATCGACAATAAACATCACCCGTATGTCAATTCCAATTTGTCGAAGAGCCCATGCAGTAAATCTTTACAAGATAAGCTTCCTACTTGTTAAACAAATACTAGCGCTAGCGCCCTATGGTTCCAAAATGTCCTTTTCAGTTAAACATATGACAATGACGATAGAATTTGCATATGCAATGCAAAAATTATGTGAGCTCCGGTACTTTGAATCGCGGGACCAAGACGAAGAACGCAACGTCTTCAATAGAGTTGTAATCGAAAGAAAACCAATTCAATCGCTAGTCCCGTCACCAGTAACGAAGGATGGCCACAAGTTGAACATTGAAATAATTTCTTCGCAGCCATGGGCGTAGTCAGGATCAGTTTCTAGAGGGGGTGGGGGCAAAGCACATTTCCCCCCGAAATTCCTGTACTTTTTCAGCATATTCTCGATTTATCATTTTTCGAAGACGGGCAAGGACATTTGGCCGCCCCAACCCATTAAGTTAACAGCAATATGACTTCGCGCTCCCTTTTTTTCTCCTTTTTTGTGTTTTTTTTCCAGAGGGAGGGCGGGGGGCGCCCCCTTGCCCCCCTTGCGATGCCCATGTTCGCAGCTTATTTGAAGTCTTGTCATTTGAATCGAGATGCTGACCACTGGGTGACCATGAATACACCTTGAGTCCCCCATGCTTTGTCTTATATTTTGCATGTACTCCGACTCTGGGATGAGCGAGCTTGTATTTGGGTCGAACTTAAATGGGATGTCTTACTGAACTGATCGGGCAAACCTTTTCGAAGCAAAAACTCAAAGAGTCCGCTGTTAATGACATGAATTTAACACAAGCATAATTTCCCGCGAGAAAGAATCACACACTGAAGTGACGCTAAACCTTATTGGAGAGAAGTGTGGCCATCTTGTTGAAAGAGTTTTCAACTTTTAAAATGATACCAAACTTACACTTTCTCTCGCCAAGCTCCCTCCAACAAAAAAAAACCCAACAAATAATAATGATAACAAGTATAATTATTTACTAAATTTGCAGAAACAGGCTGTGAAATTAACCTACTGAAATTCGTCATTGTTGATTTTTTTTTTACCATGAGAAGACGGCCTCGGCGGGGGATTTAGGACAAATATACGCAGTGCACAGCATAATAGACGCGTAACCATATGCTATTGAATGGCTACATGTACTTTACATTGCGTGTGAGTGGTGCAGCCCCATTCAGGCAACTTGGCAAAATGATATCCATTAAATTCTTTAAAGGACAAAACAGTGGCCTCGAGTTTTGAAAGCATGCAACCCTATGGGGGAGGGGGGTTTGCTTGAAGATACAGCCCAACATTGCGCTTGCAATCGTTGGCACGTCTGTACCGCAACAAAATGGCTTGAAAGGGCTCATGTAATGTATTTTTTTATGCAATCCTCTGTGTCCCAATCAATTTTCGTTTTGCCATTTTTAAAGGGTATTTGGTTCCCTTTCTGGTTGTTATGCTTATGCGAATTTCCATATTCATGAGTAACCTTTATGATGGGCTGGACACCATCTTCCTATGGTGGCGCTATTCAAACAGCAAACTTTCGGACTATAATTGGCGGTCTTCAAGGCGGCCCAATTACACACACGAGGCGCGCCAACAACGGCACATGTCGAAAAAAAGGGTACCCGAGCTCGTGAAAAAAACTATCATTAGGAAATGTTGCGTTGCAAAGTACATATTCGTCCCTGTACCCATTTTCACCGTCCCGAAAAGACAATGTCTTTTACTTCGAGAACTAGTTTCGAAAGAAATTGTGTGGCCCGCCTTTGCTTTTAAAACCTTCATGCGGTTGTAATCCGAAGAACACCGTAACCATTAAACCACATTGCAATATTATATCTTGCAGATACACAGGAGTCTACAAAGCTGGATATTATCGGCAAGCCTACGATTCAAACCACCCAGTTTAAAAAAGGCAAACCTTCCCGAGCGGTGGACGGAAATACCGACGGAGTTTATGCTCATAACTCATGCACACTTACACGTAAGAAAACTGGTTTTGTTTTAACACGACTGCATTAAGGCCAAAAAAAAAGTCTCCGGTTTCTGGTATGGAGCTTGCCCCAAAAGTGGTGCGGCGACGCGGCTTTTTTTTTTTTTTTACCTGTTTTTTTTTTTTTTTTTTGGCTTCAAATGTCGGCTGATGACTGCAAATGGTGCCCGACTAAACTTAGTGCAAATATATGGGAGTCCAGAGAGGCCACATAAAGCTTATTCTCGATCATAACCCCATCTCAAAACACGTTAAAATTGTGCAGCAGCAGAATTCCAGTCAAACCAGTGAGTTTGGCGGTTTTGAGACATCATCTTTTATTGAAAAAAAAACTTTTTCATTTTGCCGACGCGCATGGCTACGGCGACGCGCGCGCATACCAGAAACCGGAGACTTTTTTTTTTGGCCTAAGGTGGCTTACTTTATTTTCCTTGCTTTATGCTTCATTGGATATTCATTGTTTCTTCTTTTTACTTCTAAAGTGCTTCAGATTATGAGCTCAAACCAATGTTTGTCTGATCTCCAGTTTTGACCATGTCATTCCGAGAACGGCTTTCGAAGGAAACACAGAAAGGGCACCGATATGTAGCTCTCAGTAATTATACAAAAAAACAAAAACAAATCTGCAGAGAGTTTGCCACAAAAGCATGTACACCTCGGCAGTTCTCTGAGTGGTTTCCTCCCTCTGAGTACAGGAGCACGTTTTGGCGGCCCTTGAACTGGAACATGTTTCTGACGTCACAGCCGTGACCTGAAACATGTTTCCTGTGAACGGCAAAAACGACTGACCGGAAAATTGTTCAGGACGTCATGTTACTGCCTACGTGACTGCACACAACCCCCCCCCCCCAAAAAAAAAAAACCCCAAACAACCACACGGCTACCGAACATGATTAACAATAACATTCAAAGCAAAAGTGGGAGGTTTTTATAACGTTTCCCTAAAGTTTTAAAAAGAGTAGGCCTGATATTCTGTATCAACTTTCGTACCAATTGAAGGTAAAAACCCACTATTTAAACCCAATTTATGTTAAAAAGTAACGTCGTCTGAGCGGCTTGTTTACCTTTCCGCCATCTTGAAACATAAGTAAACCGACCGGAAACATCGGTTCAACTTTAGTCGAAACAATGACGTCATTTCAGTGTAACCGAAGTGCCAAAACGGCCGCGAACCAGAAACATGTTTACGGTCACAACGCCAAAACGTGCCCCAGATCCTCAATGTCTCTCGGAACCCAAACTAAATTTAAACCATATTATAAGTGCAGCACCAACAGATTTAGGACTAGCCCCCTGCCTTACATGACTGAGTTGCTGAACAAGAAATAGTGCAATTACTGCCCCACCATCGTCATTCGTTAATCGATTTGTCTGTTGTACTGTATTTTTATATAACTGAATTTAAAAACTGTTATTATCCAATGTAAATGTAATGTCCAGTTTTTTTGGGTTTTTTTATTATACATTTTTGTGTAGCTGTCTTTTTTTTTTATTGAACTCTCTAAAATAAGGTCATTGAAATAAACCAATAATAAACCAATAAAAGTTATTAATTCCATAACATAGACATTTAAGGCAGCCATTAATGAAATATATTGGATGTATGAATTAGGAATTTTCTTTCCTTGAATTTTGTTAACACTTTAACTGTTTTTTGTGTTGTTTGTTTGTTTGTTTTTTTACTGGAGTGACTGCATCTGTCCATGTGCGTTGTTTCTATGCTGCTGTTCTGTCACATGATATAGCAAGATGTTATAAATAGGACTTGTAGGTTTCATTTTGCAAAATTTTTAGACTGTGAAACTGACTTCGCCATTGGCAAAACTCCCTTGTCCAGCTGGAAAGAAAGAATCGATTTCTTACCCGGATTTGTTGTTATTGTTGTTGTCAATTTCAGGTGTGCAAACAAATCCCAGTTGGAGGGTAGACCTTGGAGAAGAACACTGCATTAGTAAAGTCACCCTTTATAACAGAAAGGACTGCTGTAGTAAGTTATTATATACTTGCATTTTGTGATAAATAATTTTTTTTACACAATTTTCTACAATCGGCACCCCACTTTTAGATCAGATACGCCTATTAAATGGTTTTATTGAGGTATACAGGGAAAGGGTCAAACTAACTAGATGCAAAGGTGTCCGTGTGATGAAATGTAAGAAAAGTGTATAATCTTATTATAATTACTATTATTTATTTCTGGTAATGAAACCAAGGATTCCTCAAAAGCGCCTTATGCACTGTAGCTCCCTAGTCTGAGGAAACATGTAGAGAGAAGAAATTAAGTTTTAGAGGTGGGAGGAAAACCCCCAGAAGAATACTCTGGGGGAAACCCAATCCACAATGTTGGCCCAGCTAGGCGGGAATCGAACCCGGGTCACAGCGGTGGAAGACGAGGAAAGTACCGCTACCCCAACCTGACTCCCCGATCTTATCGCTCCTTCTTTTGCATGAAATGTATTTGTTGGGCATATGGGGCACAATAGTTTTTATTTTTCAATGGATTTTAATGTACGCGAATAAAAAAGGCTCTTAGTCCTCAAACTTGTACTGTACCAGATTAAGTAATAACGGGAGGTGGAAAGTGTAGAGTTGCGGTATCTTTGGATCACAAGTGGTATTAAGGTGATACTGACAGTTTCAGTTGTTAAAAACGTACCTTCATAAGTTAAAAACGTTCCTTCAGTTATCTCGATGAATTTATTGAAATTGTTGTGTAATGAGGTGAAACAAATAAGTGAGACTGGAATTGGGGTAGTAATTGTAATACAAAAGCATAGATACTTTTTTAGATCAGTTTAGGCAAAGCTTCATACAAAGCGACTTCGCTACTTGACCCCCCCCCCATACTTTTCTTTCGTCTCCGATTTTTAATCTCACCAGACTACCGTCTCCAAAATGCCCAAGTCCGAGCCGGGAGGAACGAATCCATTAAGGAGAACAAGGAATGCGGTAGGCGAGTCCGTAGAGCTGAGGTCAAAGTGGCCGGTGGAGTCGTGAAGAGGCGGTGTGAGCAGCCGATACTGGCGCGTTACGTCTCCGTCGATATCCCCGGAAAGAAACGCATGCTGACGCTGTGTGAAGTCGAGGTGGAGGAGGTGCCTCTTGAACGTTGTCTTGGTACAGGTCTTCAAAATGTTTCTCTTTTAGAGAAGCTTCAGTGGGTTTTAAAAATAGAAAGGCTCATCGTGCCCCATTCCCCGTGCTTCTGTAGTTACTCCACTAGATTTTTTTTCTGCAAATTTCATAGTGAAAGAAGTAAATTATAGTCGTAGGTAATGTGCAAGTTGTTCAAATTGAACCATTTTGCCCCATAAATTTGTTCAAGATAAGTCCATCTTTCTGTATAGTATCAATTTTTAACCTTTTAGGGAAATTCCGAGGAAATAGATGTTATGCAGATAATACACGGTGGCAAAATGGGCACAATATTTACAGCATTCCAAAGGCATGATTTGCACAAATATTACTATGATAGATTGGGACACAAAAGGAGATTGAGTTGATCACCTCAGTGATCGTTATCAGTATGGGAGCAGTCTTTTCCAACTAAAATTTCCAAAATCACGGAATTTCCGTTTATAAAACAGTTCTCCCTTTCCCTCGTCTTAACATTAGACATGGATGAGTGTGAGAGTAGCCCTTGCCAGAATGGTGTCTGTCATGACGACGTGAACGGTTTCACCTGCGAATGTTCCCCGGGCTACGAAGGCGTGCTGTGCGAAATAAGTAAGTTGAGAGAAGTTGGAGTGGTCGGTTTCCTGGGTGTCAGTGCTTCGCTTTGGAAGCTGTAACGAGATTCTAAGCTAATGTTTGTCCACTTTGCTGACTCACTTTGTGAATTACTTTAGTCCTGACGTTATTCTCATCATCTTTGCGTATGGGCCCCGCTTTGGGAAGTCTTCGCCAGGAACTTGTGATAAAGATGACATAGGCCCTGTAATAAGATAGAATTTTGCGTCGGGATGATATAAATCAAATTAGGTTTTGCCCATCACCGACGTTTAAACACTGTATACTCAGTGTGTTACCTCCCGAGTGAAAGTTGGAAAAAAACCTCTCGGTGGGACTCGAACCCACGACCTGCTTTAGTGCAGACGTCTTACCACTCGACCACCGAGCTAACGGGATCGGTTGGCTGGTTGGAATCTGATGTCCATAGCAGTGGGTACCGCATAAACTATTATACCAGCCCTCCGATCCCGTTGAGCTCGGTGGTCGAGTGGTTAGACGTCTGCACTAGATAGCAGGAGGTCGTGGGTTCGAGTCCCACCCGAGTGTTTTTTCCAACTCTCACTCGGGAGGTAACACACTGAGTAAACAGTGTTTAAACGTCGGTGATGGGCAAAACCTAATTTGATTTGAAAGATGACATAACAAAGAACGTGACTATACACTATTTAATATTGATAAATGTTATTCCCTTCGCGTTTTAAGAAATTTCCTATGTTCTGTATAAGGTGGTTGTTTGCCTGTCAGTAGACATAATGACTCCACCATTCGTGCCCTTTGTTCCTTTGTTTCACCGTTTCAGATAGGGTAACTGTGGTTCAATAATTGTGGAACTTCATTGGGGAACCTCATATTTTTGGAGGGAACACTCTGTTTTTCTGTTTCCTTAATGCTTTTCAGTCACGGATATACTTGCAGAGAATTGTAGGAATATTCTCCACGCAAAAGTTCAGCTTTATTTATTCATTTTCAGATACCGATGAATGTGGCAGCAACCCTTGTGAGAACGACGGCGTGTGCGTTGATGGAGTAGACGGATTTACCTGCGACTGCTCACCGGGTTTCGAGGGCACCTTGTGTGAGACTAGTAAGTATTCCGGGAAATTCCTCCACTTGGTTGGGTCTAATTTTCATGATCGGATAGCTAAGGGGATTTGAATGGCAGAATCATCACCATTTCATCACAAGTCAATCGCAAGTCAATCGCAAGTCATTTATCAAATAACCGTACGGTGTATCACAAAGTTAGTCACAAATCGAATGTAAGTGACACACAATGATTCAGATCGTCCACCCGTGACCTGACTATTGTGATTGACTTCTGGTGACATTTTAGGACTTTATTTACACAGCAATTGGAAAGTGAGATAAAGAAGACTGCGCCTGAAGCAGGTTTGGGCATGGGTAATGGACCTCTTGCATGAAGCGCCCTCCTGGGGATTTATATCCGTTCCTCTGTGATACGCACGAGTAGAAACTAAGTTCTTTCTTTGTACTTGATTTTGAATTACAAAGGCTCTGGGCAAGGGTCTATTAGAAATGCATAGATCCCAGAATCTTTTACTTTTCTCATTTTAGGTTTTGAACCGCACCTGGGGCCAATTTCACGGCGCTGCTAAGCACAAAAAATTGCTTAGCACAAAAAAAGTCTGGCTTATAAAAGCAGGTTACCAGCCAAAACTCCACGTGATGTATATTGCTTGTGATTGGTATTCAGCTGTTGTTTGCTTAGCATGAAAATCACATCGAGTTTTGGCTGATAACCTGCTTTTATAAGCCAGACTTTTCTTGTGCTAAGCAAATTTTTGGGCTAAGCAGGGCCGTGAAATTGGGCCCAGCTGGTTTTACTCCAACTATGGAAAGTTTCCCAGTTATATTCGACAATTTCACCCAATCCTGTATTAATGTAACGAATTGGAGGTTTTGATTTCAAAACAGCTCACATCTATAATACTGACTTATTTTGCAGTAACCGTCATTACACACAAGCAACATTGTAGGCTTGTGAACTGCACTGCATAAATAAACCTATATGATTATTTTTTTGTAGATATCGACGAGTGTGCCAGCGAGCCATGCCAGAATGGCGCCGAGTGCATGGATGGTGTCAACGAGGTGACCTGCACATGTGTTGAGGGGTTTACAGGACCTGTCTGTGAAATCGGTACGTTTGCCAATAAAGAACTTCATAAACTTCCCAAACACAAAATACCCGTCTTTTACTCCTCCCATGAAACATTTTAGGGGAAAGTGACGAACGACCTGGCTGCGAGGTTTTGCCTTTTGCGTCAAATATTTGTCTTGACAGCCGGTACCTCTGTATCTCGAAGATTCTTCAACAATGGACCGATCCGGTATAGCCCCTCCCACTGTGCACTCGGCAAATTAACACGTGCTCCTCTCCAATGCCACCTGCATTTTCCTGCCGCGCGCGTCATACGCGCGTGCACGCATGTCGGACTTTTATTCACGCATGTCGGACGTACATTACGGCTGTGATTGGTCAGAATACCATGGGGCGGTGCTTACTGGGGTGCGTTTTGGTGGTCATAACCAAGAATTGGTTCGGTTGTTTCTTGTCGGCGAATTTCTTCGGGAATTTTAAATGGATGAGAATTACTCACGACAATGCAATACTCAAATCCCCAAAACAATTAACCAAATAGAAACAACAGAACCAGTTTTTGGTTATGACCGCCAAAACGCACCCCTGGATCAGTCCATTGATGGCGTGTTTGAAATTAATCAAGGTAAGGTCTAAATTTCTTTTGAGATGTTTACGAGAATGAACAACGATCCATTTTAAGTTGCAATATACTTTCATTTATTATTGCGAGCTGAAACGATAATCTGGTTCTTCCTTAACGTATTGGTATGTGCACTGCACGTGGCAATAAATAAATTCAAGTTGAATTCGCTGTCATCCACAGATATCCAGGAGTGTGAGAGCGACCCTTGTCTGAATGAAGGCGTCTGTGTCGACCAGGTCAATGCATTCCAATGTGAATGTCCTGCAGGCTTCGAAGGAGACACCTGTGAGATAGGTATGTTCATTGGCCATTGTCTCTGCCTACACTAGACGAATTAATAAATAAAAAAATAAACAAAACACCTGCATCAACCAGAAATAAACTACCAACAACTAAACCCCCAAAACCCAAATAACCTAACAACTAAATTGCTTAACAACCAAAACCAAGTCAGCCAAACATCCAAATAACCAAAGAAACGTACAAAAGCCAAACGTCCGATCAACCAGAAGAAATACAGGGCATCCGACTAACAACATAAATGTTCAACTAGAAAGTTACATCGACATACAGAACATGCATGCATTATCCAAACACCATATAAAACTTCGTAAAAAAATAAAAGATATACCAAAAAATGAATGTACTTCAGGGTTCAACCTACAACGTAGGCCTACACAACACACAAAATACAACCTCTGTAAAACCATGTACAATTAAAAAACAAAATTGTACTAATAAAATCGATGTACAAAATGTGCACCAACGTACAAAAACATACCACAATTTACAGTGTACTGAGTACATCAGTGCACACAATTTTGCAATATACAACCTACGACATAGAATTTACAACATACATCAAACATCAAGGTACAACAGACGATGTACCAATCGTGACGTTCAACACACGATGCAACAGAACATGTGTGTGCTAATGAAGTATATGTACATAAGGCCAAAAAAAAAAAGTCTCCGGTTTCTGGTATGCGCGCGCGTCGCCGTAGCAATGCGCGTCGGCAAAATGAAAAAGGTTTTTTTTTCAATGAAAGATGATGCCTCAAAACCGCCAAACTCACTGGTTTGACTGGAATTCTGCTGCTGCGCAATTTCAACGTGTTTTTAGATGGGGTTGTGATCGAGAATAAGCTTTATGTGGCCTCTCTGGACTCCCATATATTTGCACTAAGTTTAGTCGGGCACCATTTGCAGCCACCAGCCGACATTTGAAGCAAAAAAGTCAGGTAAAAAAAAAAAAAAAGCCGCGTCGCCGCACCACTTTTTGGACAAGCTCCATACCAGAAACCGGAGACTTTTTTTTTTTGGCCTAATGTTGTGGGGTTTATTCTGTACGATGTACGTAGCAAAGTGAAAGTTGCACTTTGTACACCATAAAATAGGTAACAAGAGATGTGTTCTTGAAATAAAACGCACTTAATAAACCTAATTGCATAACAACTGCAGTAACAATATTTTGGTTTGGACTTGGTTTGCTACAGATATCGACGAGTGTGCCAGCGAGCCGTGCCAGAATGGTGCCGAGTGCGTGGATGGTGTCAACGAGGTTACCTGCACATGTGCTGAGGGGTTTACAGGACCTGTCTGCGAAATTGGTGAGTGGACCAGCAAATAGAATCCTTAAACAGATTTAAACAAATTATTATCTGATGTCAGTGGAAGATTTTGAATTGAAGCATTCAGCCATCATGGTTATTCAATTTTACATCAAATATAGTATTCAGTCTTGAGAATACTTTTCTTCAATAATACTTAAAAAGTAAATTTGTGTAAAACTCGTATTTCTTTTCTAAAGAGAAGTTTGTGATCTGTATGTAATGAGATTTTTTGTGAATGTGTATTTTTAATGTTAATTGTTTGTTATGTTTATTGTCTATTATGTATGCTGAGACCCATGGGAGACCAGTGGACTCCACTGAATGGCCACCCAGTTGAAATAGGAAATAAATAAATAAATAAATAAATAAATATCACGTACCCTATTGTAAATGTGTGTAAAAATCATATTTTTTTTCTAAAGAGATGTTTATCATAATCTGAGGCCATTCTATTTTATTCTCATTCTCAAATGAATCGTTTTATATTTGTATCATGTTTTAATGAATCCCCAGATCTCCAGGAGTGTGACAGCTACCCTTGTCTGAATGAAGGCATCTGTATTGACCAGGTGAATGCATTCAAATGTGAATGTCCTGCAGGCTTCGGAGGACACACCTGTGAGACAAGTGAGTCCATCGCTCCAACGTTAACAAAAACTGTTAATGAAAACGAGTGTTATGAAAACTGCCAAACTTGAGGCATTTATGATGGCAGGGTGCAATTAAAAATTAGTACAAGCTGTACTGCTAATCAAGACGAGTGAATTGATAATCTACTCTGAATATAAATCTAGTTGAATAAAATAAAAGAATTGGCATGTGTTTTCTGTTAAGACTATATTAAAATCAGATGGTGAAATCGGTGAACTAGATAAAAGAATATTTAAAATGTGTCTACATTTCCTTTTTTTATAATATAATGTGTGTGAAAAGAAAAAAAAATCATGTTAATGTATCCTTAAGGAGTCTTTTTTTTTCGTCATAAGTTATACCTTAGTGAGACAAGGTAGATTAAGGAGACATTTCAAAGTCTCCCCAATGTCACAACTCATATTTAGAGGCAACATATGTCACAAATAGGCTTAATCGATTGCTCGTGGTCCAAAACATATGTAGCACAATTTCGTGGGAATAGGATAAAGTAATGGGGGTTAGGGGTCATGAAAGTTTAAAACATGTTTTGCATAACCCTATGCAAATCAAGGTACAGTTCTTGACTTCTTGTAATAATAATTACAGAATGAACAAATTATTAAATGTCTAATAATGCTTTGCTTTCTAAACATCTTAAAAATGTTGGCCCCAACTCGATGAGGTCATCTGATAAGTTTCCTTAGTCTCAATTGAATGTCTCACCTATGCATACCATATTATGGAATCGAAATTAGGGCCGCCTGTGACAGGGTTACGGCTGGAAGTGGCTGCAGCCGCTTCCAAATGCACGTTTGTAATTTTCATCTGTAGCCAAGCAGTCTGGACACGGCCTATAACTAAAGTTGAATCCGAATTGTATGGCTACGGCTTCTTGCTACAGATATCGACGAGTGTGCCAGCGAGCCATGCCAGAACGGCGCCGAGTGCGTGGATGGTGTCAACGAGGTGACCTGCAACTGTGCCGAAGGGTTTAGTGGACCGGTCTGTGAAACAAGTGAGTGCTGACCATAGCTTCTTGATATATTATCATAAACTTTTATTGTTTGCTCTCTGCTTGACATCACTCCAAAATGTATAACGATGAAAACTTTCTTTACCTGAACTCGCACAGTCTACGATCGCACGTACTTACACTTGTTGGATTTGTCTGTCTCAAACCGATCAATATTATAGAACTCTAAACAGCTTTAGCAAGTTAAGTTAATTAAATTCTTGTGTTTTTATGCATTCTCATCTATTTTGTTGTGCAAGTCAATAGAATTACAGTGCGGTTGACTGTAGAAGAATTCCGTTGATGTGTTTATTGTTTACAGTAAATGTAATCGCAAGAGTTTTCTTCGTGTCAAGGTTTGATTCCAGAAGAGCAGAATGAGTGTGACAGCAGCCCATGCCAGAATGGTGTCTGTATTGACGAGGAGGATGCCTTCACTTGCGAATGCTCCCCAGGCTACAAAGGAACCTTGTGCGAAATCAGTAAGCTTGTTTTAAGTGTCTCTGTCTGTTGTTGAATCTAGACATTTAAAACAACAAGAAGGTGCGACTTTAATCTAGGCTACATTTAAAACAAAAATAAGGTGCGACTTTCATGAGACATCTTTTTCAAACCAGTGTCAGACGTTCGTTGATCCCAATCGATACCAAAATATAAAAAAATGTATAAAGCCACAAATGGTGGATAATTTTGTACTTTTCAACGAAATCTGGTTCTGTTTTGGTCCCTTACCTCCTGATAATAAAAAAGTTATCAAAATACAATGACAAATTGTGACTGAGAACGTAGCACACAGCTTTTACATAATCAGATCGGTTGAAAAATTTGCGGATGCAAGTTTTTTGTGTTGCTTGAATAAATTCACAACTCACATTATGCTTTAGATATTGACGAATGTGGCAGCGTTCCATGCCAGAATGGTGCAACCTGCATGGATGGTGTCAACGAGGTGTCATGCACGTGTGCTGCCGGATTTACTGGACCCGTTTGTGAAAATAGTAAGTTGTTTTGTTTTCTTATTACAGCCGAACATTAACGTCTTTCGAGTTTTAGTTTCAACCAACATAAAATTGTCTGCAACTGGTATTTGATGAGGAGCAATAAAACCCACCAATTTTATCAGGGCAAAACATTTCTTTTCAGAATATGCAGTGAAGAAAACTTGGCGTGATACATTTTTAATTGGTTTTTAATTTAATGGTTTTATTTTGATAGACATCGACGAGTGTGAGAGCAGTCCTTGCCAGAATGGCGTCTGCGTTGACGAAGTGGACAGTTTCAGCTGTGAATGCTCCCCAGGCTATGAGGGCACACTGTGCGAGATTAGTGAGTTGATATCGCAATTTAAATGTCCTTCATTTTAATATCATCATAGAATATTGTTGTCCGCGATATCCTTCAATCATTTTGGATGGATGTTTATTCAAATCGTACACATCCGTTGGTAACTTCGTTTTCCTAATAGTTTGTGTAATATTTGCCTTTCGTCTTAGTTTATTGCTGGTGATGTTGTTGTTATGTTTTGTCTCTTTTTTTAAAAAGTTTTTCGCATCCTTTGTTGTAATTACTCTAAGGAATACGCTATAAGGAATGTCATTTATTTTTTATATTGTTCCAAATAACAAGGAATTAATAATATACTGCTTTGAAACAAGAACTCAATGTAAGTTTTCAATTGTCATACTCAAGTGTCAAATAAAGCTCGCAGATTCCCGCCAAATACGAATGCGGTTGTGTGCATTTATCGATTGGATATGCAAGTGGTTTATTTGGAAAATACTGAGACAAAATAATCACTTTTGCATGCAATTAAATGCATTGAAATTGACGTTTTTAAGGATTGAAAGCTGATTACAAGCTCCATTCAATTTCGCACGAGACCAAGTCACGCTGCCTTAAAATGGCTTCTAGCTTCATGGATTTCACGGGATACCAAACCTGTTTTACTTTTCACCTAAATCTGCGGTGTCAACGCTTGTCCTGAAAAAGAAATGATTGAGAACTAGCTGGTTCTACCAGTAAGAACACTTGACTTTAAAACAATATTTATTCATTTGGTTCTTCTGTGTTCAGTTAAGAGACATAAATGATAAGGGTGATGGGCTTATACATTCCCGTTTCCAACTGAATTCAATAATTTTAATACAGATACTGACGAATGTGGCAGCGACCCATGCCAGAATGGTGCAACCTGCGTGGATGGTGTCAACGAGGTGTCATGCACGTGTGCTGCAGGATTTACTGGACCTGTTTGTGAAACTAGTGAGTGATTCTTTTTTCTATTTCGCCACCCCCGAAAAAAAAATCAATTCCCCTTTCAAACAGCATCACAAACATAGAGTGTAATTTGATCACGCAGAAGACCATGTTCTTACATTAAGTAAACTGTGTTTTTATTTGATTACTTTTGTTAGATATCGACGAGTGTGAGAGTAGCCCTTGCCAGAATGGCGTCTGTGTTGACGAAGTGAACGGTTTCAGCTGCAAATGCTCCCCAGGTTACGAGGGTGCACTGTGCGAGACGAGTTAGTTGATCGTTATAACCCAAAGTTTATCATCAAGGGATAGAGTGTCGTCGACGAAAAGCTCCCTAAAATACATTGCATCTAAGATATGCAAGAGTATTTTGTATAAGCAGTATATGTATATGTATATGACTTATAAGCCAATCATTAGTCATTCAGTCAAGTCACTTGAAATTGAAATATTCCGCGAAAAAAAACATTCTTTTGTCAATGTTCACCTAATGTCACCCTGTGTAATACTTATGATTGACATGTCATTGAATTGTGGTGGACTTTATGTGTTTTCATTGCCAAGGATGTTCGATTGGGTCGGCATGTGAACACTTTCACATTTCTTTCCCCAGACATTGACGAGTGTGCCAGCGATCCATGCCAGAATGGCGCCACCTGCGTAGATGGTGTCAACGAAGTTTCGTGCACGTGTGCTGCAGGGTTCACAGGGATACTCTGCTTAATTAGTAGGTCACCTTTGGTATTAAACAAAAAACCAGAACTGTTTATGAAACGAGCTTGCTGCTTGACTTCAGTGGCTTGCGTTTCAGCAAATGAACCTGCACATGTGCCACTGCATTTCCTGGCCATATCTGCACGGCTAACATTAATTGCCACATGTAGGTCTATAATTTCCATCATTCTGTGACCTAAACCAAACCAATTTAGTCTTACGTCTGCTGTGCTACGATAGGTTAATGTGATAGGTCTCTTTACAACTCTCTCTCAATGAAAATGGACAACAGCGGTCAGCAATTTTACCGCGAGTCTGCATAGTTTAGGACGTCAACCTTATAGTGACGTATCAAAATTTGGTAAATTTACAAATATAAAGAGTAAACGAAATGTCTTTAAGAATCATTTTAAGGAATCCACACAGTAAAAATTGTGCTTTATAATTAATACACATTTCTAAGCACTTATTATACCGATGTTTTCACATGTTTATGTCTACGACCTCAATGGTTAATGGATGCCTGTGTCATGTTCAGGCACACGACGAAAGGCTGTTGGTACTATCAAGTATAAACGTAAAAGGAAATAGAAATGTCTTTTCGAGTTTAAGTTAGGCTTATTAAATTAAATACACACTTTCTCAATCTTTATTATCTTTTATTGGTCTCTGAAAAACTTCCAAAGATACGCTTTAACTTTTTTTTTTTACAAGTTGTTATTGACGGCACTAACATGATTTCATACTGTTAAAATATCTAAAACATGTCTTAGAAAAAAAAAGTGGGTACAACAAGTCTTCAAACTCTAAAAAACAGTTTTACAATGCAGTCACGTTTGAAATCATCAAGAAGGGTGATTGGGATACCCCGAAACGTACTTGTTTATGTCAGGCACAACGTGATATTGGTGTCCATATGTATGTGTATTTGCTGTGATTATACCTAGATACCGATGAGTGTAGTAGTGCCCCGTGCCAAAACGGAGCTTCCTGCGTTGATGGCGTCAACAGCTACTCATGTATATGCGCCATGGACTTCACCGGAAATGTTTGCGAAACAGGTGAGTTTAAACAATTAGGTAGGTCGATCACGAAAGTCTGGTAGTAAAAGTTGTTGACTTTTTGGAGAGAGAAATGACAGCAAGAAATGTTCACTCTGCATATCTGTCGAGTTTTTCTTCTTTTTTATCTCGATATGTATCCATCAATGCAATGATTTTGTTTGATTGACGTTTTCTAGCTGTGGAAGAGCCATTCAGTGAATGTGACGTCAGTCCCTGTGATAACAACGGCGTCTGTATCGAGGATGAAGAAGAAGGGTTTACCTGTGACTGTTTACCGGGCTTCGAGGGGACCTTGTGTGAAATAGGTAAAATTTCTTGCCTCGTCCGAAATACTTGGCCTGGCAATAGATGATTAATTATACCCCGCCCACTGCGCACGTAGGCAACAAGACATACACCTCTACAATGCCACACAATATCACAATACAACTACTCTACAATGAATGTTGTTGTCCGCGATACCCTTCAATCATTTTGGATAGATATGTATTCAAATCGCACACATCCATTGGTAACTGATTTTTCTTTATTGTGTGTGTTATATTTGCCTTTCTTTCTCTTTTATTGCTAGTGATGTTGTCATTATGTTTTGTCTCTTATTTTTTTGTTCACGTTTATCGCATCTTCTGTTGTAATTATTATAAGGCATGAGATATAGGGAATGTCAGTTTATTTTTATAACATTCCAAATAGCACTGAATGAATAATCGGCTGATGTGAAAATTGTAAGTGGAACAGGAATTCAGTTTTCGATTTGTTTAGTCAAGTGTGAAATATGAACAGATGAACAAAATGTGAATAAATGACAGTGCGCCGAGGATATTCCCGACAAATACGAATGCCGGTTGTGTGTATTCATCGATTGGATATACAAGTGGTTTATTTGGAAAACACTTTTGGATGCAATTAAATGAATTTTAATTGACGCTTTCAAGGATTGAAAGCTAATTACAAGCTTCATGCAATTTCGCGCAAGAGCAAATCACGCCGCCTTAGAATGGCTTCTCGCTGCGTGGATTTAACGGGAAACCAAACCCATATTACTTTTCACCTAAATCTGCGGTGTCAACGCTTGTCCTGAAAAAGAAATGATTGAGAACTAGCTGGTTCAACCAGTGAGAACACTTGACTTTAAATACTTATTCATTTGGTTCTTCTGTGTTCAGTTAGGAGACATTAGGCCTAATGATCAGGGTGATTGGCCCATACATTTCCGTTTCCAACTGAATACAATAATTGTAATACAGACACTGACGAATGTGGCAGCGATCCATGTCAGAATGGTGCAACCTGCGTGGATGGTGTCAACGAGGTGTCATGCACGTGTGCTGCAGGATTTACTGGATCTGTTTGTGAAAATAATGAGTGATTCCTTTGTCTCTTTCGGCCCCAAAAAAATCAATTTCCCTTTCAAAAAGCATAAAAACATAGAGTGCAGTTTGATCATGTAGAAGACCATGTTTTCCATAGAATATTAAGTAAACTGTACTTTTATTTGATTGCTTTTGTTAGATATCGACGAGTGTGAGAGCAGCCCTTGCCAGAATGGCGTCTGTGTTGACGAAGTGAACGGTTTCAGCTGCGAATGCTCCCCAGGCTACGAGGGTGCACTGTGCGAGACGAGTGAGTTGATCGTTGTAGCCCTAAGTTTATCATCAAGGGATAGAGTGTTGTAGACGAAAAGCTGCCTTCAATACATTTTTCCACATAAGACATGCGAGAGCGTTTTTATTTTTAGGAAGCAACTCGTAAGTCAATTCATTCAGTACCCGAAATTGAAATATTAAGAAAATCAAGCCCTTTTTCATTGTTATTGACTCACCTCGTATATACAATGTGATTGACTTTTGACATTGAATTGTGGAGGACTTTGTGCGTTTTTATTGCCAAGGATGTTTGATTGGGTCGGCATGTAAACACTCTCACGTTTCTTTCCCCAGATATTGACGAGTGTGCCAGCGATCCATGCCAGAATGGCGCCACCTGCGTAGATGGTGTCAACGAGATTTCTTGCACGTGTTCTACAGGGTTCACAGGGTTACTCTGCTCAATTAGTAAGTCACTTAAACATAAAGAACTCTTTATGAAATAAGCTTGATACTTAACTTCAGTAGCTTGCGTTTCAGCAAATGTACCTGTGGTTGCACATTTTGCCATTGCATTTGCTGGCCATCTCTGCAAAACTAATATTGCCAGAGGAAGGCCTAAATTTATTATAATGCGCATCATTCTGTTACTGAAACCAAACCAAATGAGTCTGAAGACACCTGGGCTACTTTGAGTAAATGTAATAAGCTTTTTAGACAAATCTCACTCAACGGAAATCAACAACAGTGGTCAACAACTATTTCACTCACATAATGTCCACACATTTTAGGACATAATTCTGAGTGATTATCAAAATGAGAGATGCGTATTTTCTAACTGTAAAAATATAATGCAGGGACCCAGAGTAAAAACTGTGAAATGTTTAGGTACAAGACGAAAGCCTGGAGGTATATTATCAAGTATAAATAGAACACAAAGAAATACAAATAACTTTTCGGGTTCAAATCGAATACAGACACCTTGATTATTCACTGTTATCACCTGTTTCAGAAAACTTCAGAAGATACACCTCATTGTTTTTGACAAGTTGTTATTGACGGCACTATAATAGACTATCAAACTGTGCAGAAAGAACCTAAACATGTCTTGCACTACAATGTGAAGAAAAAAAGTGGGCACAAAAAGTCTTTAAACACTAGAACACCAGTTTTCAGTGCAGTTGCATTTGAAATCGTCAAGAATGTTGATTGGGATACCCAAAACCTACTTGTTTGAGTCAGGCATAATTGGTGTCCATAATGTATGTGTATTTGTTGTGACTGAACCTAGATACGGATGAGTGTAGCAGCGCCCCGTGCCAAAACGGAGCTACCTGCGTTGATGGCGTCAACAGCTACTCATGTATATGCACCATGGACTTCACCGGAAACGTTTGCGAAACCGGTGAGTTTAAACTATTAGGTAGTTTGATCACGAAAGTGTGGTGTTAAAACTTGTTGACTTTTTGGGGAGAGAAATGAAAGCACGAAATGTTCGCTCTGCATATCTGTCGAGTTTTTCTTCTTTTTTATCTCGATATGTATCTCGATATGATTTTGTTTGATTGACGTTTTCTAGCAGTGGAAGAGCCGTTCAGTGAGTGTGACGTCAGTCCCTGTGAGAATAATGGCGTCTGTATCGAGGAGGGAGAGGAAGGGTTTACCTGTGACTGTTTACCGGGCTTCGAGGGGACCTTGTGTGAAATAGGTAGGCCTATAAGTTCCAAGCCGTGTCCGAAATACTTGGATGCGTCTTGTAAAAAGACGATCCATTTATCCCCGCCCACTGAGCACCAGGCAACAAGACATGCATCTCTACAATGCCACTTTGAATGTTCCAAACGCGCGCGTCATAATGATCGTGCGCGCAGATGGGACGTTAATCACGGCTGTTATTGGTTAAAACACCATGGGGCGGAGCTTAATATGTCAGTCTCTTACACACACGCACATAATAGCAACGACTGAAGCCACTACCCGTAGAATAGGATTCGTAGAAGTAAGCTCATACATTTCGTTCTATATAGCCCGCAATAGACCTTATGCACAAGTTGGCCATTTTTGTCGTGTTCCCTGAATTAATTTCATAAATTGTGAACTGTTGAATGGGACGGTGCCAGACTATTTATTCACTATAGCCTCACTTTTTTTTAAATGTGGCTTAAAACATTAGTATGTTTAATCACAGTTTTAGATTACTCATCAGAGCAGACTGCATAATATGTAACGTCATTGCTTGCATTTCTCTACACAAGTTGCACAAAATATGAAGATTTTACCTCTCTCTCATCCAATATGGCCGACTCGTGAATAAGGCCCATAATGTGTTTGGCAGTAAACTTGTGAGTTTATAGCAATACTATGCAGCATACAATTCACTGTAGTTTCTCTCTATTTTTCAGTGCTACAAGGATGCTCTCTTAACTCTTGCGAGAATGGACTCTGCATTAAAGACAATGTTGGGGGATCAAAATGCGTTTGTTCCCTTGGTTACCAAGGCTCCATGTGCGAGATTGGTAAGTTTGAAGACAATTCCTTATTTCCCAACAATAGTATGCACGGCCGTTTTCCCACATTAAACTTATATGCGAGATTTGACCTCAGTGAGGTCAAATTGTGCATCTCTCTATATCCTCTGATGACGTCATATCCTCTGATGACGTCATGCATGGACCTTATAACCGAAGTAAAAAAAGGAAATACTAAACACTTCATAATTAGCAGCCGGAAAAGCCCCCCACGCAGCGCATAGGGTAGTGTTTCTTGGCTATAGGTCTACTGCCTCATACCTGAATGGATATTGTACTAAATCCGGTAGATGCGTGAATACGCTCTACGCACATCAAGCTAATTGGCTGCCTTGACAAAAAGTGCCAAGTATCGTGAATGCCACCCCAAATACATTAGAGACTGAGGAAATTATTTATCCATCAATTTTCATTTCCTTCTGTTTCAGACATCGATGAGTGCAGCAGCAATCCATGCCAGAATGGTGCAACTTGTGTGGACGGTGTCGTCGAGGTGTCGTGCGTCTGTCCCGTTGGGTTTGGCGGCGATCTTTGCGAAAGGAGTGAGTGGCGCAAATTTTTCTCAGTAGTTTGATTTTGTGAAACATACCAAAGATCTACCACAGTGCCACCAAGCGTATGTCTCGAAGATACCACTGCTAAATTTCACGGTCTACATCCTGCATATACGCTCTTAAGAATCCCTAGTCAGATTTGAGAATCGGGATCACAATTGACCCGCAATTCGGATCATGTTTGAACTGGACTTCAGGTTATTATTTGACCCGATACTTTTCCGGGTCAAATTGACATTTTCCGGGTCGAAATGACACTTCTCTGGATCATTTCTTCGGGTTGTTTTGATCCGGAAACATAAACAAAAGAATCACTTTGGTGCTAAAAAGTGTTATTTTGACTCTGAATATTATCAGGTGGAATGTGGTCCGGAATCCTAACCAAATTTGCCCAGGGACTTTTAAGACTGTACTTGTATTATCACAAAGTTATTCGCACTTTTTTATTGCGTACCTTCAGTGGTGTAGCCTCCCAACATTACGCCTTTGTGTATGACTCGGTTAAAACCCCAAACAGTGTTTTGTGTTTATTCTTTCTTTTTATTCTGTCGCGTGTTTCAGAACTTGAAGGATGTTTCCTTAAACCTTGCGAGAATGGAATCTGCATGAAAGACGACATCGGGGGAACCAAATGCGTTTGTTCCCTTGGCTTCGAGGGTTCCATGTGCGAGATCAGTAAGTTTGAGCCTGAAACAATGAATAGTTTTTTGGTCCTTGTTATAACTGTGGTAACGTAGGCAAATACAAATAACACTTCCTTCATTATTTCATTATTGACTGTAACGGTATGAAATAAGATAATTATCATTAGAACTGTAAATCAAATGGATCAAACTAATCCTCTTGAATGTTTTAGGGGGAAAACGGAAGAAACTTTCACAAACTACTTTATACCCATGAGAAGAATTCAATGCAGTCAATAATAGGTGACTCATTGTACCAGTTGCGAAACCAGTAGCTGCACATAACATTGTTACCAATATCGCGCCATCACTACATTGTAATTATACAGTCCTTCTTGTCAGTATGTTCTCTGATTGAAAGCAAATCGAATGGCCTCAGCACACTCTAAAGGCCCGGGTCAGATTCAAACCTGAATTGAATCCAATTTGTCGTGTGAAAATGACACTTTTGGTCGAAGTGCTCTCTAGATTCTAAATAGTGAAGATTCACTCCCACAGTCGGAAACTAAGGACTAGACGTTTTAAAGTGAAATTCGTTCAATCGTAAAGATCGAGGTTTCACTCGAGCTTCGACTTTATCAAAGTGGTTCATTTTTCAGACTATGTCAATCGAAAATGAGAGTGTTTTTCACTCTGAAACGTCTAGTCCCTAATTTCACTCTTTGGAATTTAGAGAGTGCCCGGAGAAGTCTTGTTTTGACCCGAAAAAATCTGACGCGAATCCGGGTCGAATCTGCCATCAGTTCAACAAAATACCTTTCATCAAAGAAAAGGTACGTCGATCGTTTATTGGTTCCAGCACTCCTAATCGTACATTGTGAGGGCATGCTATTCACCGGGATTCAATTTCTCCCGTATCAGATATCGACGAGTGCAGCAGCGATCCGTGCCAGAATGGTGCAACCTGCGTGGACGGTGTCGTCGAGGTGTCGTGCGTCTGTTCTGATGGATTTAGTGGAGCTCTTTGCGAAACAAGTGAGTGCAGGCATAAAATAATTACAATAGTCTCCACATCTAAAGTTTGGCCACAGGGTTATGTTTAAGCCTACATGAAAATATTTTTTTTTAAAGTAAACTTACTTTTTCAATGTCCAGTCCAGTGATGGTTTCATTGCATTAGACTTTTGTTTTTTTTCTTTCAACGGGAAGGGTTGTCCATAATAGTATTTTTTTTAAGCAATGCAACGAGGCCATATTCACCAGAGAATATTTGACGGTTCTCTTTTTTTCTGTTTTACAATATTTAATAGGTGCGTTCTCGCATGCCTGGCGCAATGTTTTCTCTTCAACCTCTTAACACAGTATTTCGGTTTACGCCTAACTTATGTTCTGGCAATTGAGCGTTTCTTGAGCAACACATAGAGGTAATTTTCGTTGTATTCTGTTGTTTTTCAATATATTTTTTTTTTTTAGAATTGGAAGGTTGTTTCCTTAACCCTTGCCAGAACGGAATCTGCATGAAAGACGGTGCAGAGGGATCCAGATGTGTCTGTCCTCTTGGCTTTGAGGGCATCGTGTGTGAGATCAGTAAGTTTGGGTGTAGGAAACGGCAATGCTGCATTCATAAGTAATCATTCTCTGAATCTAAAACAAAAATTCAGTTGAACAATAATTTTATAGTTTAACAAAGACATTTAAAGGGGCGGGGTTTGAACTGCAACCTGCGGATTGCCGTTCCAGTGCTCTATATGAACTGATCTATCCATTACTATCTTGGCTGTTCCACATTTAGCCAATTGCTTTGTTCAAGGGGCGCTATAACAATACTTTACAAGCGGTCTCCATCTAATTAACAACCATTACCTGGGAAGAAAAAAGAAGCAGTTTTGAAACCATCAGATGAACAATTCAGTCAAGTGGATGAATTAATTCGTAATTAGAGTTTTTGAGGCATAATGTGTCAAGACGAAGATAGCTTTTGTAGCAATACCAATAAAGGTTGCAAATTTACAGATAAAGAGATTGGATGGCTTAAGACTTAGTGAACAAACCTTTTTTAAAATTTGAATAAACAACATGTTCATGTTATAATAATATTATTATCTTTCGAGATTCATCACACATTTAGAATGGCTTTCCAAATGTAAAGGTTGGTCTGAATGAACATTTTACATCAATGTTTCCTTTTCGTGTCAGACATCGATGAGTGCGCTAGCAATCCGTGCCAGAATGGTGCAGCTTGTGTGGACGGTGTCGTCGAGGTGTCATGCGTCTGTCCGGAGGGGTTCGGTGGAGATCTTTGCGAAACAAGTGAGGCGTAGAATATTCTTAACAGGTTTTGATTTTGAATAAGATATTTCTAACAGCATGTTATTTGGCAAACATTAAGCAGTTGATGTTAACACTTTTAAACTACTCAGATTTCGAGAGACATGCAGTGCAGAGGAATACAGTTTGCTTACAGTTGGCATCACGTGACCACAATATCCAATTGTGTAAACAAATGTCACATGATCTAGCGCCAGGCCATTTTATCTGGTTGCCTTCAGTAATATTCGGTTGACAGTAGAATACTTTATATAAATATAGACCCTACGTATGTATGATGTTCGTTGCATTTTGGGGTTTGTTCCGCATGTGTTCAGAACTGGCCATTGAAGGATGTTTTCTTAACCCCTGTGAGAATGGAATCTGCATGAAAGACGACGAAGAGGGATCCAAATGTGTTTGTTCCCTTGGCTACGAGGGTGCCATGTGCGAGATCAGTAAGTTTGAAAGTCGAATAGATTACTTACCGTATACTCTTACCAGTAGTGTCATCGTGGTAAAAAAATCCATTTGATAAAACTTGAAACTTCTACAGTATGTCCCGAAAAGGTGTCCGTCTAACTATTTTTGAAATAACTACAAAACAATGAAGTCAATTTTTATAATGTTTGATTGTGCAGATGCTCCTTATCATTGGCCTAAATTCTTGTGAGTTGCATTTAATTTCAGCCACTCATCACTGCACAATGGGCAATTGATTACAATAACATTGTTGGACACTGTGACCAATTTCCTTGCCACAATCAGATTCATTGTTGTGTTATATAAGCTGTGTAAAATCCTGCATTATGTGAAAAAAAAAGCTGATGTGGTTTGGGATTGGAATCATTTGCCCTTGGGCATTAAACTGAGGTCTTGCTATGATGACTGATATAGCCAGGTAAATGATTCCAATCCCGACAGCACCCCCCTTTTTTTGGGGGGGGGGCATTATTTTTGTATAGCCCTGAACAGTTTATGATAGTAGCAAATGTTAAAAAAAAAAGCATTTCCTTGGTTCTATTGTCAGTTGAAAACAAGAGAATGAACGCTGCAGTTCGTCTTACACGAAAAGTATAGTTTATTAAAAGGTCACCTAGTATACCTCTTTTGACGATACTTTAACAACTTAATTTATAAGCACTGTTCAATACCACACCAAAATTTGACCCCACATATGAAACCGAAACATCCATCAACGGTCATTTCTCGTGTCTCAGATATCGATGAGTGTAGCAGCAATCCGTGCCAGAATGGTGCAACCTGTGTGGACGGTGTTGTCGAGGTTTCGTGCGTTTGCCCCGATGGGTTCGGTGGAGATCTTTGCGAAACTAGTGAGTAACCCAAAGACCAGCATGGTGCAGGCGCGGATCCTAGGGGAGGGGGGGGGGGTCGACCTCATTTTTTTTTCATAGAAATTCTTTACAAATGTGACACCCCTCCCCCTGCCCTGTTCTGAAACCCAACACAAATTATACTGGTAATAATGTACCCCTGTGAACAAAATGAGTACAGAGCCAGCTGGGTTACGGGGGTATTTACACTATTCTGTGATACAGTGTTAATGATTGTGGGATTTGAACAGCGCCCCCATTGAAAGTATATGGTACGAGCGCCCCCTCCCCTATTGATTATACGGAGGCCAAATGTCCGGAGGATAAGACCTGTCTACATTTAAGCATTGATTTGCTGATTAGTTTGGACGTTTGTTTCTGTTGACTACAGATATTTGTCCTGTCGGTGTGTCGAAGTAAATAATAAGTAAGTAGACATGAACGTGGTTTAGTAAATCGCCAGTTTTGGATAAGCTGGCGAAGTTCAATAACCAGAAAAAAAATCCTTAATTTGCCATGATAATAAGGCAATAATGTTGCGTCATACCATGTCAAATTAACGATTTTTAAATACTGTTATGTGAAGTAGGGCTTGTGGAATGCATTTCATTTACTCCATTCTAAAAAAAAAAGACTACTGATTGTGTTAGAGTTGACTTACCTTTAATATAATTTAAATCTGATGTTTTTCTCTTTCTAGTCTCATTGTAGGGCGCGATCCTCATGGACCACCAACTACCATCAGGCCATCACATTAGTCATCTTTCTGTGAGACGCTTCCTTGACAGTCAACTTTGTCGTCCCTTCATCGAGAGTCACCTAGCAGTAACTATGCGAAATGACCACTGATCAAGCTATCCTTAGACCGTGCTAAACGTCAAATTATAAGTGGAAACAATAATTCTAGTTATTAGACCATTCAACCTTGAAACACTCGGAAGAAATCACCTGCGAGTTTCAAAATCTGTTATTATAACCAAGAAAGCTAGTTCCCCAATTGCATGCACTGAGGAGATTTAAAATCAATCCTGGTAAACAACTTGTGAACAACTTCACTGCAAAAACTGTGGTGTTAATTAAACACCATTTGGTATCTATATAGGACAACACCAGTAAAATTTAACACCAGATGGTCATATATAGATACCAATGGTGTATAATTAACACCGCAGCTTTTGCAGTGTTGTGGTACAAAAGCGCACACTGAAATATTGGTTGAAATTACAGAAATCTTACATCTTTACACTCAGTCAAAATTGAATCTGTCCGTCTTTAGAAACTAACATGATAGCAACAACGGTGTCTACATAATGACCTCCTAACTGTCCTGAAAATAGTGACCAACTATCCTTTAGTTACTGAATTTGCGGGAAATCGTGAACATTTAAGTATTATTTTTGGTAATTTAATTCAACGGGGGTGAAAGGGTTTCAGCAGTTTTGTGTTCATATGTCTGTATTGTTGTTAGTATACGTACTACTCCTTGATAAAGTGACGAGACATGCTTTTAGACCATTTTAAGTGTTTACCGCGTTGTATTTTGAGAGCAAATGCGATCACAGTCAAAAACAAAATATACTTCGGTCTAATACCTTAGTGCTTGGTTCATTTAATAAAATTAACACCAATTTTTACCTAAATGTATTATTTATGAGGGTCTTAGAAACCAATATCTAAGGCCCCCCCAAAAAAGTCTCCGGTTTCTGGTATGCGCGCGCGTCGCCGTAGCCATGCGCTTCGGCAAAATGAAAAAGTTTTTTTTCAATGAAAGATGATGTCTCAAAACCGCCAAACTCGCTGGTTTGACTGGAATCCTGCTGCTGCACAATTTTAACGTGTTTTTAGATTGGGTTATGGTCGAGAATAAGCTTTATGTGGCCTCTCTGGACTCCCATATATTTGCACTAAGTTTAGTCGGGCACCATTTGCAGTCATCAGCCGACATTTGAAGCAAAGCAAAAAAAATCAGGTAAAAAAAAAAAAAAAGCCGCGTCGCCGCACCACTTTTTAGGCAAGCTCCATACCAGAAACCGGAGACTTTTTTTGTGGCCTAACCAAATGAAACCGATTTTGTCGCATGAGTTATAAATTAAAAACATCGACGAACAAACTCAATTATTTACGTAGAGTATACGGTACGTATATGTCTATACAAGGCAGTCAAAAAAGTAACGGTTATCATAGTAATATAATGGGCTTACTGACCCATTGGCATGATCGGTGCTTCCCATAATGCATCGCGGTGAACCAGTGAAGTCGTTGCCTCCATTTTGTCAGTTGATTGTGGGTTTATTTTATGTTCCATTCTATTTTTTTTCTTCTTCATAAACATCAGTGACATGGTGGATAACCACTTCTTTTTATACGGGTTAAACTTAGGTTAAATAATGGTGAATCCAAATAAAACAAAGTATAACGTCATTGCCTGCAAAAAGTAGCCGAGGATTTAAATTTTGTCATTTTATGATCTTTGTGATATTTTTTGTTTCTTTTTTTTTGTCGATTTGTTAAACCATAAATGTTATGAGACCAGTTCATCCGCTCTCTTCAGGCCCATCCCCACCGAGCAGTGCGCTGGGCTTAATGCACGGGCTGATCGAGATTCATTGTTGTTTCGGGTGGGGGAATTGAAACTTCGAAGGTGGAGGGGGGACACATCATTTGACGCTAGGGTGCTCGATCGATCTTCCCCCTTTTCCCTATCTCCATCATAACAACACTTGATAGGGGGAGGCCGTGGCCTTGGCGTAATGTATAAAGCCGAAACTCAATATTAATTGACTTCTTCTCAACCGTTTCAATATAGGCCTGATGGGCCTCGCATAATTTGCACAAAATGCAGGTTCGCCCCCTCCATCCACCTAGCAAATAAGCCCAATTGGAAATCCAGGAGATTGTAAGGACACTTCCGAAAAAAAGCCCTCTAGCGCCCAGTTTCCCAGATCATTGTGATCAACAAATGACAATATCAAAATGATCCCGCGAAGCATTGTTTTTGCTGAAAGACTGTAGAAAGTCTGATAATTTATTGCGCACATCGTTCGTTATGAACACCGCCCTCATGCGATATTAATACAGATATATCTACCTTTCTTCTGGTACTTTTCCTGCCACACATTGCAGCATCGCTGGTAATCTGTCCAATATCGCTGGTCTGGTTCCGCGACCAACAGATTCTGACTATTATCTCTAACGAATCCTATGTCAGGTTTGGTTTAATTACTAAATGCTTTTAAAGCTTCGAATTTCCGATCAAATTTTTAAAAAATCACTTGTTTCATATATCATACAGTGCGATATTTATCATACAGTTCGATAATACATTGAAGCGTACTACTTCGTGAAAACGAAAATTTACAGTTTTTCGGTTTCACGAACTAACACTCACTTTTTTCTCTTATTTCTTGTTTATTTAATACCCAAACGGGTGAATAACAGCAATTCAATTCATCAAGTGTCCACAACGAGAAACCCAACTGAAAATACTCTGCCGTTTTGACGCAAAGTGTTGTTTTAGAAGGCGTGCAACTTTAGATGCCGTTTTCTCCGATTGCTAGTTTTTACTGGTAATGGGTGTTACTTCGTGGTGTTGCTGACGAATATTATTCATGACCTTACCGTACTTGTACTGGCGCCCGCATACAGATAGCGGCGCTTCCATAATTTCATGCAGCTATGTTGTGCAAAGCGCCCAATAGATACACTGACTTGTATGTGTTTACTCTGCACGTCGTGCCCATTCAGATGTGAAGCTTTTTGGGCGTAACTTGGCTGCGTGCAGTCACTCTGTATCTGAGCTTACATCGGGCCTGTTTGTTTTGCACAGATAAACGGATCCTGCTCACGAGGTGGATTTGCAAGATCAAAGATGGCGACGTGCGCAACGGACGGGGAGAACAAGTGAGGTTTTTTTTATAGTAGATTTGAAGTATCAGTTGAGCTTTTGTGACAATATTTCTTCATAATTATTCTAGAATTTATTTTCGTAATTAAAAATAGCACGACTGATTTCCTTTTTTTCTGAAAATTATAGATGGCTTATCGTAAAAATAGCCCTTCTGCCTACAACTCCGAAGCAGGCGAAATTCGTGTGCGCCCTATATTAATCAAGCCTATTAGACGCGTCATTGACGCCATTTCTGATACGGAACGCCATCATAGCAGCCATCATAGCAGCCATCATACATTTCTGGTGCCCATCTTTAATTTGGTCATACACAGGGTGACCGTTTTAGCAGATTTTCGGCTAACTTTGACAGAATTTTTGTTAAAAAACGAGTTTGACAGAAAATTTGACAGAATGGATTTTTTGGCAGATTTCTGGCAGAATTCTGCAAAAATGGTAATTTGACAGAAAAACAGCAAATTTGAACAAAAAAATGTACATTTCTTTTAAAAGAGCTTCAATCCTTTCAAACAAACTCTTGCATAATGGGACAGGTTGGCTGGTCAAGCTAGGTGCTGAGGTTTTCCTGGGAAACGGACTTGGTCGTGGCCGGATCCGCGTTTTGCCCAAAATTTACCAATAGTTCCACAACATCTTTATGTGACGAGATTATTTATTATGAAATTTGAATCTTTTATTAATTAAGGCAATACTACCAATCTGCATGTGATTTTAAGTGTTTATAGTGTATTTTGAGTAATATACTTGATTCACGAGTCGGCAACATTAAATTGACAACGAGGAAAAGTCTTCTTTTTTGGAACTTGCGAGTAAAAATGAAAGCGGCAATGAAACATCAATTCATTACAAATTAACACCAGTAGTCTGCTCCGATGAATAATTTAAAACTTGGGATTAAACACACCCCCAATGTTTTAAGCCACATTTAAAAAAAAATGGTATTGAGGCTTGTAACACACTCCAATCATAAAATAGTTTGGCACCATCTCATTCAGCAGTTTACAATTTATAAAATAGATTCAGGGAACACGATCGAAAATGGCGTCCTTGTGCATTTAAGGTTGATTGATTATAGTTGCCTAGTGTTTGTGATGATCAAATCACAACACACAGGCTCCATTTGCTTTTCATGTAGACCCAGTAACTGATGGGGTACTAGACCTTTTTTTTAATTTTTTTTTTTAGAATTTTGACTTTGGTCGGTCTTAAGACCAAACCAAGACCAAAGTCAAAATTCGCAAAACAAAAAGAAAAAGAGTTCTAGAACCCCGGCTTATACTGGGTCTACTTTTCAAGCATTTTCTTTGTGTCCAATAACAGCGCCAGTTAAAGTCCCAAAGAAGAAAGATAAAAACCTATCCTGTTGAGGCTTCAGCTCAGTGGATTATTAAACTATTCGAGAAAGCAGTGAAAACTCACTGCACGTTCTTTTGATCACAGAACACGGTTTTATCCGTGGCACTCGGTATATTGTATTTCCGAAAACTCAGTCAATTCAGTGATTGTTGGAAATCATCTTGGTTTCTTCTAAATGACAGCAAGCCAGACGGAATATTTTCACGAGGTGTTTAGTACCAGTGCGATCTTGATTCCAAGTCTGTAGGTAATTACTTTGGGGGTAAATGCAAATGATCTATTCCTAATAATATTTGAACTGTTTGATCCGCATTGCAGTGAGAGGACCGCAAGTGGTGATGTGGCACTGCCTGCCACATTTAGGAAGCTGGTCTGCACCAAGTTGACTCCACACTTTAGAGATGCAGTGTCAATCGAAACCGTTCCTATGCTAAAACCGGGACCACAAGAAATACTCGTTCGTAACAGGTACGTGTCCCCTGAACCAGGGCTGTTAAAAAAAATCACGATTTTGTGATTTATGATAAATGTTGGTTTGACTTTAATTTATTTCCAATAATCACATGTAATTATGACATTAATTTTGTATATGAGGAAGAATGTTGAATTAATGTCTAGCAACTTGAATTAAATTGTGTCCCATTCAACCCAATTTTCGAATTTTTTTTGCCATTTTGTACCGTATTTTGGTGCCTTTTTTTGCTTTTATGCAATTCGAATTTCCATATTCATGAGCAAAAGAGTGATGTCATTTTAGGCAGAACCTCAATGTTACAGCTATTTCAGTACCAAAAGTTGCCAGAATTGTGGATATTTTGCTGTGTGATTCCTTGTTGTGCCAGCTTATTACACGGCAGCTAGTATCGTTAGGTAATGAACACACTTTTCTTGCGATTAATGTGTTTAACAGGAGATTGTTTTGGTCCACTCGTTAAACAGAACACTCCTAAATTGAACAGTGTGACATCACAGCAACAGCGCCCTTGGGTGACAGGAAAAACATAGAAAATGTTAAATGTTTAAAGAATTGCACTTTTCAATACAATTAAGCAAAAAGGAAAAATCAGTAAAGTTTCCATATAATTAAGAGGAGTAAAAAGTTGCACAAGATATGTTCCATGGAAACAAATATTGTATGTACCCTTTAAAGGTCTTTGAGCTACAAAGTCAGACGTCATGAGTTGGAATACCACCTTACTCCCTAGGAATCTGATTTAATTATATATTATAACACTTGTAAATGGAGTTTCAAGCACAATTTCCTTGGCTTATTTCCATTAAAACAGATTCGCCGGGATAAACGCAGGCGATGTCAACAAGACTGCCGGCCGATATAACCGGGCCGATAAACCTCCTTTTAACATCGGATCTGAGGTGGGTGACAACAGCCCTCCCCCCCATAAATTTATCTGGCTGACCGTTTTAGCCGATTTTCGGCTAACTTTGACAAAATTTTTGTCAAAGAAACGAGTTTGACAGAAAATTTGACAGAATGGATTTTTTTTCTAGATTTCTGGGGGGGGGGCCCAAAAAAAATTGTGTCTCCCAAAAAGTGGGTAAAAAAATTACGGCATTTTTTTGGATTCTCGATGCTCCGTGGTGCGATCTGAGGCAATTTCTGACCACTTTAGCCAATGTTTTTTGAGGAAAAGATGGTGGTGTACTCATTGCCTGCCTTTATTGCGACGTCACATAAAAAAAAAACACAATTGGTTTCGGTTTTTTTTGGGGGGGGGGGCATGGCCCCCTTTGGCCCCCCCCCGGATCCGCCCTTGGGGTTAGGGTTAGGGTTATAGGGTAAGGATTTCGGGAAACATCGGTATTGGGGATCATAGGTATGCACCCATAAGAACACAGTACGCTTACTGACAGTGAACTACACTTTAGAATGTTCCAAGCAAAAAGTCCATTACTTCCCCATTGCACACTTTTTAATGGTATACCAGCATGCAGATCAAAGTTAAACGGAAATAGCCATCTAAATTCTGTACACTGCTCTGTGGTTGTTCAATAACGCTTCGTAAAATTTAAGTATGTGTTTTATGTATTTGTATACTTTTCCTATTTTTGTTTGCAGGTTAGCGTGCTTTGTGTTTGTTTTTGCTGGTCCCTTGCCCATGTAGTCACACGGTTTTATCTAATATTATGTGCTAGTTTTATTTCTTATGGTTTGTATTGATATCTGTCTTTTACAAATGTTGTTTTGGGGCCCACTACAGGGTGTTTCAAAAAACAGAAGGAAACCCAACTTTAAAGAATGAGTATGGACAGACGATATGTTTAATGGCTATAAAACTGGTATCATCTGAAAGCGTCATCTCTATGCTTTTCAATGATACCATGTTTAGGTTTTCTGAGTCATGCATCAGTGATCATCATTGTCTTGAAAACTGGATGCAAAAATGTAGTTGGTTCACTTTCTTAAAAAAAAAAAAAAAAAAAAAAAAAAACACCACTAAGCACGGTGTGCCTATTGTTACGGAAATGTCTGTGAAATAACTTGGATGTTAATCCTTGGGAAAATGGCACATTTTTTTGAACGTGGCTTGGGTCAAAACGAGAAATTCATGACGAACAATAAAATCCAGTTTTGAAACAAACCTGACTTGTTTTTTGTTTTTTTTCTTTTTATGCACTCGTGTCTTCTTCTTGAATACTTATTCTCATGCACACCATGCCTATTGTGTTTGACATGAAAGTGAACCAACTGCAATTTTGCATCAAAATCTCATGACAGTGGCGCTCAGTGATGACCCTGGAAATGTAAAAAAGGTATCATTGAAAAGCATAGAGATTGCGATTTCAGATGATACCAGTTTTATAGCCAGTAAACATTCAGTCTGTCCATACCGGTTCTTCAAAATTGGGTTTGTTTTTATTGAAACACCCTGTATAGTAGGGAGATACTCCCGAAGACTTGTGCACAATTTTGTTTCCAACTTTAATGACCCCGAATTCAAATTTTACCATATCATAGCCCCACGAGTTTTGGTGGTTTTACTATTTCGGACTACGAGCAATCAATCTAGCCTATTTGCGACGTTACAATTTTGCCTCTAAATATGAGCTGAGGTATTAGGGAGACATTGAAATGTCTTCCTACTTCCATATGTCCCCCAAAGGTATTATGACTCTAAAGTGTCTCCCAAAGATCCTATCTGTGTTGTAATTACTAAAAACACCTTCATCATAAAAGTGGCGCTATAGATGTATGAATATTATGTCTCTTCCTGTATCTGTCTGACTAATACAGCTACCATCACTTTACCATGATGCAATTTGTCGCGCAACAATCAGTTTTTGCCTAGGCCATTGTATTTGATTTGGGTTTCAATTTTACCTGATGATTAGCCTTTCGCCAAGGCCGTCGTGGCTTTAACCATGGTCTATTACATAGACTAGGCTTCGCCACTCATGCACGCGATTTTTTTCCGTAGGTGGGTTGCTCAAATGTCATGCATAATTCAGTTTTCCTATGAATCGTTGCAAGACACATAATTAGGTTCTCGTTTTTTTTTTTGCCATTAAAATAAAATTTATCTCAACGATAAATTCAGAGAAGAAAAAATGGTCGATGAAAATGAGCAGCGACGACGTGGATTCGAACCAGGGATCTTTGTACCCATAGCTCATCTTGCTATCCAGCGGAGGCGGAACGGTTTTCAAACTGGGGGGCATCTACAAAAAGGGGCACTTTCTCAGTAAAAGGCATCTTCCGTCAGTGCATCAGCGTATCCAGCTTTTTTTTGGGAGGGGGGGTTAATATCCGTGCTGAAATGTCAACACATTTTTTTCACCGGACACTCGAGTTTTTGCTAACTTGTCTTTGTTCGTAATTTACTTTTCAGTTTTCACTAGGGCTGTCCATTTTCGAATAATTTAGTCTTCAATTACTATACTTGGAACTGCGTTGCACCGAATATTCGGATATTCGAAATTATACAACACCTGTGAATAAATCCCCGTCATCTGATTGGTGAATTGTAGATCACGTGACATATTATTATTCGGTATAATGCACGGTGCGACCATGCGTTATACCCATGCGTTATACCGTTTCACTTTGCGCTTGTTCCATGACGCGGTATTTGCGTGCAAAATGCATGCTGGTGTGCGCGTTCAGCGTAGCGCGTATTGTTCCAAAGAGCCAGCGCTACAGCGTTGGGTTCAAACATTTTCGTGAAGGGGTAGTTCAACATCTTTAAAATTAAAATAAATTGTAGTTTATAATTTACCAATCAAATGACGAGAATTTATTCAGGTGTTGTATAAAACAAATAACGAATGTTTTACGTTCGTGCGATGGAAAGAATAATTTCATTCGGTGACAGATTGAATGTTCTATTCCACTCGGCTTCGCCTCGTGGAATAGAACATTTAATCTGTCACCTCATGAAATTATTCTTACCATCGCACTCACAAACATTCGTTATTTGTATACTGCCATATGCATGCTGCGCCGGTTAAAATTTACGTGCGGTGCTCGATATGGTGCGCTGGAGTGTTTTGTCGTAAGTAAAGTATGTTATAAGTGTAAAGTGTTTTAACCTGTTAAAAGATGTGAACACTGAACCCCCGTCGGCAAGAAAAGGTTGCAGTCAACAAACAAGTGATACCTGACAATAAAGCGCTGCAAGTTTACGGTAACATAACATCACATTCGTGTTTATGTATGTGTGTGTTTTTTTTCTTTGAATATTCAAATCGGCAAAAAGCTATTCGAAAATTCGAATGACGATCGAATATTCGACTACTCGGTATATGCGGTACAGCCCTAATTTTCACAATCACACTCATAACGGCATTACGTGTGGTGATTATATTATCAATTTCTTAACAAATTTTCTGTGTGTATAATGATGTTGTGAACAACGTTTTCATAACCCATTTTTTTAGGCTGTGGGTGAGGTTGTTGGCGTCGGTAGCGAAGTCAAAAATGTCAAGATTGGACAAGGCGTGTGCTGCTACTTGGAAATGGGGGCATTTTCGGAATATCAGGTCAGTTTGATTAGTCCTGTATACACGTCCCTTATTTGACCAGCACAACAGTGTCAATAAATAATAACTTAAGATGTCATAAAACAATCAGAAAACCTGATGAATGGGCAAAAAAACAGAGGCAGTATTATACAATATTTATTAAATAATACTAATAGCGGAGTCTTACATAACGTATCTACCAACAATTGTACTCAAGGCGCTGGTAATTAAGTTTTGTTTTTAAAGACAGGTAAATGAAGTTTTGTGAGAAATGTGAGACCCATTATGTAGCAGCTTTATAAGGGTTAACAAGGTGCTGCGGCGCATATTGCAGCCACTGCCGGAAAAACCGGAGCAAACCCCTTCTCTTAGCGATAGTTGTAACTGGGTTCTCTAACGTGCTTTATACAACACATGGGACATACGGCTTTACGTCCCATCCGAAGGACAAAGCAATAATGGTAAAGTGCCTTGCTCAAGAGCACAAGCACCATGTTGTAGTTTGTATTGGTCAATTTATCAGTGGTATGGGTTCTGGTTTATTTAATCAGTACTCATGAATTAAACTGTTAACGCAACCACAGTTCGGTTGGAGCATACACTTTATTTTTATACACTTTATACACTTCCTAGGCGTGTTTGCATGCAACATTCCTTCCCGTCAGGTTAATCCATGGCAAAAAAGTGCAAGAAACCAATGGAACAATGAGACTTAAACGGAAAGTTTGAAATTATGATGTTTGTGCAGGTAATTCCAGCTAAGTTGGCCATCCCAGTCCCGTCGGTGAAGCCTGAACATCTTGGTCTGTTACTAAGCGGAATGACGGCTGATTTAAGCCTAAGAGAGGTAAGTTCAAAGGTCATGTTAAGTGGTGTGCATATAAGCCTTTTCGGAGTTCCAACTGCGCATTCGTAACCTGTGACAACGCGCATTATTTGTCTCAAATGGCCTTTGACAACATCGCGCCACTGACTTTACAAAAAGGCTGTTTGTTCTGGTTCTGGTTCTGGTTGTTACTGTGCAAACACCTCTTAAGTGGTTATCGCGCACAGGTTGTGCATTGTGGGTACTGTCAAAGGGCATTTGAGACAAATAATGTGCGTTGTCACAGGTTACGAATGTGCGCAGTTGGAACTCCGAAAAGGCTTATTATGGTATATAGTACGGGAGCCGTGTGCCATGGTTGCAGGCCAGTAAATCGGTCCGAAATTGGCTTGGCCGGCCAAATCACGATTTGCATGCCCTCAAATTCTTCAATATTTGAGCATCTTGTGGGCCATGAACTTGAGGGTTTGTACAAAATATGGGTGGAAGCCGTGCACAGGACTGTGAGCTTGTGTTTCAGTGACATTTGGATGAAATTGGGGCCCTAATAGCGCTCTATTTTCCAATGGAGTGTAAGCACCGTTTTTCAAAATGGCGATGGGCTTCAGGACTACTTGGAGGGCTGATCATCTTCGGATGGAAATTTCTCCTAAAAGTTATCAGAATAACCCCAAAAAATTTAGAAGAAAATGAACATGATGTAATATACTTTAATTTGATGTGTGTCTCGAACACCTTTGGAGAGTTGTGGGTATTTTCCCCGAATTTCTGAAGTGGGGGCATTTATCATTAGGGTCTATGGCAGTTTATTTACTGGTCTGCAACCCTTTAAGCCAGTTCGGTGTTCCAAAATAGTCTGGTGCACAACAAGATTCGACTAATTTTTTTTTTCGGGATAAACGAGGCAGAGAAATGCACACAAGCCTATGGGGGACGTGGTAACCGAATCTGCATTCTATGTAATTTTCCGTGCAATCGAAAATAGATGGATACTTTCGTTCGCCCGAAAGTTTGGACACACAAGACACCTAAAAATACCTCGCTGTCCAAACGTTTTTTTGCAAAATGTTACTTCCGAACACGACGATCTCTTCAATTTTGCTGGTACCCCGCTATGCTTTAGCACGCATATGATGAAATGTTAATCCCGAAAGAGAAATCGTCAAATCTTGATGTACACATGCGCAGAGGTAATACCAAACTGGCTAACAAACACGGGTACCCGCATAAAAAGAAACCAATCCAAATATTTGAAGTTGTCTGAAGGGGATTTACAGGTTTACTGTACACGAGCGTCATCTGTTGCGTGTTAAAACGTGAATGCTGTTTTGGTTTTCCATTCTCCCACAAATGACATTCGAATCCTTTCTTTTTCTGTTTCACTGTCTGAGCAGTTGCTAAGTGATTTGTAAAGTTGGTTATAGGTACTCAATCCCATAATCTGGAACCGGTTCCTGACATCAGCGGTCGGGTACTCGGGTACTGGTTCCGTTGCGCACCCCCAAACATCATCTTATATACATGTTTTCAGTAGTGACATTTATACAGAGTAACATTAAAAATTCACCAAGTAATGTACATGTTATATAAAACAGATTATGATTTCTTTTCTTTTTTGTTTGGTTTCAGTCTGGAAGGATTAAAGAAGGAGAAACTGTTCTGGTGACAGGTTGGTTTATTCAAATTCACCTCAATTTAGGATTATTTTGTTTTGTTTGTACATTCCCTTGTTTGTCTGTTTCCTGCCCCCCCCCCAAAAAAAAATGTTTCCCGGGAAAACAGGGAAATTGTATTCGTATTTTGTTTGAAAGCAAAAAAAAACAAAAAAAAAACTTTAGAATATATTCATTGGACCTGTTGATTTATGATGAAATGGTTACCAATAGTGATCATAAACAAGCATTTTTCTTGGATGCATACAGGGTGAGTAATAAAAAAGGAAAGCCAAATGGCGCCCCCCTATTTTGGGGGAAAGAAGCTCTGCATATATCACCCTATAGCCCAAATGATTAGCTTTCGTTTAGTAAAAGAATCATTCAAATCACTCATGTACATTTCCAAACAAACACAGTTTTCAAACTGGACACGTAAATGAGCGATATGAATACATGTAATTCTTTTACCACAAAAAGCTTATTCATTGGGGCTTTCACATCCTAGATCAGGGAAGTGCCGCATGCAAAACTTCCTTAAATATAGAGGGCGCCATTTTGGTTTCCTTCTGTTTTTGGTTTTTTTTTTCTTTTTTTTACTCACCCCGCAGTGTGAGCAGTAGGTATATTTTACTCACCAGACTTTTTAAATTTGCTTTGTCTCAGCTGCTGCCGGAGGGACAGGACAATTTGCGGTGAGTATCAACCAAAACTTTGGTTTGTGGCCCAACAATTCCCCCCCCCCCTTTTTTTTATTTTGCTCCTTGTCATCATAATGTGCACGTGCAGTTTTGGTATGGATGGTTTCTCAAAAGCTGGTGTACACCAAATTGACACCATTTGTGTGAATTGTGGTTATTTTGGGCACCCTGCAAACAATAGGCCTGAGACTTTGTTTACATGTGCGCTTTCCTATGTAGTAGACTGTCTCTACTTCGTCTGGCGTCCCGACTGCGCTCCCATAGTAAAGCGCATATGCAAACAAATCCATTACGTCATATGGTCTCAGGTCTAGTACGGTATTAAACCTGAAAACTGTGCGTGGGGTTTGTTGCGTTCAGTTTATTTAAATTAGCACCGAAAAAGCGCACCACACCTGAGTGTGCGTGCTGTTTTGGTGTCCACACAATGATGTAAATTTGGTGTACAGGCAAAAATTCATCAGTACTAAATCCTTAAACACCACAACTGCATCATGTTGTTATTAGGTGCGTTTTAATTATTTAAATTAGCACCACTAAATACACACCCACTTCACATGCGAAGTGATGCTGTTTTGGTGTGGCACGCCATGCACGCGCAGTGCTGCTTCTGCTTATAAAAAAACATTTAACCGTAACATATTTAGGTGCGAGATTAATATTCTCACTTTTGCTTGTGCTTTTTGAAAACAATTTGACCTAAAAAAACTTTAGATGCTAGATTAATATTCTCGTTTTTAAAATCCAGGTCCAGTATGCTAAACTGGCAGGATGTCATGTTATAGGAACCTGCTCTTCAGATTCCAAAGTGGAATTCCTTAAGGTATTAAACAAGCTTTGTAGTTGTTTGTTTGTTCATTTGTTTTTTGCTTTTTTGTTTATTTACAGCCTTGGTACGAGTTGAAGGAATGTTATGAGGATGAAAATATAATTTCTCATATCTTTCCGTCGTCGTTGAACTGAAAAGTAAAGTCCACTAAATATCTTGGAGATAATGAGTTTTTAAGACTACAACCCAAATAGTTTGTTTGTGTATGGTGTTGTGTTCTTGGCATTAAATACATCTTTCTATTGCTTTCTTCAAGGGTCTTGGCTGTGATAGGCCCATTAATTACAAGACGGAAGACTTAGGCCAAGTGCTGACGAAGGAATACCCTGTAAGTTGAAGACAATCGTTTTCTTGAGTCCCTTTCTTTGGATTGGCGATTCATACGTTCTGTAGGCAGTCAGGTGTTAATCTGATTGGCTAGTCGATGGGTTAATTAATTCATAAATTCATTGAGTCAATCGGATGATTAATCTGATTGGCTAGTCGATGAGTTAATTTATTCATAAATTCTTTCAGTCAATCAGGTGCGTTTTTGATTGGACTAGTTGATGGGTTAATTATTAAAGTTCTCTCGGTCGTTCATTATGTTCATCTGATGAATCTGTTGTTAGATTATTTCATTCATTATTTCTTACAGTAAATAAGTGTCTTACATTGGCTAGTTGGCGAATCTCCAGGTTTATATTCTGATATTGGTAAATACCTAAGACAGTTTACCAATTTCTATTGGTGAGAACCCGTCACGTGGTATGGTCTTACACGGTTGATAAAACACCAGCTGGCTGGACTTAAACACTTTTCCAGTGTCACATGATTTTTGGATTCCTATGAAATCTGGTCCCTTTTATACCCTTTTATAATGTTGAACGTTCATAAACACTTCAGTTTGCGCAAATGTTACGAGTAAGTCAGTATTAAACTTACACTTTACATCAGCACCGCTGCGTTTTGCGTCACAAAGAACAGTTCGCGCCACGCACACGCCAATCTCCATATAACGAGTTGTTTACGACTACTCGCGCGAGGCGCATACCATAAAATAGCCAAAGGGTTGCTCAAAAAACACGAAGTAAACCTGTTAAACTATAAATCGTTGGAAATGTATAGGTATTCGCTTGTTTTTACTTTTTAAACGAGGAGGTATGAATGGGAATAAATATGTGCTTGGCCGGTATTAAACAGTACAAGTCCGTTTAAGACCGGCCGGGCTATTATATATCAGCGTCCATTCCCTCCGTCAGTCTTAAAAACGGACTTGCTTTAAACCAGCCAAGCGCATAATATATATATTTATTCCCTTATTAATGACTTTCATGTCTAAAACCTTCTTTGATTTCAGGCCGGAGTGGATGTGGTGTTTGAGTGTGTTGGTGGAGAAATGTTTCACACCTGTCTTCATAAGTAAGCATTCTGTGGCTAGTTGTGGAATTCAAATACGTTCAGATGAAATCAATTTTGTGGATCATAAAGTCATGTGATTTTGGTTATAGTTTAAAAAACGAACCATATGAAGTATTGTTAGATATTTTTGAAAATTAAATCAACTGGGACTGGAATGATACTTGTAAGGAGTTTCACAGCTTATCCACTATAACCGATTCCGCAAGCTCGGTGGTCGAGGGTTAAGACGTCTGCACTAGAAAGCAGCAAGTCGTGCGTTCGAGTCCCACTCGAGTAAGCTTGTGAATTTTTTTTCTGGCAAGCTCTCGGTCAGATAATGAGCTTATAATGCTTATTGATAATACTCGGTGTCGATGAAGGGCAGACCCCAATTAAATGTCTATTCATAAATACCTGAGACAGTTTACCTATTCCTATTGGTCAAGAGCCCGTCATGTGGTTGTAAACCGCTGATGGAACACCGGCTGGTTTTCAATACAATTCCTGTGTTCTGCGCCACATCACGCAATACGCGCCGCGCGCGCCAATTTCCATATAAGGAGATTTTTTGGCACTACTCGCACGAGGCACATACCACAGACATGGCCAGAGGGGTGTTTCACAAAACAAGTACTTTGTTGAGCAAAAACGTAGGATTTTTTTTTCTTCTGAATTTATGACTCGTTTTGAGTTGTTGCCCGAAAGGTATTTTTGACTTGGGAAAATAATCCATGTGCGTGGGCGATATTAAAACCGACTGGTCACCGATAAGAACCCTCATCTTTGGCTCGGGCCACTATCGGCGTCCATGCAGGCCATTAGCCGGTTTTAAATGTATTTGTTTAAAACTTGCCAGGCACATATTAATTCCCTTATTAATATATTCAGGGATGTCTCAAAATCTACATCAACATACAAGAAGTATTGATTAGAGGAAGTCATGTGTATTGTATTTATTTGTTGGGGCTTCAGAAGTCAGCAATATAATTTAGTAGGAAAAGTTAACAACTACAGGTATTTAGTCATTATAACTTGTTGCTGAATTTGTGTACAGCCTGGCCGCCAAAGGGCGCCTTATCGTCATTGGCTTCATCTCTGGATACAAGGCATCACAGATTGTAGCACCGACGATACAACCCGAGGAAACGTTTCGGGTAAGGAATAGCGTTAATCAGAGTGTTATGTATATGTTTTGGGGTAGTCTGAACATCACCCGTGGTCCAACGGAGCCCCCTTCTCTCTGTCTCCGGTCAAACGTGTGATATATCTAAGCATTTCATGCGACCCCATGCGCCAGCTAATCGGAGTCGACGTGACGTCAATTCATGCCGAAAAGAGGACTTAGTTGTTGATTGGTCAATTACACGCGATACTTATGATGTGATGATCATACGAAGCCACAGGACGTTCGCTCATCGCGTAACATTAAAATATCGTTACAGGCCGCATCCTGCAGTCTATTTTGCGAACACAATTCATAACTTCAAAGTTTTAACATACGTCGTGTCTAGGTGTATATATATATGTGCATGACAACGAGTTACCGAAGACTGGATATAGAAAGCGCCCGCTGAATGGTCAGAATCTAGAGGTCAAGACGCAGTCTAGTTGCGTAATGGACCGATCCAGTAAGCACCGCCCCATGGTGTTCTGACCAATCACAGCCGTGATTTATGTCCGACGTGCATGCACAAAAATCCGACATGCGTGCACGCGCGTATGATGCGCGCAGAAGGAAAATGCAGCGTGGCATTGGAGAAGAGCACGTGTTAATTTGCCCATGTGCGCACTGGGCGGAGCTTACTCAACCTCGTGCCCCGTGGGTACGATCTTGCAGCGCCATGTTGTTTCCCATCATGCCTTGCGCGATCGTAACCCCTGGAATTGTGTAATTTAAATGTGCCAAAATACGGTACATTATAATTAGGGTTGCAGTTTATCCGTTTTACGTGCCGACGCCATCTTAAAATGTTAAAAGTTGTGATTTTGAAGAATCAATCCTTTCAAACACAACGTTTGGACCTTGTGTTAATTAGCAAAGATTTGTATTAAATGTACGTACCCCTTTCGTGCCTTTACAACCACAGATACATGGGGGTTTTTTTTGCGAAAAACGCGGCTGACATAATCCATATCATACAGGCATCGCGACTTTTGAATCATATTTTTTTTCTCGTACTTGACGTTACGTGCAAAGCACGCGAGCGCATTATGGGGGCGCCCGGCGTGCAATCTTCGAAACGCGCGCGCAGTACGCTGTGAGTAGCCATTCAGTGTCATTTACGTCATCATCACAGCCAGGGTTTTAGTGTCCCCTGAGTTTCCGAATTTTCTACGTCTCCGTTTCAGATGATATTCGTATGGTGGCCCTGAAGGGACATCGCATATCGCAAACGTGTGCGCATACGTATGCGATGTCGCGAAATTTATCGCGAATGTGTGCGCACACGTATGCGATGTCGCAAAATTTATCGCAAATATATGCGCACACGTATGCGATGTCGTGAAATTAATCGCGAATATGTGCGCACACGTATGCGATGTCGCAAAATTTATCGCGAATATGTGCGCACACGTATGCGATGTCGCGAAATTTATCGCAAATATATGCGCACACGTATGCGATGTCGTGAAATTAATCGCGAATATGTGCGCACACGTATGCGATGTCGTGAAACAATTCGCGAATATGTGCGCACACGTATGCGAATTTGTTTGCAATGTCGTGAATTTTATTGCATACCTTGTCGCATACCTTTCAGTAAAATTCCTAATGAACTGGGGAGTTGTAGCAGCTAGTCTGGAATCTAGACGTACTGTTAGATATAAATAGGGTCTGACTAATAAACCTTCGCGCGCACGCTGTTCCTCGTGCAATCGTTACTACTAGTACTGTCGAGCGCAAACTTGCTACTTGCGCAACTTTGAAATTTGCGCGCGCAAGTTTCAAACTTGTGCGATTAATTTTCGCGATTAATTTCACGACATCGCATACGTGTGCGCATATATTCGCGATAAATTTCGCGACATCGCATACGTGTGCGCACATATTCGCGATAAATTTTGCGACATCGCATACGTGTGCGCACACATTTGCGATAAATTTCGCGACATCGCATACGTATGCGCACACGTTTGCGATATGCGATGTCCCTTCAGGGCCACCATATATTCGTACTCATCAGTTATTCAATCAGTTAGACAGTCAGTCAGGCAACCTGCCAGAGAAACTCATTCAGAAATCAGTAGACCTCTGGTCGGGCTCCGGCAAAATCCTAGTCTGAGTGTCACCCGTTATCCACTGAGCCAAGTCTCCTGAATAACGTCTAATATGTCTAAGCATGCAGATAATATGCAAGCCGCAAGCCAGCCAATCGGAGTCGATTTTACTTTAATTGTGACGTCATTTCATTCCCAAGTCAGGACTAATAGTTTGATTGGTCAATTCGAATGCAGTGTTTTGTAATACAACAACAACCGGGCGCATATCGAGTAACATGATACAGAGCGCGTGTCACAGGTTTTTTGTATCCATGTCTTTGACGCGCAACGGGTGAATGACCGAAAACTCGATATAGAAAGCGCCCGCTAATTGGGCCAATTCTAGAGGTCAAGATGCGGTTGTCTTGCATAATTAATCAGCGAATCTGCAAAATCCAGAGTAAAAGTGTTTATATATTAAAAAAAGTCGTCGGTTTTGTCTTGCAGTTGCTTGGTAAGTCTGCCAGCGTGACTGCTTTCTTGCTCTTTACCTTCGCTGATCAGTGGCAGGAGTCGTGTGCCAGACAAGCTGCTCTCTTTGCCAAGGGAGCAATCAAAGTGGGCGTTGATCGTGGGCAGAATAGTGAGAGAGGAGCATTCAAAGGAGTGGAGAGCATTGTGGATGCAATTGATGTAAGTATGGCTGTGTCGGAATTACGTGACCACGGCTGGGACATTTTGGGGAAGTCATTTATCCTTTGTTACAACTGATAATGTAGTAACCAACGGATAATGTATCACCAACTGATAATGTCACACAAATTGACTGATACTGTATCACTAACCGATAATGTCACACAAATTGACCGATAGTGTAGTAAAAAATGTACTACACTATCAGTCGATTGTTGTTACATTATCGGTCTTAACCGATAATGTATCAAATATTGACCGATAGTGTAGTAACATTTACTACACTATCAGTCAATTTCTGTTACATTATCGGTTAGTGATACAGTATCGGTCAATTTGTTTGACATTATCGGTTGGTGATACATTATCCGTTGGTTACTACATTATCAGTTGCAACATCCTTGTATATAGTTTTAAATGTCACTTTGTTTCATACTTTCCAGCGGGAATTCTGTGACGAGTCTTAATGCATTATTTTGTATCCTTGTGTTTCTGACAGTATATGTATAGTGGCAAAAGTCAGGGAAAACTTGTGGTGGAGGTGAATGGGCCCCTTCCGTCTCCAGGACTGTGATTGGCCACACATCGAGATTAAAGAGCTGTGATTGGTCAGTCTCAAAACATCATATGAAAATGATTGGTCAGCCAATAGATATAGTTAATTGGCTTGAAAACATTGAGAATATTCATACGATAGGTAGTGGTATATATGCAGAGTAGAAACAAGGTACTTTTAAGCTATAATAAAAAAGTTAATTTAGCAAAGTTTCACTCCATGACAATTCAGTTTAGAAAAAAACTAAGGACGTTACGTAATTTTAGCAGTTTTAGTTACTCTTCTTTAGTTTTTTAGTTAACTCGAATCTAGCCACGGTGTAAAGATTTCACTTATTGGGCCCCCACTTTCTAAATCAAGTTCAAGTCGTTGTTAATACGTGCTTTTTTGTCTTCAAAATTTCGATTTTGTTTTCCAACGAAATTTAAAGGAATATTATGTCCTGTAACAAATAAATGTGCTTGTTTGTTTTTGCAGGCCTTTGCAGTTTTAAAAAGTGGCTTTTAATTAAATGGCGCGCTCCAGTTGCGCACACTATATTCAGAACGAATTAGGAGCGTCCCGCTCTTAATTCAATAGTTGAAATTAATTAATTGATTACTTGTCGTGGGCCGATTATTCCGTGCGATGTCTCATTTGAAAGCTCATAACCAATGTAATGCTTGTCGAAAATTATCCATTCCATTTGAAAATCATAGGTGCCACAATCTAAAAGCACGTATGCACCAACTTTAAGGTGTGCCAAATTGTAAATTCATTTGTAATAATGTGAATAAATTTCTAAATTTATTCACATTATTCATAACTAGGAAAACTCCAATGATTGGTCGAAAGAAAATCGAAAAGCGATTCAACATCCCAAACGTCAACAATCTTTTTCAGTTTCCCGCTCTTTCGAGTTTTTTTCTATTTCTACCCAATATCTCTCAGCTATGGCCAGAAGCTAGTTCCAGCTGACTTAACAGCAACACTTTTCTGTTAAAGGGAATATACATCATTCGCTTTTGCTGTAATTTTCAGAAATGGATGGAATTGGGGGGTTGAAAATATATAGCAAATATAGTTACACTGACTTTTTTGAGGTTTTGGGTTCAAAAATGCTATGAAAACCAAGAAAAACAATCGTTTTCCTGTAGTCTGGTTCCCTGACTCCATATAAGAAGAAACAGAACAGTTTACATACATTGGGGAATTGTAAGGTCAGGGAACCAGTCTAGCTGGCTTGTACCCGTTCATAGGTGTGTAATCGATTAGAAACAAGTGCGATGGTCAATTGGGGCCAGTATTTGAAAAAAGTCAGTTTTTTCCAACGCTGGTCAGCCGACCAGCGTTGGAAATTGATACAAAAATACCAATTGAAAATGACAGTATACCAGGTGCCATGATTTTACAGGATGCTTTACACTGTCATTCACTCAGTCCAGCAAGGTATTTCAAAATGATTTGGTAGTTTTATTTTTTGATATTTGCAAATGTTGTATTTTCCCTTTAATCACGTTTCTGTTGGAGTTGCTGGCATGATTCAGACCGTCCACGAAAGGCGAAAGGTGCCACATTATAATCGATTATAATTTTTGTATGAAGAACATTTATGTTTCTGCTACAGTCAACACAAAACATATACAAATTTAAATTAAAAGGAGTGAAAATGTAGTTTTCTTGCTATTTTCGAGTAAAATTAAACCATACTGTTGTGAAGCATTTCTGCAATTTCGTGAATCCAACTTATAGCCCATCCATGAGCCTATCTGATAGTTGTTGTGGATTAACCTCTATTATTGTCTTTATTATACGGGCCACGTTGCCATGCCCGGTGCGGATTCATACCTATGTTCCCCAATACCTATGTTCCCCAATACCGATGTTCCCCAATAGCGATGTTCCCCGAAATCCTTACCCTAACCCTAACCCTAACCCTAACCCTAACCCTAACCCAAACCCTAGCCCTAACCCAACCCTAACCCTAATCCTAAGGATTTCGGGGAACATAGGTACTGGGGAACATCGGGTAGACCCCCTCGGTGCAGTTGGTCTGGGGGAACCGTCGACGGCGCCCATCCTGTTACTTAGTCATCTTTGTATTAAATTATTCAAAATGTGAGTTTAATTTTATCAATAAATTATTTGGACCCGGATTCTGCTGCACGAGTTTCTTTCTTGATTTGTCCATTCTCTGATGATCCCAGTAAAAACACAATGAATGGTGCCAGATCCGGTTTTCGGCATCATTGCAACCCTGGAACGTGGCGTTGACGGCGGGCAACACCCAAGGACTGGTTGCCCTTGCCTTTAAGTCTACGGCGCACCCCCCCCCCCCCCCCCAACGTCGACGTCGGAAAAAAGGCAGCCACTACGTACACCACCATCTTTACGATTTTAGAATCTTTTGGTCACGGGAAAAAAATAAGTGGTGCACAAGTGCATTGGCATGAATAACGTGTCCGATGGCTCAGCTGGATAATGCCATGGTCTTCAGATCGGCGGGTGCGAGTTCGAAACCACATTTTTCCATCCCCCCCTCCCCCCCCCCCCCCCCCCCCTAATTTGCGGCTTTGGAAGATTTTATTTTTGAAGTCTGAATTTCATTATGTTCGAACTCATTTTTTTTTTTATATATATATATTTTTTCCCTCATGTTTTTAGGGAAGTGAAGTCCAAAACCTCATAGCGTACACCCCATGTGTTTAACGGGTTTTTTTTTGAAGGGGGAGATCGCGCCCAGGACCCCACACCGTTAGTGCTACTCACTAGGCGCTCGCGCATTACTTTAATCATTATGTCCCCCCCCCCCTCCGGCCCCAGGCCTTCGGCGTAGGCGCCACAACTTGCCTTCACATTTGCTGCTTGTTATTTTGTTACGTATTATTGCCGCCTTGTTACACATGATGCGCGGATTATTTTTGGCTTGAAAGGGCCAAGATTTATGGCAACATCTCCGGCAAGTACAGTAACCATCATTGTAGTCAGAATTCTTCCTCCGTGTACATGTAGCTGTATACTTGAAAATTGGAACAAACTCATCCGATCTTCAAAGGAGTTGCTTTCTAGTAATAATTAAGGTATCCTATACTCCGCAAACGTCAGGGCCGCGATTTCCAAGTGTGGGTTGTTGAAAGATGAATTCTATTCAGGATATTATTGCAATGTGCTACGATAAACTGTACATAGCTCAAACTGTGCCATGCCCAAGTACACTCTAAAAAAACAAATTAGTCAGATTTTAGTCAAACATTAGTCAGTTTGACTAGCCATTCAGGGTCAGCTAGGCCCAGCTAACACATCACGTTGCCACAACGTTGTGCAAAGTTGTGAAAATGTTGTCATTTGGTAACGTGTCACAATGACATTCAAGCAACGTTGACACAACGTTTGACTGTATAGTTGTTGGTTGTAAAAATATTGTATATCGGTAATTTGTACAACGTTGTACGAAAGTCATCATATGACATTGTATTGACGTTGTATGGTGGTCGTTTCACAATCGTTGTAATAAAGTAATAAATATGACGTTGTGGTTACGTTGAATGTAGGTGTTTTCATGACGTTGTTTTTAAGTTGTCAATGTTACGTTGTCAGAACGTTGTAATTTAGAATGTTTACAACGTTGCTGTGAGGTTATAATCATGACGTTGAGTTAACGTTCCATCTACGTTATTTTATAACGTTTTTTTCAGTTGTGAAGATCACATTGACACGACGTTGTAGTTTGGTATTTCAAAACGTTGCTGTGATGTAATAATCATGACGTTGTTGTAACATTGTATGTGGGTACTTTCACAACGTGTTGGTATGTTGTCAATCTCACGTTGTCATGACGTTGTAGATAAATATTTACACCACGTTGCTGTGTTCATGACGTTATGATGACGTTGCATAAAAGTCTCATCACAATGTCGTTGTTAAGTTGTAAATATCATGTTGTCGTGACATTGCAGTTTGGTATTTTCACAGCGTTGCTGCTATGTTGTGAACCTCACGTTGCTGTAACGTTTTAAAAAGGTGTTTTGACACTGAATTTAAGTTGTAATTATGCTGTGGGTTATGATCCATGCTGTTGTGGTATTGACAAAAACATTGTGATTACGATTTACTGAATGTGAAGTGAACATAATGTTTTAATTAATGATGTTTTATTTGATACTAATTTACATTTGGGTGCCGCCTTGCATTAATAATGTAACTCATGAAATTTCGAACATCATCATGTTTGTTTTGTCGTAGTAGGAATATAATGTTTCCATATATTTTTCTAATGGTCTAAGATGGATGAGATCGTGGTCAAAGCGCGACTGTTTCCCGCTCATTTTCATTGTTGTATACTCAATGTATATATTTATTGCACACACCAACGTAACTTGAAATATGATTCCTGTTCTCAAAGAAAACATTACCATGGCGCATGCGCGTCAGCAGAAATTCCACGTCCAGACCGCGTGATAGCTTATTTGAATCGCTCTGCTCAGTCGAGTCAGCGATCTAGCAGCAGCAGCTCACTATAACGGTCGCCGACTCGCCGTCCAGTTGATGTGAATTAGCCATGGTCACCAAGCAAGTTATTTTCACTACAGCATTTCTTAGAAGGTAGGAATGACATTTTCTGTATCTTGGCTTCATTCTTGTGTCGAACACATTGTCTAAAAATCTGAAGAAATTGGATCAAATTAAAGTAAAACAACTTTTCGAACAAAGTCGCTGTAAAAAAATGAAGATTTTCCTATGCCTATCATCTTGGTTTTTTTTTTATAAATGTTGAAAATGTTCTTCAGACTCGATCAGAATAAATGTAGATTAATTAAGAGTGAAAATATGTGCCGCAATTGAGATTGGAGGCTCGTCAATGCGAACAGTTTTGGAGGATCATACACTGAAAGAAACGTTCAAGTCATCTGGTTTTAAATTTAATAATAAAATCTTGGTAATATTCCAAGGAAATAATATACATGTGGATCAGATTTACTCGAATTCATGTGAGACATGTTAGACCTTTTTAACAACATTTTAGGTTGGAAAGTTATTTGTTCGATAGTTATAATTTTAGATAAAACAGATATTGTTTTAGCATATGGCAAAATGTTGGAAGTGTATACATTATATCGAGAAGACTTTTGATTTGTGTACTATAGTATAGGCTTATGTTTGTATTTTTTTTCAAATTGATGAATTAATCAAACTGTAACAATATTGTATTGAGATACCCATGATACCCGAGCCAACAACCGTGAAATTGTTACCTGGGGTATCTCTTAATTTATAGATCTGATTTGATTTTCTCTCAACTAAAACTAGCGCAAATTTAAGCATAAACAGTCCGTTATAAAATTCCCGCTCAAAGACACAGTGTACGGTTGTAATACTAATAGCAACGCGCATTAGCATTTCAGTCCCAAGGGTCAGGCCTAAAGTTCACGTACCAGGACTGTACACGTAAAAACGGTCATCTGGCTTTCGTTGGCTTGTACATAACAAGTGTATACAGTTTCAATCCGGGCTTTCGGGCTGTATAGCTCCCAGGGTTTGGCGTGAGTTTGACCAAAGTGTATGGAGTAGGGTTCAGGGCCAGGTCAGCACTGTTACAAGATCAATGAAAAGTACGCGAACTATAAAAGCCTTTTCTAAAACTAGGGTCATTTGTAGACTAGTTTTTGTGTGTGAAAAATAAGACATTATGTGGGTTGAAGAGCACGGAGACATCATATTTATACTGTGTTCAAACTTTATTAGTTTTACATATTACTCAACCTTAACAAACATCGTTACTTTCTCCAGGTAGGCAGTACACAGGTTTGCTGTACGTGAGTGCACTGGCTGCTGGATGTGGCATGTTTTAACTTTTAACTTCAGCAGTCTTCGAGGGAAGAAGTTTCTAATTATTTTGAAGACCAACCCATACATCTCTTCAAGTTCAAGGTTGTTGCTGTAAGTAATTCAACATACATGACCTTTTTATACATGTATCTCTGTAAGGTGGTGAAATTAACTTTTAAGGTGTTGAAAATACACCTTGGTCGAAATAGACGAATTGCTGTTTCCTTTTAAAATGTCAGTTTCTCGTGTACATTTTGATATAGCATTAAATTCATGGTTTCTATCATTTATTAGGGGCCTGCATGACAACTCGTCGAGTAGCAGAGGCCAAGGTGAGGGGAGGACATAGCTTCATTCTGGAAGTTTGCCCCACTAACAAGCCCGGAGGGACAAGATTCAGGGTAATTATTTATTACACCAAATTACTGTGAACAGTATTTAAGTTGCCTGTAAAATTAACAAGTAGGCCTGGGCCTACAGAGTAAGAAAACAACTCTTTTATATAAGGCAAAGTTATCTTAATGTCGACTTCACACTAATGGCTGAAGACAGCAGTGTAATATCTATCCAAGATATACAAACTTGTACACTGGAAGTTGTTTGCAGATAGTGTACTCTTTACCAGAATTGCCTTTGAAGCATTAATCGCAGTACGCTTGCGGAACACAAAAATGAAATGTCAGTACATTTTGTTTACCTTCTCATGCACAATAATGATCCAAAAAAGAAGTGACAGATAATCCAAATATAAGTCGGTTGGTCATCATCGGCTGTCCACCATCTGGAAAAATCTTTACATTTATTTGTTTCTATTTTGTGTGTGTGTGCAGAATCCTGCCAACCCTGCCAACGCTGTTCAGCCCGCCGACCCTGTCGACCCTGCAAACCCTGCAGATGATGAATAACGACACTGCATCTTTTGCGTGAAAATAAGTGCATCGTTCATGCTCTTCAAAATTTGTTTTCTTGTAGGCCTATAAGGGCTTCCCTATTTAACTCCGTGGTTCTCATAATTATATTTATTTGCCCTTATATGAAGCCTAGTCGGTCAGTCAAAAAGCAATAACAATCTGAACTAAAGTTGCTCTCGTAAAGATGGTAAACTAAATGATGCAATAAGTTTATCATGATTTGATGTCACTGAATACAATTTAAAAAAAACCCCAACATTTTGGCCAATTAAAGACGACTTACAGTAATGTCTGGACGAAGCATGTCATTAACAATTTAGTTGTAGTGGCAGCAATATTATAATGAGAGGCAAAATTCTCTCATCTGTCTTTCTTCCTCTGATTTCCGTAAGCCGTAATTTTCAAGTCGAGAAAAAAATATGATATTCAATTAAAATAACATTTCAGAATAACACAGAGCTAGTTGCTTGAATTCAATATTCTTTGTTTTTTAATTTGGAAAAAAATCGTCTGTGAATGGGGTTTTGGAAATTGTCGGCGGAAAAACATATCCCAAAATAGGGTCGATTAAAAATGAGAACCAAAGAAATATAAGGTGAAGCCCCAATGACTAATTAATGGTAATGAAGAAAGTATTATTAGTTCTTTTTTTTTTTGGGAGGGAGCATTGTATAATGGGGAAAAATAGGAGGTTTTATCATTTTAGGCCGCGCAGATCCACTATGCAAGTAGACTGGTTCATGATGTCCCTTTTCATTGTATAATCGATTCTAAACGGATATGGAATTGACTCGAATGAGAACGCAAACAGTTAAATTATATAAACTTACTTGGCAATAGTAAAATCGTCCTGATATTTTTGTTGACAAAGTTCGTTCAAATTGTGTAATTTTTGAATTACTAAGATAGCAATGTTTAAAAACCAATTGGGTTTTCGGGATGAAACTCAAAAATAATAGAAAACATAAAATATGTTGTCAGAAAACTCAGTCCCACGTTGCCTGAAGAATAATATTTTACGTTAAAGTTACTTATAACTGAATCGAGAGACTTTAATGTGTTATTTTTAAATAGGCGAACTGAAAGCGACATTGTACTGTTATATCAGATTTATACTAGCTTTGTAATAATAATGATTGACGAAGGTTTGCTTCCATGCATTCACCGGATACATTCTTTGTAATAAATGTAGAAACAGTAAGTCTGATGGTTAATTTGTTTTTTTTTTATTGTATGCAGACAGGTATATCGTCGTTGCACGATTAGTTTCGTTAATTAACCGTGCCAGGAACAATGTTGCTACAAGGTCCCCACAAAGTTGCAGTTATGTATCTAATAAGTTGCATGAACGTTTTTGAAAAGTTGTGAGGTGCCCACAAAGTTACCGGAACGTGTTGACTTAGTTGCAGTAACGTCTGTAATGAGTCATTGACGTGCTAACAATTAAGGTTGTAGAAACGTCCCCACATCGTGGCCATGAAGTTGCAATAATGTGTCCTACAAGCTGCATTAACGTGGCCAAAAAGTTGTCCTGACGTGCCCATAAGGTTGTAGGAACGTCCCCATAAAGGTTGCAGAAACGTGCCTATCAGGTTGTAGTTATGTCCAACAAGTTGCATTAACGTGGCAAAAGAGTTGTCGTGACGTGCCTATAAGGTTGCAGGAACGTCCCAATAAAAGTTGCAGTAACGTGCCAATGGTGTAATCATGTCCCCACAAGGTTGTATAAATGTTTATTTAAAGTGGCCATTAAGTTGCAGTAACGTTCCGTCATGGTGGTAATCATGTCGTAATCATGTTGCATTTACGTGCCAAGACGTTGTATAAAGGTGACAATCACGTTGCTGGAGGGTTGCAGGATCGTGTACTGAAAACGTTGTAATAAATGTTTCATTGACGTTTTTATAACGTCTTTTAAACGTTGTGTAATAGCGTTGTGGCAACGTGCACGCGAGTCAACATTTTTACGTTGCCGCAACGTAATTTTCTGAACGTTGCCGCCACGAAAACGTGACCTTTTTGCAACGTTGTTACAACGTGAATGTGTTAGCTGGGTAGGTGCAACTGAAACTATCAGTCAATCTGACTAGATTTTCCAGTCAGTATTATTGACTTTGGAAATATAGTTATGCAAATAAGTGAATTGGAGTCGAACCCAACTACTTTTTCTAGTCATAGTATGAAACTTGGCATGTTTCCTAGTCAATTTTCAATAACTAGGGAAACGCTTCCATATTTTGACTAAGTTGTTTTTAGAGTGTAGCAATCCCAGCATTAAAAATACGCGCAACGACGTTAGTTCATAAATCAATAATAACTTAGGGTCCACGATGAAATAATAAGTTGATACAATTGTACGAAGTTCACCGAAGCACGATCCAAATTTGATTGCACAAAAATGGCCGCAACTATGGAGCTGCATGCAATTATCAAACCCCGGGAAACACTAAAGTCTCAATTTTGACGAAAATCCAATAAAATATGCATAATGCACAATTCCGCTCGTGCCACGGTAGCGAAGGATAAGAAACGTCCAAAAAGTCCAAACAATATCCAAATCGGCGTTCAAAAGAAAGAAAAAAAAAACAGGAATTCTTCTGCACTATTAGTTCACGGAGCTCAAAATCACGCGTACGTCCGACTCCGACGAATGTCGATCACTTCCACACCCAGCTAGTGTGGAAATCCAGGCGATTGTAAGGAGAGTTCCGAAAAAGAGCTCTCTAGCGCCCCAGTTTCTTAGATCATTGTGGTCAGCAAACTTATTCACAAATTAAGTGAAAAAGTTCTTTTTTTTTGCTGAAAGACTGTCCAGAAGTCTAATCGTTCATTATGAACACCGCCCTCACGCGATATTAAATCTACCTTTCTTCGGATACTTTTCCTGCCACACATTGCACCATCGTTGGTAATCTGACCAGTATCGCATCATTGTTGACAATTTAACTGGCACGCGAATACCAGTTAGCATAACATTCAAGATGGCAGCGCCCAGAAGGGTCGACTTTGGCGGAATGGGGGACGAAATGGATGAAAGAAAAATGATGGAAGAAGAAATGAGCAGGTACAATATCACCAAAGTGATCTGTGTTAAAAAGACTAATGGTATCGTGTAGTGTATAAGTAGGACACCAGTAATCGGAATTGCGGAAAGATTGTTGTAGGCCTATCTAGCCCAGGTGGACTCCCTTTCCTCCCTACGAAACGGAGGGAGTCCAGGGTATAAAGTGCTCAAAACCGGGCGAAAATATTTATGACCAGTATTTTCAATATTTTTACCTTGTTGGAGAAGCTAATTTTTATGTGGTAGTATTCTATGTAGTCTTATCTATTGGGCCGCTGGGTTCAGAAATTCCATATGCGATGCTGACCGACCTTAATCTGGAAAATAAACTCGAAAGCAACGTTAAACTTGTACGTGTTTGTAGACTCTTTTCATCAGTTTCTCACCGCCGAGTCTATTCTAGTCGTACATGATGTACATGTAGTACGTCTGTGCAGCGTGTAGTCTGGTTCCCTAGACCGGACAATTATTCTCGATGCTCATATCACGTCTGGTCCGGGGGCCAGACTATGCAGCATGAATTTGAATATGTAGTGCGTACGCGCGATTTGCTTAGTCTGTTAGTAACCACCCTCGTACGCACGCGCACTTACTTGAAGGCGCGGTCGCTAATCCAATGACCGAGCGTGTTTTCGTGCCAGTTACCAGAAACACGTTTTGGGTTTGGTCATTGGTTGAGCGTTTTCGTGACATCGGTTGGCTGGAGTGGCGTCACGGTTCCCACCAAAGCTAAACAAATGAGGGCGCTAGCGTGCGTGCGCGCTTTCGTACGCACGTACATTGTACATGACGTACGACTCTGGGAATAAACTGATGAAAAGAGACTACAAACACGTACAAGTTTAACGTTGCTTTAGAGTTTATTTTCCTGATTAATGTCGGTCAGCATCACATATGGAATTCCTGAACCCAGCGGCCCAATAGGTAAGGACACATAGAAAATGTAGGCGTGAAATAAGCTTCTGTAATGAGGTAAAACGTAACTAAAATCTGGTCCAAATTGTGAGTGGTCTTATGTAGAGAATTCTCGTCCTGGACGTTAGTCGTAATGCAATGAAGACTTCGTCCAACCTGGGCTATGGGCCTTTCCTGACGCTACGCGCTTGGATTACTTCTTCCAATCTAGCTGGAGTTACCCAGCCCTAAATTTTATCATTGGGTTGTCATGATGGAGAAAAAAAACCCCTTTCCGTACTGCGAGGCCCGCAATTGGATTTGTGCACAGGGCGTTTACCAGTTCGTTCTTGCCGGCTGCGCTGGCTGATGGCGCATGACGTCACGCGGAAGCGGATTACCCGACGACTGTTTCATGCACGATAACCGGCAAACTTTGGTTGCCATCCACTATCGCAGCTATGATGCGAGTGGTAAACCTCAACAGTCGTCGGGTATTCCGCTTCTGCATTAGTGACGTCATGCGCCATCAGCCAGCGCAGCCGGCAAGAACGAACTGGTAAACGCCCTGTGCACAAATCCAATTGCGGGCCTCGCAGTACGGAAAGGGGTTTTTTTTCTCCATCATTTTTTGCACCATCGGGACCGATTCAGCCCATGTTTTGTTTAGAACCACCAACGTATGTCAAGAAGTACCAGACAGAGTTAAGGGGCAAAATGTACAGCATTTTTTTCAGCAACGCAATTGGAATTGAATGTGTTTTTCTCCGCATTATATTGATGGAGAAGTAGTGTATAGTTCGTGTTGATATCTTTCTACGTTATCGTCGTGTCCCTAGTCTTTGCATACATGTTTGTATGTACGTCCAGAACACCAGACCATGCAGCAGCGGATCTTTTTTTTTTGGATTTCATTTTTTTCAATTTTTAGCTGTCACCCTTTCTACATAGACACAATTTTGTTGAAAACACATAAAAAGACAAGATATTGACAATATAATTTACGAAGTATGTATGTAACCAGCTCCACAAAAAAGGGTATTAAGTCGCGCTGAGCATTATTGTAAAATGGTCCGCTCAACATTGTCAAAATGTGATTTTCATTTTTTTGTCATGAATGGCGTCTTTTATACCTACAGTTTCAGATTTCATTCACGTAAATGTTGTTTTGATGAACAAAGTGGAAAAAATAACCATTTTGTGTGCATCGTTCTGTTGTTCTACAACTAAGCCAGCTATTTCAAAGCCTATTTTCTCAGTTGTGTAATTTGAACTCCAAGGAAGTAATTGATATGCAAATATCTCCAAAAAGAGAAGAGCTATTGAACTCTATTACATATCAAATGAAAGCTTACATTGTGGGCTTTCCAACCATGTATATAACTCGGTTTCACTATTTTGCGACATAATACCCTTTTTTGTGGAGCCAGTCACATATTGCAAATGTATGAATGAAAACAAGGCAGGCTGGAAAAGGGACGCGGGAGGGGAAGACAAACTGGTTTATTTTTTTTCTTGGCCTTTACGGGGCACATTCACCAATGCAGCACAGTGACTCGGCTTGTGTTAAGTAAAATGGAATTGTTTTCCTTCACTTTTCAGGTTTGAACAGGAGATCCAGACAGGCCAAGACGATGACGACGATGATGGGCAGGGTTCTTACTCCCCAGGCCCTCCCCTGGTTCCTCCGGGAATCCCCCAGGCCCTGTCAGTCCTGGGAACGCCCAACCCGAACCTCATGAACCTCCGCTTCCCTGCTCCCCCGCCGTCCATCACGGCCCCGCCTGGCCCCCCGGGGCCGTTGACAACTACATCCAACCGTGTCCCAGAGACGCCAAGTTTCCATCAGCAGGTCCCGAGCGGAGCGCTGGTGAGGCTAGCCGGGCTAGCCCCGCCCCCACCCCCAGGAACCATACCTCCCCCCACGACGACCCCACTGGAGCCACCGAGCTCCTTCCAACAGCCCATGAGCTCTGAGGGTCATAGGTTACCAGCCCCTGGTCAGATGACGTCGCAGCCATTTCCACCAGGTGTTCAACAAGTTTCCAGTGAGTAAAATTGCAATCAGAGCTGCTGAGCGCTTGAATGCAGTGGCAATAAATTCAAGTTAAGGGCCAAGTCACGCAAGGCAATTGTAAAAGGCAGCTCGGAAAGATTTCCATATAAGAAGTTCACTCAACACCCTGTGTACAAACCCTATAAGATTGGACTGAAAAATTCTAAGTGTTTTCTAAGAAAATGCTTGTATTTTCTCACTGCTCAAGTTGACTTTGATGACATGAAATTGCTATGTGGGGGCTTGTTAGTCAATACAGAGGAACATTAGTGAACTTCTTATATGGAAATCTTTCCGGCAGCTCAAAGGCAACTAAATAATATGCATACTAAGAAACCTTTCGGACAAAATCGTCACATCAGTGCAACAAGGTCGTTTATCCATTCTGCAACAAAGTCGTATCTCGCGCGAATACGCTCCTTGCAACAAGCTGGTATTTCGACGTCCATTGACTTTGTGTGTACATACGGGTTATTTTAAGTGAGATACAACCTTTTGACTTTCTGAAACTCGCATTTCACGTACGGCCTATTTTAGCAGATACGACCTTGTTACTCGGACACGACGAAATATATTAGGCCTAACAAAAAATTGTGTGTTCACTGTATTATCTTGACCTACGTGGATTGTTGAGGCCAAATTTGCTGACCTCAAGCTTTTTGACATATTTGGCCAACATTTTTCAATCAAGTATACTTTGAACATAAGGATTTCTTCCCTTTGCAAAGTTTGTGTGTGTATAATGGTTGACAAAACAAAACACTGTTCAACATTTGTTCAAGTACTTAAAATATAAACAACTCTTTAGGATTAAAGATTGACAGCCAAACTAAAAAAAAATACAGTTGGCAAAAATGAAAAGAAGATAGTACCTAGGCAGTTTTTAGGGCGTTACCATAAACACTCCTTTTTTTTCAGCCTTAATTTTCAACATGTATGGAGTTTTTCAAAGGATCATCCACAGGAAATATCCTGTTTGAAATTACTATTTTTCCCTGATACTTAATATGTTACATTTTCTGGTGATTTTCTTTGATGCAGTTGAGGCACCGCCTATGGCACCCAGGCCTGCGTTTGTACCCCATCAGGTGAGAGCGCGCCCCCCTGTTCCCATACATCGCCCCCCTGCTGACCCCATGCATCGCCCCCCTGCCGACCCCATGCAGCACCGGGCACCAGCGTTTTTGAACTCCGTGCCGAGACACCGGGGACCCATGAATTTCCCCCCAGGACCTCATCCACCAGGAGGGCCCCGTGGCCCCCTGTTGGCCCCATGATGCCCCCACGCTTTCCCATGATGCACCCACGGCCCATGGGAATGATGCAGCATTCACCTGTGGTCATACAAGCCAAGCCCACCACCTACTCGGCCAAACCGGTCAAGTTTAGCGAGACCAAAAAGGAAGAAATGACAAAGGAGGCATCTGGAGACACTAAAGCGGAGACTGTGACGACTACGCAACCAGGCTTCAATGGTATGTTGTTTTAGACTGTTTCTGAAGCTCTAACCCTAACCCTTTAGGCTGTTTTGCTAGGAACCATCCTCAATCCTCCAAAATCCTCCACAATTTTACAACAGCGCTTAAATTCTTCAAAATTTTCAGACAGTCCTGCCTCAAAATGCATTCATCCTCAATCCTCCAAAATCCTCCTCATCCCAAAATGTTGCACTTATGTTCAAATGAAGGGTACCCAGCCCCTCAATCCTTCAAAATCGTCAGACAGTCCTGCCTCAAAATGCATCCAGCCTCAATCCTCCAAAATCCTTTTCTGAAAAAATACTATTCAGCCTCAATCCTCCAAAATCCTAATCTAAAAAAATACCATTCAGCCTCAATCCTCCAAAATCCTAATCTGAAAAAATACCATTCAGCCTCAATCCTCCAAAATCCTTTTCTGAAAAAATACCATCCAGCCTCAATCCTCCAAAATCCTTTTCTGAAAAAATACTGTTCAGCCTCAATCCTCCAAAATCCTTTTCTGAAAAAATACCATTCAGCCTCAATCCTCCAAAATCCTTATCTAAAAAAAATACCATTCAGCCTAAATCCTCCAAAATCCTCCAAAACCACAAGGAGGATTTTGGAGGATTGAGGAGGGTTAGGGCTGAACACTACCTTCTCAAAGTCTTCAGAATCCTGTACTGAGCAAAAAAACTTAGGGTGCATTCTTTGTATTTGAACTTTCAAAGGGCATCTAGCCCAGTGTAGAGGTAGTGGCTGGTCTCCAACTTGTTCAAACTCTTCAGAATCCTTCAAAATCTCACAGAAGCGAGTTCATTTAACATGAAATTTTCAATGAAAATGATTGCCTCATGGGTTGTTTTCAAATCCCAACTTTCGGCAAGACACTAAGAATTACCAGTTGTAAAATTTAGTAAGAGGACTTTACAAATTGTAAATTTTGTTATGTATTTTTGGAATAAATCGGCGATTTCATCCAGAATGACCTTTGACATGTACTACTTCATCGAGATGCCGAACTGGGGGGGGGGGGGGGCTTGAGCCCCCCTAGAGGTTGTCAATTTTTTTTGTTTTTTTTTGTTTTTTTGTATTTTTTTTTATAGTCCCATGATTTGGCCTTGGTGATATGAATGTGGCCTTTTTTCGAGTAGTATAATAGGGGTGTAAGTGGCGCCACCAATGTCAAAGTAGGCCGCCCCTAAAAAAAAAAAAAAAATTTCTGCCGCCAAAAATGTTGGGCAACATTTTGTTTTTTTTAATTAAACTTATAACAAATTTGTAAAAAAAAAATTTGGAGCCCCCACCAAAAAACAAATCCTGGGTGCACCACTGCGAACTGGCATATTGTCAAGAGCCACAGAACTTTTGATACTTCAATCTTTAATTAGGATAATGTTGCTTTCTTTCCAGTGCAAACTCCTGCGTACACCCAGCCAGCTGCTTTCTCTCAACCCACTGCACACAACCAGGCCCCTGGCATGTATGGTGCAGCAGCAGCAGCAGCAGCAGCAGCAGCACAGCCTGCAGCAGTAGACTACAACACCATGGCACAACATCAGCAACAGCAGTTTTCCGACGGTGCCCCGGGGACCTCCAATCCCGAGCAAAAGAAGAAGGAAAAGAAGAAGAAATTTGTTCGGACGGCAGCGAGCACCGTTTGGGAGGATGACAGCCTTGCAGAATGGGACCCAAGTAAGGCTGCTGTAGATTTCAATGTTGGGTTTCCCGCCTTATTATTATTATGAAGTAATTGCAGAATACCCCGCCACTCGGAAATATATCCCTAAAATCTCTGGCTACACGGTTGGAATCACTGGAAAAGAAACAATTCAAGTCCATTGCCAGCTACGCGGATACTGAGTGGGGGTCCCCTTGAGAACGAAGCAACACAAAATGAATGGGAGTTGCTGAAAAATTCTTAGTCCAAACCAACTACCCTGTTGGCGGCTACGCGGATACGAAGTGGGAGTCCCCTTGATAATGCTTGAGAACGAAGCAACACAAAAGGAATGGGAGTTGCTGAACAAATTCTTAGTCCAAACCAACTACCCTGTTGCTGGCTACGCGGATACGGAGTGGGAGTGCAGTGGAGCATGACGTCATGGTCATGTGTAGGCCTAGTAGTAGTAGTACAGGTACGGGTAGCGCTGAGGTTTATTGAGGGCAATCAACCGTGACTCCGTAGCCGGCTATGAGGTGCATAGATTGAGTGGCGGGGTATTCTGCAATTGTGCCATTATTATTATAAATTATTTCTGGTAATGATACCAAGGATTTCTCAAAAGACAATGAGAACAAATTACAGTTTTAGAGGTGGAAGGAAAACCCATAGAAGAAATATTCTGGGGAAAACCCAGGGAATCGGGTAAGAATTGAAAACCCGATCCTTATATTGGCCCAGGCGGAATTCGGACCCGGGTCACAGCGGTGGAAGGCGAGGAAAGTACTGCTACGCCAACCTGACTCCTCTTCACCAGCTAATGATTGTTAGTGAATCACTTTTAGTTGTCGCTGCCAACTGCTTGCTTCGCAGTACATGTAGTGCGCCCTCACATGACATGATTTCAACCGCTTGCACAGCTTCTTGGGAATCCTGCAAAGTTTAGTTTCAAGTTTTTCTTCCCTCAGTACCTGCGTTTGAAATAACAGTCTTGAATCCGGCGATATACAGGGTGAGTAAAAAAAACCAAAAAAACAAATGTCGAGACCATTGTTTTAGTGAAGTTTTAAAATGTAGTACTTTCAAAATCTGGGATATGAAAGCCCAATTCATAAGCTTTCTTTTAGTACAAGAATCATTCGAATCACTCATGTACTTTTCAAGTTACGGACTTTTAAACACAACCACTGTTTTAAAGTTCTGTCCACGGATCACAAAACGGTAAGTGATCTTTCAGCAAAACGAAAACAATTGTTTTCGTTTTGCCGAAAGAATTCACACCTTTTGTGTGATCCGTGGACAGAACTTTAAAGTGGTGGTTGTGCTTAAAATTCCACTAAAACAAAAGTCCTGACATTTGGGTTTCATTTTTTTTTACTCGCCCTGTACTGAAAAACATGGTGATGGATTTTAACGCTAACACCTTAGGGTATTTTGGTTAGAAATCCCACTGAACTGCAGCAACATGAAACACTCAGAAGTGTTTGAATGACAAACCTGCTCAGTGTAAGTGTTAGGGCTGTCCAATTATCGACTAATTTAGTATTTGATTACTCGAAAGTGCGTTTGACCGAATATTCGGATATCCGAAACTGCGTGCTGTGCCAGTGCTGCGGCGATGGACATGGGGCACTGGAGTGTTTTGCAGTAAGTATTTCATAACTGTAAAAGGGCTTCAACCTGCTAAAAGGATGAGAACAATGAAACGCCATTGACAAAAAAGTTATCGTCGACCAAAAAGTTGCACCTGACAATAAAGCACCACAGCTTTAAGATAAAATAACATCACCGTCTTGTGTGTATGTGCATAGTTTTTGGGGTCAGTTTGAATATTCAAACTGGCAAAAAGCTATTCAAATATTGGGTTGATGATCAAATGTTCGGGTATTCGTTATATTCAGGACAGACCTAGTAAGTGTAGCAAGACCCATCAGGTCAAAAATCTCAAGGTCACAATGCCTGAGAGTCTGTGGTCATCAACTGCAGCAGGATTTAGTATTGTTCAGTGGGACTAGCTCTCATTGTCTCAAAATGGGCCTTCTATAGACTGGTGTTGACGGCTCAGTGCAGCAAGGTCTCATCACTGACTTTTACACCTGATGCACTGCGTTGCGTGGGGAGTGTGTGGCCTAGTGGTTAGGGTTCGTGACTCATGATCAGAGGGTCCGGGGTTCGAATCCAGCCGCTGGCCATATATTGTGTCCTTGGGCAAGGCACTTCACCCCCACTTGCCTCTCTCCACCCAGGAGTATTCTCTGACATTAGCTGGGGAGTAATCCTGGGATGGACTGGCATCCCATTCAGGGGGAGTAGAAATATTCTCAGTCGTTTCATGCCAAGGAAACCGGAGATAAACACCGGCCTGATGAGCCACATTGGCTCGGGACAGACTTTACTTTTTTACTGCGTTGCGTCTGGCATGGTCAGAGTTAATAGCCAAATTGGCATTGGTTGGGGTCGATACAGAATAGTTACCGAGTGCTTTTTATCCCCCACTCCAGATGACTTCCGGATATTCTGTGGCGACTTGGGAAACGAAGTCACGGACGATCTGCTGACCAAAGTCTTTGGCAGATACCCATCATTCACCAAAGCCAAGGTAACCTATCCATCACACACACATGCGCTTATATATATATCATGCTCAGTATCTTCCTCCTTACTGCATCCTGTAATGTATGCTTTGGACATGCTGGATTCTTCTCCCATTAACAAAAGATGTACTGTGTTCCTGTGAAGTCTCGCAGGGTTTTGAGGTCAACTTTCACACACTATTCCAAATCTATAGTTTTAGTTTAACCCTAACCCTGCTGAATCCAACAGGATCCAACTATGTCATATACCCGATGGAGCCTGTTGGATTGAGCAGTAAACCCCTTGTGTACATCCCTGATGCAAAATGTTGGATTTAGCAGGGTAGTCGTGAGAAACTACTAGGGGGTTAGGGTTAAGCATTCTCCTGAACATGGTCAGCTCATACTGAATGAAACATCACGTGGGTTAACCCCTCATCTGGTTCTTATTAGAACCAGTACTCATTTAAATTAACTACACCTGTCACCTGGTGTACCCGCAAACTTTTACCGCAAGGAATACGCCCTTAAATATTTTCAGAAATGGATGGATTTTTTTTTTTGGGGGGGGGGGTTTTCGGGTTTTTTCCAATGATGGTTAGCCGACCATCGTCAGCCGACCATCGTTGGAAATTGATTCAAAATTCCACTTTTCTTGAAAATGACAGCACACCAGGTGCCATAATTTCGCAGGATGCTTGAGACAATTATTATTTTAAAGTCCAATATGGTATTTTATGATAATTTGGTATTTTTGATTTTTGCAAATGTTGTATATAACTTTAAATCACATCGGTAATCTATCAGGATTGCCTATCTTAGTTTTACAAAATCAGTCATTCCCTCCATTTATCCTTTTTCTGTCATTATACCTTTGTTATTATCTCAGGTTGTGCGAGATAAACGGACAAGCAAGACTAAAGGTTACGGCTTTGTCAGTTTCAAGGATCCAAATGACTTTGTACAGGCAATGCGTGAATGGAATGGTAAGAAATCAATATCTGGTGCCCCCACCCCCTAAAAAACCCACTCTAAAATAGCACCGAAAACGCACCCACACTAAAGCCAATCAAAGCCGCCATAAACCTAACGCTGTACACTATCCTGATGCCGACTCTCATTGGAATCACATTGGATCCAAACTGAGCAGAAATGGGTCTGATCAAACCATAGAGCTATATTAAATTACTAGAGCGCTATTAACTCCTCATTCTTGCGCGCGGAGACGCTTTGAAGCCGTCCTGGGCGCAGACATTCTGAATTCATGTGCGTGTTTGTAGAACACAATGAAATTGGATGGATTGAATTTTGAAAGTGTACTTTAAATGCAACGCGTTAGTAGAACGTACGCAAACAACTTAAGCGCGTCATGACGGTTTAAAAAAAAAGTCATGTGAATCATCTGCAGTGGATACGCGCACGCGTTGCACCATTTGCGTAGAGCAAAATGAAATGCTCATTTGCTGATCGTGCGTTTCGGTTTTAGGCTTGGCCTGGACATTTTCTTCATATGGGCCGCTGTTCAAACTGGAATCTTTCGGACAATTGGTGGCGCTCTTTAAGATGGCACATTTACAGACAGTCGTACGACATAAACACGGGCACTCTTCAAAAAAAGGGCCCTCGTTAAAAATGGCACTCGCAAAACCAGGACAATCATAAAACATAAGAATATTATAATTTTTGTCCAGTTACCCATTTTCACTGTCCTAATGGTCACTGTCCTAATGCATCTATCAGCGTCCTTTTGCTTTTAAAATCTCCATCCCGTTGCAATCTTCCACTCTGCCCCCCCCCCAGTGATCAGTGCACTCCAAGATCAATTGAGGAAATTCACAGCAATTTCTGGAAGGACCCAAAACAATGACCCAAAGTTCAGATGTCCAGCAATATGAACTTGACAGTGTTGGTTTGTAGCCTGCTCATATATACAATTTACCAGCAGAAGCTGCTTTCAATGACTTTTTAACCCTAACAGAACTAAATCCATCGAACCCCAACGGCATGTTTTGTTGGAATTTGGCAGGATGGGTACAGTACCCCTAAACTGACAGTCTTTTACATTGGGTTGGCACACCTCCAGAATCAAAGTCAGAAATATGCGTGTGCAGTTTCCCATATGGTGTTGGAATTTGCCAGGATGGGTATGGTTCCTAGTAAATCATGCTAGGGAGTTATGAAATATGTGTGTGCAGTTTCCCATATGGTGTTGGAATTTGCCAGGATGGGTATGGTTCCTAGTTAATCATGCTAGGGAGTTATGAAATATGTGTGTGCAGTTTCCCATATGGTGTTGGAATTTGCCAGGATGGGTATGGTTCCTAGTAAATCATGCTAGGTAGTTACATAGGGTAAATGGAATTTTCACCATGAAGCATGCCCATACACCGGTATGCTTGGTCAATAACTTTGTATAATGATTGAGTTATACAAATCAGTGTATGTCCACACCACGCACCAGTACCTTTAGGGGTTTCATGAATATATTAACATACATGTATATTGTTTTCAATGATATATGTACCAGCATAGTTTTGTTGTGTAAGGAATATTTGTTGGAGACTGAGAGTTGGTCAGCTCCATTCTTTCTGATACTTGGTGTACAGGGTGAGTCAGGTGTCGGGGTGATGTAAAACAATATTAGGTTTTTGCCCTTCACTGACGTATAAACACTGTATACTCAGTGAGTTAAATACTGTATACTCAGTGTGTTAGCTCCCAAGTTGATTAGTTGAAGCACCTCATTAGAATCATTGCAAAATACTGAAAGTATGAAACTAAGCTGAAATTTGTTTAATTAATAACACAGTTTGATCATTATGAAGTTGTCTGAAACTGTAGATGTTGCCCATCAGGTATGCATCATTTCATTGGATTTGTGTCACTTTGTAGTTGGCTAGTGGTATGATCTGGACCCAAATTAAAGAAAATATTAAAAAGTATGTACCAATTATCAAAACAAGTGCAAATGAGATATGTATGTTATAGGCTGGTATTTTGGACAGATTTGGTGAGAGTTTCATGTGTATCCATTGTACCAGCGCTAGCAAAGAACACACGCTAAAAAACACTCTGACCACAGTTCCATGGTTCAACACATGTATTGAAATCGCATAACTGATGTGAAGCGTAGTAATAAATAAAAACCTAGTCATGGTGACTGACTCACTTGAAGTTACTGACACACATATAAAAAGGCCAAACCAATTCCATGTGCAGACTGCAAAATGAGCCACTTCAATGAAAATGGCATAACTCCTCACCACAGCCACTAATTTGAAAGTTCAAAATTCCTGTGGAGGACAAGGTAATAACCATTTATCTGAAACACTCAGTTTTTTTCTCAATATACTCTATTTGCTACACAAAAAATGGTGAACTTGGGTCAAGATCATTCTGACTCGCCCTGTATTCCATGCACCTTGCTATTCCAGACTTCAATTTCAATCAACTGCTCCCGCTCCATATGAAAGTGTTCCTGTTGTCTCTTCCGAATGCCAATTGTTTAAATTCGAAGACATGGGATCATATAGCCACTTTTGATAACATTATTGCCAATACCTTTATTTGAGTGATCGTGTCCTATGAAACAGTTGCCTGCCCATTCACCCTGCATTTGTAACAAAAGAAAAGCAAATCGCTATTTTTGACACGCTGGTTTTGATCTTAAATGCTAAATTTTACTTCTTAAAGAATTTCTACCCGTTTCTTGATACAGGGAAATACGTGGGCAACCGACCCATCAAACTGAGGAAGAGCTCATGGAAAGATCGCAACATAGATACCTACAAGAAGAAGCAGAAGGAAAAACAGAGACTCGGACTCAGATGATCAACATGCACTAGTATCAACTCCATGCATAGTGTCGCACTTGTACTTTACCACTGTTTTCTATGGTTCCTAAAATTAAACACTTTCCCATAGACTAGGATACGCCAATGTAAATGCGAGGATATGGTAAAACACAAAGGAATGGAACTTGAAACTTCCGTTTGTGGACAACATTGAAATTTGTTGTTCTCTCTTTGCTTTGTTGTCCTAGAAACAGTAAAAATTCAAAAAATCCCTCAGTGGTTAAAATTAGGCTTGGACTATATATATGTATTTCATTCATGAATACCTAAGACAGTTTGCCTGTTCCTATTTATCGACAGCCCGACATGTGGATGACCGCTGATAATAAACACCTGCTGGTTTGAAACAATTCATGCACTGCTGCGTTCTGCGCCACATTGCGCAGTACACAAAATCTCCACTAAAGCAGATTTTTAGCACTACGTGCGCGAGGCACATACCATAGACATGGCCAGATGGGTGTTTCACAAAACATGGGATAGAATTGTTGAACATAATCGTTGGAATATTGTGAATTTCTGACTTGTTTTGACTTCTTGACCAAAATGTTTTTATGAACAGGAATAAATATGTGCTTGGCCGGTATTAAACAAGTACGTTTAAACTGGCTAGGGGCCTGGACGTGGATAATGGCCCACGCCGAATGCATCCAGGCCTCCAGCTGGTTTTAAATGTATTTGTTTTATACCCGCCAAGCACATATTTGTTCCTTTTAATACCATACACTGACAATACCTTTTGATAGTGAACAATACTGAATGATGATGTCAGTACACCGAAATACTGAGTACCTCGGTATGGAATTTCATTACTGCCATTTTCCCTCTTAAATATGGCAAGATTTCTGCAAAAGCTCTTAAAAAAGGTGATACAAACAACTTGGGTAGATGTGAACTATATGGGTAGCTGTTTTAATTGTCAAAACTTGTGCATATACTAATCATCCAGCAGGCATTTGAAGTTTGGCCCATGCTGCCTGTTTGCAGTTTCCCCTACACCGCATTTTTTTTTGTATTCAGTTGATGATTGACTATGGACACATTTTGCCAAAATTGTTATGACAAAGTTCTGCTCTTCACAAAATGTGTTCTCGTTGCTTTTCGGAAGATGCATACAACTGAAACGGTTTAAACTTGAACTGACATCCTTCGGGTTAAGTCAGCACTTGTGTATTTACATTTGAATATGAACCCTGGCGTTCTCTTTCTGAAAAAAAAAACCACACCAAAAGCAACGTGGATTGTTGGCTGGAAGCTGTTGCTTGTGACACAAATTTACAGCGGTTCGTTGCTCATTTCAAAATCGTTCTTGAAGCTGGATTGTACATAGGTGGTTAATAAAGTTCGTTTACATAAATCTCAGTTTGTTTGGCGTCGTCACTACCGGCACAAGTAAAGCGTGCTATTTATGTCAATTTTTTTCATGTCATTGAAACCAAGGATTTTAAAAAAGTGCACATTCACTGTAGCTCATCAGCGTGTAGAAAACTATTGAGAAAAAAACCTGGATCCGCCCCTTGCATAAGGCGTGCGTGGGCTAAGATCCATGATATTTACTGGCATACATATATAACTTTTACTGGTATGACATGCCGGACTCCACTAGCTCTCCGTTTTGTAACAATGACCTCAATTCTACCCTGAAACTTAAACTTTACGATCTCAGCTAATATTGAGGTTAACAAACTATCTGTGGAACCTTCCCAAACGAGACGGTTTTGTCACGCAAACTCTTAAATGTACTGGTATGCTCCAATAGAACTAGATGCATGAAACCAGATTTCTGACAAACCACAGCGTGGTCGGACTTCCTGTCAAGAGCTGCTGGTATGAGAAGAACCCTATTTAATATGATGGGAGGAGCATCAATGTGGGGCTAAGCATTGATAGTCGCATTTGGTTGTAGCCTGTCGGGCTGTCATAGCGTGAATCCCGGAAGAATTGGGCGGGGGGGGGGGGAGCAGACGTGTTCCCACTCTTGGAACCAGGGGGTGGTCATAGGATCATCCGCCTCCATGGGCGTCGCGAGGGGGGGGGGGGCAAGGGGGGGGGGCGCTTCCCCCCCCTCCTCCCCGGAAAAGCAAAAAAAAAAAGAAAAGATGCGCAAAGTCATAGTGATGTAAATTTAATGGGGGGGGGGGCAAAATGTCCCTCCCCCTCTACAACTGATAAATCGACAATATGTTGAGAAATACACGCATTTTGTGGGAAAAATATGTTTTGCCCACCTCTAGAAAAATCCTGGCGGCGCCCATGTCTTGCAATTTTTGGGCTGAAAAAGCAAAATAGCCGGCGCGGCGAGAATGTCCCGCTCCTTCAACACGGCTACATGAAAAAAAAACCCACAATTTTAATGAGTGAATGAAGAAAACAAGTGACATGTGTTTACTTGCCCATGTTATTCAAACGCCTTCCCAACAGCTCGTCAAATTTATTACGTCTATAAATCTCCAGATTTCTTTTAATCATACACGGTTTTCGTCGACACAAGCCAACGACAGGAGTGAGTTTAAGTGATGACGTACTTATAATGTCGCATATTATTGGTATCCCTCAGTTTCGAAGGAGTTGTTGAAACGTGTTGTGGTAGTGCTACAACGGGAAATGAGGTGTTGAAAATGAACGACGAAGACTATAAATGTGCTTTATTAATTAAAAAAAATTATTATTTTTCATTCTTGTAATATTAAAGCCATCATCAATCGGAATGGGACACGGTCTAAATTTCTTTGGCTTCAACAAAATGTTTACTTCCCGCGAAAACTTAAGTCGTCTTATTGGTCAATGCCGAAGTGACGCGTGACTTGAGACCCCGGGAACCTGCATCTCCCAAACATAGCCCACCAATCACTAGGCTGCTACCAAGTTACACAAGCCGGTGTCTCTTCCGAACAACCATCGTGATTGGCCCCAAGCGTCTAGAGATCACGCACCGAAAGCGTGCATGAACTACTTTGGTGTATAAAAAGCAAACCGAGGTTTACAGAGACATTATTCAACTGTAAACCACGCCTCACGAAATTTTAGAGTCTTCGGCAATCTGCACTTTGTAAGGTAAGTTCGGGGTCGAGCTATATAGGCTCTCATTTCTTTTCTTAGTTTGCCAAAATAATTGAGTAATTTGTTCATCTGAAATTGTTAACGTAAGTGTTACCTAACTTGTTTCCCAAATTGACAAAAAATGTAATTGTCTGTTCCATAGGGTATTAAAAGTACTTGTGTAATGAACCAAAAAAAAAGAGAAGCTTTTTGACTAATAACATGAGACCAAAAAAAACAAAAAAAGGGAAAGAAATCCGTAGATCGCAATTTTTAATTTCTGAGAGGCAATATTTCTGTTTATCGTTTTGGGAGTTTACAAAACATTATCACTTACTTATGTTTCGACTTAACACGTACCCATTATATAAATCGTGTATGCTGATTCCCCTGTTCATTGCATCATGAAATGCGTAGTTGTTACTGCGAAAGCTTATTCAAAGTGTCCGATTCTAGTGTAGTCATTTACACTGTAAAAAATAATGTGTGAAACACTGTTAGGCAATATAATTTTACCCAACATTTGTTTGAATTTACCCAATTTGGGTAAAACATTTGAACAATAGGGGAAAATTTGCTCAAGAGTTTAACCTGTTGAGATCCCACCAACGTTGGTCAACTATTTTGCCCAACGTGTTTACAGTGTAAAGTGCTACCTAATACTTTTCCATTTAATACAGGAAATTACCCGTTGAAAATCTAAAAACCATACGGAAAGAAAGAACGATGTTGAACGAAAATTCTAGCACAGAGTTTGTAAATCTGATAAAAGCACGCAGGAGTAGGCCCACCAGTACTTTGTTATTTGTATTCTTAAGAAATGAAGGTTAAAATCCCTACGGAAGCAAGCACGAAAATATGCGGGTATAGGATAAGGCGTCTATTTGCGTTGGGAAGACGAAGGGCCTTCTCCGTTAAGTCGAGTTGACTGGTGTTTTTTTAGGGAAAGCCCCACCCACAAAAAAGAGAAACCTGTAAAATTAAGTGAATCCTTTAAATGGCTGCACTTTACAGTTTTAATTTTAAAACATGAATCTTCTATAATACATTTTTCTCATTTTATCAAATTGGTGTGATGTTAAAAAAAGCGTTTTCTATTTGACAGACACAGTGTCTGCAGTCATCATGGAAGACATTTTATACCTTGGCGACAAATACTTCTACACTCCGTACATCTATCCAGAGTGGTGGCCGGAGGACGACTGGAAACGGCAGTTGATTGGCATTCTCATCTTCAACTGGGTCGGCCAATACGTGCTGTATTTCGTGCTGGGATTACTCGACTACTATTTCGTGTTTGACCACCGACTGACGAAACATCCGTTGTACATAAAGGTGGGAATTCTGAGGATATATTTATTTGAGACATTATTTTCAATAAATGCAAACCTCACGCTTAAATCATGACGGGGTATATAAATATGGCACTGCACTCCAATAATTGCTCTATTTTGAAGTATTGAAATTATTACATATGTCAGTAGTGTGCTTTACTTTATTGTCATATAAGTATAGATTTCACTGCGTCAAGCGAAAGTGGTATTGCGGAAAATATTTACAACTTTTGAAGTTGTAAGTAAAGTTTTTACCCTTTCGTTGCTAACATTTCCAAATCACTTGCTAATAAATGACTTTTTTTGTAACTTGTTTTTAGGATCAGATGAAGTTGGAGATCAAATACTCAATCAAGAACATGGTTTTCCAGACGGCTGCATTTGCGCCTATATTTCTGCTGGAGGTCAGGGGTTACAGTCGCCTACATCACGAATTAAACAGGGGATTTTTCGGTTAGTCTTTTCAAAGGTTGTTTAAATTTATTTCCAAAACGCGATCATACGCCTTGTTGTTCCCTTTTAGAATCCTTCTCTCTTCTGGCTGCCGAAAAGCAATTTCGACGGCTGTTGTATAAGTACTTAAAAGACACTGGGCCTATAAGAATACAATGAGTCGACAAGTAAAGTTTAACAGCTGTTACACTGTTTTTATTCTTTAAAGTTTCATAACCATGGAAATGTTCACTTTTTACAAATGGATGTGTTGCGTTTTGGAAATTAACTCTTCTTAAATTGAACAGTTCTTTTCCGTCCCCGTCAAATCCAACGCCGTTGTGAGGAAAGCCTGATAAGTATTTTCCCCCTAAACTTTTTAAACCCCATTCTTCAAAACAATGAGAACTAGGCATACCTTAGGCCTATGGTTACAGAGAGAGTGTAAGCGTGCAAATGTAGGCAATTGTCAACATTGTTACTTAACTTAGTTCAAACCGATATCCACCAATGTAAATCCCGCAAATCAAAAAAGACTATCGACCGATCCGAGTTGCCACTCTTGGAGTGCGTTCGATTACTTCCCCCAGCTTAACTCGCGCCTGGCTCCTCGCGTGATGACAGACATGCGCAGTGGAGCTAAATACGAATGGTTTCGGGTAAAGTTTCGTGCAAGAGCTGGAAAGTTGAACTTTGACATGACACTGAGGCTGCATCTGAATCAACTGTTTAGAGCTATAGGTCTAGGTCCACGCCCATTGAAAATACGCGGGGATGCGCTGACAATAGACGTAGCCGTAGCTCTGGAAGCACACGGCCTGAGGCTCCCGCCGGACGTCACGTTAGAAGCCATGTTTATTGCATGCCTTATGGGATACTTACCCAAGTAACCGGCCCGGGGAGTCGGTTACTTGGGCCAGCAGAGGCTCGAGTAAGCGCGAGAAGTCACGAGAGGTAAATCGAACGCTGTCGCGCTTGGGGGAAGTAATCGAACGCACTTTTTGTGATTACTGGGCTCAGGCTTCCCATCATTAGGCCTACTAGCTCGCTTTGGTGTTTCACATAATGCACTCCCCCCACCCCCCCCCGCGTGCAGAGCTTTATGAAAAGCGCACCAGTGATGGGCGGTCAGGCACGAAAGCGTTCCATGAATGGCTACCCAATTAATTCCCCGTAAGTTAAAAATCGGATCGGTGTTCGGGCACGACCTAAAGAGGGCGTTAATAGCCCAGCACAGAGGCAGAATGGAGGACAGCTTCACGTCATGTACTGGTGTGTGCTTTTCATCCGCTTATCATACGGTCTAATTAAATGCGGTTACTTTCTGTGCGCGTACAAGGGAATGACACTTTTCCAGTCAATCTCAGACTGAAACAGATCTCGAACTTGCCTTTTTTTGCAGGATTTTTAAGGTTGTCTTGCGTTGTGTTAAACATTACTGTTAAATGTATTTAAACTATACTGATATTGTCTCTCTTTTCAGGATATTTGAATCCCGTAGTAGAGATTCTTGGCTTCCTCGCCTTCACCGACTTCACCAATTATTGGTTCCATCGCTTCCTGCACCACCGCCTGATCTACAAGCGCTTCCACAAGCAACACCACATGTGGAAGGTGCCCACTCCGTTCTCCGGCTACGCGCTGCATCCCGTCGACGGATTCCTGCAGGGCATCTCCTGGCACATGTTCCCCTTCCTCTTCCCCTTCAACAGCCGTCTCTTCATGTGCTTCTTCCTCTTCGTGCTCATCTGGACTGTCAGTATCCATGACAACCTCTGCGTCCTCCCCCGAATCCTCCGGCCCATCGTCAACGGGGCGGCGCACCACACCGACCACCACATGTACTACAACTACAACTACGGTCAGTTCACCACGCTGTGGGACCGCGCCTTCGGCTCGCACCGCGTGCCTGGTACCCACCGCGGCAAGGGACCACTCGATGACGTGATGGCCCTGGCCGCCAAGTCCAATTGTCTGACCAACAACAATGGTTATCAGAGCGGGATAGCTGAAACACAGAAGGAAGACTAGGGCCAGTAAAAGAAGGGGGAAAGAAAGAACAATGTGTCCGTTGAAATGTGACAATACCTTGACGAAATAATTGCTTAACCGCATATGTACTCTTTACCGCTGTCACTACATACGTGTAATACCTTTGTAATATTGAGATAATAATTGTAAAAATGAGAATGTTAATAGCTTAGCTACAATTTTTTTCATGGTAAAGTAAACACCGTTTTTTTGGTTTAAAAGTGCATTGCTATGTCACGTAAGCCAAACATTATATGGTGAAGGTTTAAGCCATTACCAAAGATACTGATTCAAGTTGTAAATTATAACAAACAAACCCTGCATAGAAATATGACTGTGTACATAACCAATACAAAACAATGCCATGATTATTCCGCGGTGCTTTTTTTACCATTAACATAAAACTAAAGCAGCATAAACGTTTGAAAATGAAACCATTGCAGACAAGATAATTGGTGTGTTTAGTCCTACGAGAATTGTTTTCTTAAGTACTGATGTATGTTATGTTATTCTTTCACCACAAATTACGGTAGAGTCGTGTTTTATTGTCGTGACATGGTGCCGTTCCAAAGAAATTGAACATATCCTAACTCGCATACAATAATTTTGTTCCGTCGTTAATTCTTCTATAGTATATCGTAAACCGGTAATGCATAATTTAACTGTTCAAACTGCGAACAACGCCCGTAGGGCCTGATAGTTAAATATTGTATAGTTTTGTAATAAAATGTATCAACCGGCAATTGACTTTTACAGTTGGCAAGGGAAGTCACTATGTCGGACTTGCATGGTTTGATCGCTGCTATGTAAATTCGCCAGCAACCATAAGCACCCTTATTAGAGTGTATTAAATTGTTGTTTTTCAATTCAGTGACAACTAGTGTTGCAAAATGTCTAATCATAGTGAATGTCCTAGTTAATGGATTTCCTGCACTGTAAGATGGTTGTTACGTGTGGGGAACGCACGGCAGAAAGAAATAAGTAATAAAAACGGGAATCATGACTTTTGAATCAAAGGCAAAAAAGAGACCAATATATGATTAACAAAATTTAATTAATTCTCCCAAATCAATCAACAGGACAGTGGGTGATACAAACAATCTCAGTTAGTCTTCAACTTTAAGCGTCATGCAAGAACCTCCAAGCATTAGACACAGGCAAAGCAAATTAAATTACAAAGAAATTAGCAAAGCAGCAATTTATACAAACAGGCCAAATAAAGTAAAGAACAAGCCGGCAAAATAGAGTTAATAAGCAAAACACACAAAAAAGGCAAATTGTATTCGGCCGAATACAATTACCAATAAGGAACCAGTAGCAGGAACAGGCCCCGCCCAGCCAGTGCCCACAACGGTATTAGCGCAGCCGTCGAACCAAGCATCTCCGCACCCAACCGTAGATCAGCCAAGCCACAGGTAAGTCAGCGTTGAGCACCGGGAAGTCAGCCACATCAAGCAGGCCACGACAGTCCAGGTCTCGTCCGGTAGTACCGTCAGCCTCGGCCACGATCCAGCGATGAGGGGTACGTAGATCGGTAGGACGGCGGGAGATGCTGGCTCAACGACGCGCTAATGAAAATCGCACATAATGGTTGTACATGGGCACCAACTGAGAGCGAATAAAAGCCAGTCAGTGCTTATATAGGGTATTTACCCGCGCGTAGCCACCATAACAAACATTCATTAAATACCGAAAATTCTAGTGCGGGAGCAACCGTACTAAAGGATTACAGATTAGGTGGGTTCGTAACACTCCCCTCCATAAAAAAAGTTTGAACGTCAGGGAAAACTTTCTTTTTAAACATGTGGCACGCGAATAAAGCCCTTATAGAATTATTACATGTATAAAGTTTACACTCCATTATACATAATTACTAATTATTAATTATTAATGCCAATTTAATAAAGTTATTAACATAATGTTAATTGGAAATTAAACCAATTATTCAAATGGCAAACAGTGATATCCAGATTATTAATTGGCAGACAGCGAAATCAAGTTAGTAACACCTGGACAAAGTGTCCGCTATTACATTATCTTTGCCCTTAATATGACGAATTTCAATGGCAAATTGCTGAAGAGCCAAACTCCATCTTAACAGTCTCTGGTTTTTGTTTTTCATCTTGTTCAAAAACGTCAAGGGGTTGTGATCTGTATATACTACAATCGGTTTCACTGCTGAATCTACATACACCTCAAAATGTTGCAGAGACAAAACTAATGCCAACGTTTCCTTTTCAACAGTGGAGTATTTCATTTGATGACGGTTCAACTTTTTTGAGAAGTAACATACTGGATGCATAATACCACATTCATCTTCTTGTACAAGTACAGAACCTACTCCAACATCACTAGCATCAGTTACAAGTGTAAACGGTTTATCAAAGTCTGGAGCAGAAAGAATTGGTGCGGACGTGAGCATGGCCTTTATCTTTCCAAACGCCTGATTGCATTCATCGTTCCAAATGAATTTTGTGTTTTTGGCAAGCAGGTTTGTTAGTGGGGAAACAACATCCGAAAAATTACGGCAAAACTTCCTGTAATACCCAGCCATGCCAAGGAAACGCATCAACTCCTTCTTTGTTTTTGGTTCAGGAAAATTCACAATGGCTTCCACCTTAGCGTTTACTGGCCGAACTTCTCCTTGGCCGATTTCATGGCCCAGAAAAGTAACCTTGCCTTTCCCAATCTGACTCTTCGACAGGTTGACTGTTAGTTTAGCTTGGGAGAGCCGATCGAACAAAGATTTGGTTTGCTCCACATGTTGTTCCCATGTATCACTGTATATAACAATGTCATCAATATACACTTCAGCGTTTTCTAAGCCTGCAGTAATTTGATTCATGATACGCTGGAATGTGGCAGGGGCGTTCATCATGCCAAAAGGGAGTACTTTGTACTGGTACAGACCCTGTGGGGTTACAAAAGCTGAAATCTCTTTTGCTCGAGTTGTTAATGGCACCTGCCAATATCCCTTCAACAGATCATATGTACTTACAAACTTAGCACTACCAATCTTATCAATGTAATCATCAACTCTTGGAAGTGGGTAAGTGTCGGGTTTAGTCACAGAATTAACTTTTCTGAAATCGGTACAAAACCGCATAGACCCATCTGACTTAGGAACCAAGATACATCGAGAGCACCAGGAGCTATTACTCTCTTCGATAATACCATTTTCTTTCATGTACTGGATTTCTTTGTGCATGAGCGATTGTTTAACTGGTCCACATCTATAAGGATGTTGCTTCATTGGTGTGGCATTTCCAACATCCACATCGTGTTCGGCAATATCAGTTTTTGTGGGCACATCAGAAAATAATTGCTTATTCTCATTCAACAAATTTGACATTTCTGACTTCTGCTCTGGATTAAGATGTTCCAATTTCACATCTAGATTTGCCAAAATCTCTGAGTTATTCAACTTGATGTTGTCACCTGGCATCTGACAATCATCTACATTATCAGACTCTACTGCACTTACAGCTACTGGTTCAGTTTTAGTTTCTGATGGTCTGACATGGTAGCTCTTAAGCATGTTAACATGGCACAACTGTCTTTTCTTTCGCCTATCAGGAGTCTGAACTAGGTAATCTAGGTCACCTATTTTACGTTCGATTACATAAGGTCCACTATAACGGGCCTGAAGTGGTTGACCTAATAATGGTAACAGTACAAGGACTTGATCACCTGGTGCAAAACTACGATCTCGAGCTTTACGATCATACCAAGTTTTCATTTCTCTTTGGACTCCCTGAAGGTGATTGTGTGCAAGTTCACAAGCATTCTGTAAACGCTCTTTAAGTTTTACAACATAACTCAGAACGCTGTCAGTAGTTTGATCATCTCCTAACCACTTTTCTTTCACTAGAGCCAATGGACCTCTGACATTACGCCCAAAAACTAGCTCAAATGGGCTAAAGCCTAGGGACTCATTTGGTACCTCACGGATAGCAAAGAGAAGTAAAGGGAGACCTTCATTCCAATCCTTATCATGCTCTGTACAATAGGCTTTGATCATGGACTTCAAAGTCTGGTGAAATCGCTCAAGTGCACCTTGACTTTGAGGATGGTATGCACTAGATGTTACAATATCAATGCCTAAAGCACTGAGTTGATCTCGGAACAATTTAGATGTAAAGTTTGTTCCTTGGTCACTTCGCACTACCTTGGGAAGACCAAAACGAGTAAAGAATGAGATAAGTGCTTCACTTACTGGTTTGGCCTTTATCGACCTTAAAGGTACAGCCTCAACATATCTAGTGGACGAGCACATGATAGTAAGTAGGTACTGGTGCCCTGATCTAGCTTTGGGTAATGGTCCAACGCAATCAACAATGACTCGGCTGAATGGTTCAAGCAAAGTGGGTATTGGCCTTAAAGGAGCTTTAGGTGGATCCTGATTAGGCTTACCAACTACCTGACAAGTATGACAAGTTTTGCAGTAATCGGCTACAGATCGTCTAAGATTAGGCCAATAAAAATGCTGCAAAATACGATCACAGGTTTTTGTCACACCTAAGTGTCCAGCCATAGGGATGTCGTGTGCTAAACTCATTATATGACTCTGATAGGTTTTAGGCACAACAACTTGTTTGACAACTTTCCACTCTTCATCAGCGGAGACATATGGTGGTCTCCACTTTCGCATAAGTACGCCATTACTAATGAAATAGCACACAGGCACCTTAGAAGCTTCAGTTTCACTTAAAGCAGTCTTACTTATGCTAATCAATGTAGGATCCTTCCCTTGTTCAGCTATCAAATCCTCTTTACTAATGAAAAGATCACTAGAAACATGCGACTGAACACCTGGGAAATTTTCCTGAAATGGCATAGAAGATTCATTCATGAATGTGTCAGATAAATCAATGCCATCTGATTGACCTAAGAACTCAGTACTAGTTAGTTTATCCTTACTAGTCATTGATCTAGTGGTCACACATGAAGGAAAGATACCCGGAAAATCTTCCTCCAGCTGAGTAGTGTGATTTTCACTACTCGCAAATGTATCCATTACCGGTTCAACAACAACTTTGCAACCAGCAACATCATTACCTAGGAGTAAGGTTACACCTTCTAATCCCTTCGGTAGGCTTGGGGCCACCCCTACTGTCACAGGCCCTGAAACCAAGTCTGACTGTAAGTTAACATGATGAAGAGGCACATCAATGTAATCATTACCAACACCAGTTACCAATACATTAGTTCCTGCATAAGATTGATCAGTTAAGGGAACTGCACCTTTAAGGAGCAAGGACTGAGAAGCTCCCGTGTCCCTAAGTATTACGACTGGATACTGTGGCAAGTCTAATTCACCTTCGCCAAGTGAAATAAATCCCTCTGTGATAAAGGGTAAGTAGCCCTTACTTATGTCAGACAAAGAGCCTTTGACTTCATCATTGTTCTCAGAGAATGTGGAACATGGAACACTCTTAGTGAATGCAACCGGCTTAGAATCACTAGAACCACTAGCCTGCAGTTTTCTCAAGTAAGCAAAACAATTGGATTTTATATGGCCTGTTTTCTTACAAAAAGAACAAGTCACGGTTGACCTACTACTAGATGTTTCCTTTTTTGCACTAGTCCCTGAATTTGCACTGTCGGGTTTATCAGTATCTACTGACTTATAACGTGGAGGACTGTTACGAGCCCGACGTTTACTAGAGTAGTCATTACTCTTAGCAAAATGTGTTTTGTGTGTCAACACATAATCATCAGCTAATACAGCT